CAAGTTCAGAGACTTCTGTCAATGTAAACTTAGATATATATTTAGACTGTTTTTCTGCTATCGATCTTCATCAGTTAACTTCAATCATTTCTTCATCGAAGCCATCAACCTGTCTATTAGACCCGATCCCAACTAGGCTGCTTAAAGAAGTTGTTCCCTTAATTGGCACTTCTTTACTGGATATGATTAATCTTTCTTTATTATCAGGATATGTACCACAGTCCTTTAAAGTAGCTGTAATTAAACCCCTTCTTAAAAAGTCCACTCTTGACCCAGGGGTTTTAGCCAACTATAGACCGATTTCTAACCTCCCCTTCCTCTCTAAGATTCTGGAGAAAGTAGTCGCCAAAGAGTTGTGTGACTTTCTACATAACAATAGTTTATTTGAGGATTTTCAGTCAGGATTTAGAGTTCATCATAGCACAGAGACAGCTCTGGTTAAAGTTAATAATGACCTTCTGACTGCTTCTGACAATGGACTTGTCTCTGTACTTGTATTATTAGATCTTAGTGCTGCATTTGACACCATTGACCATAATATTCTTTTACAGAGACTTGAGCATCAAATTGGCATTAAAGGAACTGCCCTAAGCTGGTTTAAGTCATACTTATCAGATCGTTCTCAGTTTGTACATGTTAACGATGAATCCTCCATAAATACTAAAGTTAGTCATGGAGTTCCACAAGGTTCTGTACTTGGACCAATACTATTTACTTTATATATGCTCCCTTTAGGCAACATTATTAGGAATCACTCCATTAACTTTCACTGTTATGCAGATGATACGCAGTTATATCCATCAATCAAACCCAATGAAATTAATCAATTATGTAAATTACAAACATGTCTTACGGACATAAAATCCTGGATGACATGCAATTTTCTGATGTTAAACTCAGAAAAAAACGAAATTCTTGTTCTTGGCCCCAAAAACCTTAGAGACTCATTGTCTAAAGATATAGTCACTCTAGATGGCATTAACTTGGCCTCTAGCACCACTGTCAGGAATCTTGGAGTTATCTTTGATCAGGATTTGTCATTTAACTCCCACATAAAGCAGACCTCTAGGACCGCCTTCTTTCATTTACGTAATATTAGAAAAATTAGACACATCCTATCACAGACAGATGCAGAAAAACTAATCCATGCATTTGTTACTTCAAGGCTGGATTACTGCAACTCTTTATTATCAGGTTGTCCCAATAAGTCCATTAAAACGCTCCAATTAATTCAGAATGCTGCAGCACGAGTACTGACAGGAACTAGAAAAAGAGATCACATCTCTCCTGTACTAGCTTCTCTGCATTGGCTCCCTATAAAATGTAGAATTGAATTTAAAATCCTCCTCCTCACCTATAAATAAAGCTCTTCATGGTCAGGCCCCTTCATATCTTAAAGAGCTCATAGTACCCTATTACCCCACTAGAACACTACGTTCTCTGAATGCTGGGCTACTTGTGGTTCCTATAGTCTCTAAAAGTAGAACAGGAGCCAGAGCCTTCAGTTACCAAGCTCCTCTCCTGTGGAACCAGCTTCCAGTTGTGGTTCAGGAGGCAGACACCCTCACCACATTCAAGAGTAGGCTTAAGACATTCCTCTTTGATAAAGCTTATAGTTAGGGCTGGATCAGGTGAGTCCTGAACCATCCCTTAGTTATGCTGCTATTGGCCTAGACTATCGGGGGATTTCCCATGGTGCACTGAGCTACTCTCTTCCTCTCTCTTTCTGCACTCATTCATGTCCCATTAATGCATGTTACTAACTCCACTTCTTCCCCGGAGTTCTTGTGCTTTCTCGTCTCGCAGGTTCTCATGGATCCTGGTGGAGCCTCCTGCCATGGTCCTGCTTGACTGCCATTGCCAATACTGTTGTTGCTGTGCACCTGTCTGTCTGTCTCTCGCTCTCTCTCTCTCTCTCTCTCTCTCACCCCAACTGGTCGAGACAGACGACCAACCACCTAGAGCCGGAGGATCTGTCCTAGGTTTCTGCCTTTTAACAGGCAGTTTTTCCTTGCCCTTGTCGCCAAGTGCTTGCTCATGGTGGTACTGTTGGGTCTCTGTAATTAATGTTAAAGAGTTCGGTCTAGACCTGCTCTATTTGAAAAGTGTCCTGAGATAACTTCTGTTATGAATTGGCGCTATACAAATAAAATTGAATTGAATTGAATTAATACAAACTGATGCTACAGACTAGTTAGGAAATCCACATTAGTTGAGCATTATTGTTTTGTTACAAATACTATTAAAATATAATGTTGCAAGAGACAATTTACTTGACATTTTTTCACAAAAAATATTATGGATTTAGCTTGTTCCTCTTATTCATCCATGCTGGAGTGTGAATGTTGTTCTATGCTATCTAAGAGGGGACTTGTGTCATTATTCACCATCCAACAGGGGACTCTCGTCATACTACACAAGAGGGGACTTTTTTTATTTACTGAGAATTAACAGACAATTATTGAGAAGAATTGCAAACTGAGCTTGTTCATTAAAAAACTGATTGACATCTAGTGCTTGTGAAAAGTGGTCAGTGAGTATTTTGGGACTTAGACACTTTAAAGGGCAAGTCAAAGTCTGATGTAAAGTTTATTAATTAAAACTGAAAAGAAAGGATCTACTACTACTGCTGACCACTTTATCACATATTGTTTTTCATTTTTCTTTATTTTATTGTTCTTTTTTTTCTTTATTTTGATAACTGTAATATATGTCACGGCCGAACAACCACAACATGACAGTCAACCCATGATTCAAAACCTGCCCAAGGTTTGGAAATGTTTGTTATTAAGGGAAAAAATATTAAAATTAGTGCACTATTGTAATAATATATAATTTCTGTAATTAAAGCCTATATAAAGTAATGTTGTTGCTAGCACTGCAGGCCTTAATATTAGTGCTTGCAGCTAAGTTACTTCTTAATTGCAGGTAAATCATTATTTATTTTCAAAAAAGTGGCCATGATTATTTTTGTAATATCTGTATCGCAGATAAAAGTTTAAATATTGAAAACATTACAGTTAAATTGGGTTTTTGAAAGAAACAAAGAAAGTCTTTGCAGTAAACAAACACTCAAAGGTGAGTGAAAGAATGGGTAGAGGCAGTTCCATTGGAGTATATGGCAGTCCCCTCTCTGATAGGTAGACATCGCTAAAGGAAAAAAGTCCCCTCTTAGTAATTTCCTTAAAAAATAAAAACAAATACATTTGAAGTAACATTCTGGTAAAATACCTTAAAATAAATTTTTCTATGCTATTTTTGTTTTTTTTAAATAATCAGAAACATCAGTCCCCTGTTGGATAGGGTAGTACGACAGTCCCCTGTTAGCAATGTAGGAATGTATAGGTGTGTTACTGTGTGTGTGTGTGTGTGTGTTTGTTTGTTACAGTGTATGTGTGTTACAGTGTGTTACAATATAAACGTGTGTGTATGTATATATATATATATATATATATATACATACATACACAATTACTGCCACTGACTGGTAATATATACACTACCAGTCAAAAGTTTGGACACACCTTCTCATTTAATGGTTTTTCTTTATTTTCATGACTATTAGATTCTCACTGAAGGCATCAAAACTGTGAATGAACACATATGGAATTATGTAGTAGGCAAAAAAGTGTGAAATAACTCTAAATATGTTTCATATTTCAGATTCCTCAAAATAGCCGAGTGAGAATCTACAATGTAAATATTGACATTAGGGTACTGGTTATTAACTTTTCACTTCACCTCCCCAGAGAACAAAAGCACAACTTAGAGGTAATTAATGATTTTATCACAAATCTGACACACCTCACAGCACTTCTGCAACATGATTTCATAACCACAACAGACAACATCCAATGGACCACAGGAACAGCCGGCGGGATCTTCTCTCACTGGTTCATTTTCACAATTTCACAATCACAATTTCATTAATTCTGGCAATTAAAGCATTTTCAACTGGACCCGGAAACGGAGTAAGAGAGTGAAGGGAACCCGGCCTCCTCCTCAACAGCTTCCGGACCATAATTCCAGACCTGAGAATAAAGTATATAACATCAGTGTATTAATTGTAATTTTATTAAAATATAATAAACAACCAACAAAGCAAGCATGCTCATCTCTGTCTGTCTCTTTTTTTCTTACATCCTGGTCCACTTAAATTGCATATTGAGACTTTCTCCTACTGTTTACATCTATATACATAATCATGTACAACCGAAGATAATTGTTATCATTATATGCATATTTCCTGAGCTGCACCTGTGACTGACTGAACACAACATGGATCAAACAGTTCCAACACCTACGTGTATTTGTTTGTCTCTATTGTTGTCTTTCTTACCAGTTTAAAAAACACAAGTTTACTTTAAAACTGCACTCTTAAATAATTCTTAATTTTTTATTTCCAGAGACGGGGGGAATCCAACAGACCGCATGCTCCCAGGCCTGCGAACCTGAAACCAAACTGGGCCTTATAAAACACATTAATTTAAACCTAACCTTATAAACCCATATACCTAGTCAAAAGTAAACTGCCAGACCTAAACACAATTCCTCAACAAGGCCCAAATTACTTTAGACAAAATAAAACAATTAAAAACCTTACAAACAACACCACATACCCCATTAAACAGACCCTAACAAACAACACACACAAATGCGTATATGTCATCAAGTGTAAACACTGTGACATCTCATACATAGGAGAAACAGGCAACACAATTAAACTAGACTGGCACAACGCATATAACATTAAAATTCAATTCAATTCAATTCAATTCAATTTTATTTGTATAATGCCAATTCATAACAGAAGTTATCCCAGGAAACCTTTCAAATAGAGCAGGTCTAGACCGAACTCCTTATAACATTATTTACAGAGGCCCAACAGTACCACCATGAGCAAGCACTTGGCGACAAGGGCAAGGAAAAACTGCCTGTTAAGAGGCAGAAACCTAGGACAGATCCTTCGGGTCTAGGTGGGTGGTCGTCTGTCTCAACGAGTTGGGGTGAGAGAGAGAGAGAGAGAGAGAGAGAGAGAGACAGACAGACAGACAGACAGGTGCACAGCAACAGTAGCAACAACTACACTAATAGTAGTGACTGATGATGATGAACCTGACAACAGCAACGATGGGGGACAATGAGCAGTGACAACAGCAACAACAGCAACAACAGTAACCATAGCTATAATAATACTTATAGTAATAATAACACTAATATCAATGATATTGGCAATGGCAGTCAAGCAGGACCATGGTAGGAGGCTCCACCAGGATCCATGAGAACCTGAAAGACGAGACAACACAAGAACTCTGGGGAAGAAGTGAAGTTAGTAACATGCATTAATGGAACATGGATGAGTGCAGAAAGAGAGAGACAGGAAGAGAGGAGCTCAGTGCACCATGGGAAATCCCCCGATAGTCTAGGCCTATAGCAGCATAACTAAGGGATGGTTCAGGACTCACCTGATCCAGCCCTAACTATAAGCTTTATCAAAGAGGAATGTCTTAAGCCTACTCTTGAATGTGGTGAGGGTGTCTGCCTCCCGAACCACAAATGGAAGCTGGTTCCACAGGAGAGGAGCTTGGTAACTGAAGGCTCTGGCTCCTGTTCTACTTTTAGAGACTATAGGAACCACAAGTAGCCCAGCATTCAGAGAACGTAGTGTTCTAGTGGGGTAATAAGGTACTATGAGCTCTTTAAGATATGAAGGGGCCTGACCATGAAGAGCTTTATAGGTGAGGAGGAGAATTTTAAATTCTATTGTACATTTTACAGGGAGCCAGTGCAGAGAAGCTAGTACAGGAGAGATGTGATCTCTTTTTCTAGTTCCTGTCAGTACTCGTTCCTGTCAGTACTCAGGCTTTTGAATTAATTGGAGCATTTTAATGTACTTATTCGGGCAACCTGATAATAAAGAGTTGCAGTAATCTAGCCTAGAAGTAACAAATGTATGGATTAGTTTTTCAGCATCTGTCTGTGATAGGATGTGTCTAATTTTTGTAATAATACGTAAATGAAAGAAGGCAAACTGTGAATGATCTGATAAGTATGACTTTAACTAGCTTAGTGCGGTTCCTTTTTTGCCAATTTGATTCTCAAGTCTCTGTAACAAAATATTATGGTCAATGGTGTCTGCAGCACTCAGATCTAATAATACAAGTACAGAGACAAGTCCATTGTCTGAAGCAATCAGAAGGTCATTATTAACTTTAACCAGAGCTGTCTCTGTGCTGTGATGAACTCTAAATCCTGACTGAAAATCCTCAAATAAACTATTGTTATGTAGAAAGTCACACAACTCTTTGGCGACTACTTTCTCCAGAATCTTAGAGAGAAAGGGGAGGTTAGAAATTGGTCTATAATTGACTAAAACCCCTGGGTCAAGAGTGGACTTTTTAAGAAGGGGTTTAATTGCAGCTACTTTAAAGGACTGTGGTACATATCCTGATAATAAAGAAAGATTAATCATATCCAGCAAAGAAGTGCCAATTAAGGCTACGACTTCTTTAAGCAGCCTCGTTGGGATCGGGTCTAACAGACAGGTTGATAGCTTCGTTGAAGAAATGATTGAAGTTAACTGATGAAGATTGATAGCAGAAAAACAGTCTAAATATATATATCTAAGTTTACATTAGTTAAAGTTCCTGAACTTGGAGAGCCATTGATAGCTGTTGATGGCAGTTGGTGATTAATTTTCTTCTCTCTAATAGTAATAGTTTTATTATAAAAGAAGCTCATGAAGTCATTGCTACTTAAGTTTATGGGGATATGTGGCTCAATAGAGCTGTGGCTCTCTGTCAGCCTGGCTACAGTGCTGAAGAGGAACCTAGGGTTGTTCTTATTTTCTTCTATTAGTGCTGAATAATAGGCTCCTCTAGCATTACGAAGGGCCTTTCTATAGGTTTTAAGATTATCATGCCAAATTGAGCGATATTCTGATAATTTGGAAGAGCGCCATTTCCTTTCACATTTCCTAGCTTTTTGCTTTAATTGGCGGGTTTGGTGGTTGTACCACGGTGCTAGTTTCCTATGTTTTAATAATTTCCTTTTTATAGGAGTGATAGAATCTAATGTTCTTCGTAGTGAGCCTGCAGCACTATCAACAAGATTATCAATTTCGGAGGGACTAAAGTTATTATAGGACTCAGACATGGCATTGAACTAAACACTGATGGAATCTCCTTCTTAAACTTAGCTACAGCACTGTCAGATAGACATCTGCTATAGGAAGCTTTGCCTAATGGCTTATAATCTAATAATATGAATTCAAAAGTTATTAAATAATGGTCAGATAGGAAAGGATTATATGGGAAGACTATTAAATGTTCAATATCAATCCCATATGATAGAACAAGGTCAAGAGTGTGATTAAAACAATGAGCTGGTTTATTTACACTCTGACAGAAGCCAATTGAGTCTATTAATGATATAAATGCATTACTAAGACTGTCATTTTCAACATCCCCATGAATATTAAAATCACCTACAATAATTACTTTATCTGATTTAAGGACTAAACTTGATGAAAACTCTGAGAATTCAGATATAAAATCAAAGTACAGTCCAGGAGCGCGGTACACTATAGAACTGGCTGCAGTGTTTTCCAGGATGGGTGAGAAAGACTAATGTAACCCAGTAAGAACAACACTTAATTGGCTACTGTACTCAGGTTCAACTCAAGGAGTGAGGGATGGATTAATGTAAAAGGTAAACACACGGATGTTTATTTTCACAATCAACAAAAAGTAGAATCACAGTTCAGATTCAAATCCCCAATATATATGTGGCGAAACGAGGGTGGGATGATTACTAAGTTATCAGACGATCTTTTCTATTTATTTGTTACCGACAACGCCACCTTGGGTTAGGGCCCAAGGACCCGTACTAAATGTCAATTACCACCTCTCACAAAAGGACACTCAGGTTCGTTCACTAAGGGAGGGCAGGAGACAGAGTTCAATGATCACATCCAACATTTTATTATTTAAATGAGCACAAGGTTTGGCACAAAAAGTTAAAAGGAGAAGAGAGCCCAACTGGGGAAGGGAGGAGGTGCCGGCTGAGGCTTACCGGCTGGAGGAGGGGTCGGCAGGGGAAAGTGACATCCAAAAAACAAAAGGAGAGCACCCCACTCACACAGCAAAAACTTGACGTGCACACAAAGAAAATCTTGAACGAGGCTCACGCACACACACAAGGGATCACCACCACTACCCAGGGGAACCACCACCACCACCGTCAGCCTTCAGCTCTAGGAGAAGATAAGAGGCACAGTTAAAGGGGCTCACAGTTAAAACAAACAATATCTCTTGACATAAACAAACTGATGAATAATCAATTCAATTCAATTCAATTTTATTTGTATAGCGCCAATTCATAACAGAAGTTATCTCAGGACACTTTTCAAATAGAGCAGGTCTAGACCGAACTCTTCAACATTAATTACAGAGACCCAACAGTACCACCATGAGCAAGCACTTGGCGACAAGGGCAAGGAAAAACTGCCTGTTAAAAGGCAGAAACCTAGGACAGATCCTCCGGCTCTAGGTGGTTGGTCGTCTGTCTCGACCAGTTGGGGTGAGAGAGAGAGAGAGAGAGAGAGAGAGAGGCAGAGAGAGAGAGAGCGAGAGACAGGTGCACAGCAACAACAGTATTGGCAATGGCAGTCAAGCAGGACCATGGCAGGAGGCTCCACCAGGATCCATGAGAACCTGGGAGACGAGAAAGCACAAGAACTCCGGGGAAGAAGTGAAGTTAGTAACATGCATTAATGGGACATGAATGAGTGCAGAAAGAGAGAGGAAGGGAGGAGCTCAGTGCACCATGGGAAATCCCCCGATAGTCTAGGCCTATAGCAGCATAACTAAGGGATGGTTCAGGACTCACCTGATCCAGCCCTAACTATAAGCTTTATCAAAGAGGAATGTCTTAAGCCTACTCTTGAATGTGGTGAGGGTGTCTGCCTCCCGAACCACAACTGGAAGCTGGTTCCACAAGAGAGGAGCTTGGTAACTGAAGGCTCTGGCTCCTGTTCTACTTTTAGAGACTATAGGAACCACAAGTAGCCCAGCATTCAGAGAACGTAGTGTTCTAGAGGGGTAATAGGGTACTATGAGCTCTTTAAGATATGAAGGGGCCTGACCATGAAGAGCTTTATAGGTGAGGAGGAGGATTTTAAATTCAATTCTACATTTTACAGGGAGCCAATGCAGAGAAGCTAGTACAGGAGAGATGTGATCTCTTTTTCTAGTTCCTGTCAGTACTCGTGCTGCAGCGTTCTGAATTAATTGGAGCGTTTTAATGGACTTATTGGGGCAACCTGATAATAAAGAGTTGCAGTAATCCAGCCTTGAAGTAACAAATGCATGGATTAGTTTTTCTGCATCTGTCTGTGATAGGATGTGTCTAATTTTTCTAATATTACGTAAATTAAAGAAGGCGGTCCTAGAGGTCTGCTTTATGTGGGAGTTAAATGACAAATCCTGATCAAAGATAACTCCAAGATTCCTGACAGTGGTGCTAGAGGCCAAGTTAATGCCATCTAGAGTAACTATATCTTTAGACAGTGAGTCTCTAAGGTTCTTGGGGCCAAGAACAAGAATTTCGTTTTTTTCTGAGTTTAACATCAGAAAATTGCAGGTCATCCAGGATTTTATGTCCGTAAGACATGTTTGTAATTTACATAATTGATGAATTTCATTGGGTTTGATTGATAGATATAACTGCGTATCATCTGCATAACAGTGAAAGTTAATGGAGTGATTCCTAATAATGTTGCCTAAAGGGAGCATATATAAAGTAAATAGTATTGGTCCAAGTACAGAACCTTGTGGAACTCCATGACTAACTGTAGTATTTATTGAAGATTCATCGTTAACATGTACAAACTGCGAGCGATCTGATAAATATGACTTAAACCAGCTTAGTGCGGTTCCTTTAATGCCAATTTGATGCTCAAGTCTCTCTAAAAGAATATTATGGTCAATGGTGTCAAATGCAGCACTAAGATCTAATAATACAAGTACAGAGACAAGTCCATTGTCAGAAGCAGTCAGAAGGTCATTATTAACTTTAACCAGAGCTGTCTCTGTGCTATGATGAACTCTAAATCCTGACTGAAAATCCTCAAATAAACTATTGTTATGTAGAAATTCACACAACTCTTTGGCGACTACTTTCTCCAGAATCTTAGAGAGGAAGGGGAGGTTAGAAATCGGTCTATAGTTAGCTAAAACCCCTGGGTCAAGAATGGACTTTTTAAGAAGGGGTTTAATTACAGCTACTTTGAAGGACTGTGGTACATATCCTGATAATAAAGAAAGATTAATCATATCCAGTAAAGAAGTGCCAATTTGGGAAGACTATTAAATGTTCAATATCAATGCCATATGATAAAACAAGGTCAAGAGTGTGATTAAAAGAATGGGTTGGTTTATTTACACTCTGACAGAAGCCAATTGAGTCTATTAATGATATAAATGCATTACTAAGGCTGTCATTGTCAACATCCACATGAATATTAATATCACCTACAATAATTACTTTATCTGATTTAAGGACTAAACTTGATAGAAACTCTGAAAATTCAGATATAAAATCAGAGTACGGTCCAGGAGCGCGGTACACTATAACAAATAGAACTGGCTGCAGTGTTTTCCAGTTTGGGTGAGAAAGACTAAGAACAAGGCTTTCAAATGAATTATAATTTAGTTTAGGTTTAGGGTCCATTAAAACGCTCGAATCATATATGGCTGCCACTCCACCTCCTCAGCCTGTGCCTCGAGGAATGTGAGTATTAATATGACTGGGGGGGGTGGATTCATTTAGGCTAACATACTCCTCGTGGGACAACCAGGTCTCAGTAAGACAAAGTAAATCAATATCATAATCTGATTTTAATTCATTCACTAAAACAGCTTTAGAGGACAGAGACCTGATATTTAACAGCCCACATTTCATTCTCTTATTTTGTGCTACTGAGGAGTCAGTTTTAATTTTTATTAGATTTTTATGTTGAACTCCTGTTTTTATTTCTTTAAATAATTTAGGTGGTCGGGGGACAGACACAGTCTCTATGGGGTTTTGGGTGGGTGACTGTTCTAAAGAAAGCACAGAGAAGTGTGTAAGACAGCAGCTCTGCTTCCTGGTCCTAACTCTGGACGGTTTTAGAAATAAACTTCGCCATGTTTCTAGATAAGAGAGCCGCTCCATCCAAAGTGGGATGGATGCCGTCTCTCCTAATCAGACCAGGTTTTCCCCAAAAAGGCTTCTAGTTATCAATGAAGCCCACATCGTTTTCTGGACACCACCTCGACAGCCAGCGGTGGACTGGCGACATACGGCTTTCATTATATTTACGTTTATCTTTACCAAGCAGTTTTAAATACGATTCGATGTCGCCCGTTCTGGCCCCAGGGATACATTTAACTATGGCCGCTGGCTTCGCTAACTTCACGTTTCTGACTATCGAGCTGCCAATAACCAGAGTTGGTTCCTCAGCGTGTGTGTCGCTGAGTGGGGAAAATGTATTAGAAACACGAATCGGTTCGTGGTGAACTGTGGGCTTCTTTTGTTTGTGGCAATGCATCTCCTGGAAAGTCACCCACTCTCCCTGTCTTCCCGGCTGCTCGGGAACTACCGGGGGAGCTACCGGGGGACTGCTAGCAAAAGCTACCTTCGGTCAGCCTGCACCGGCTACTGGGGGCTGGCTAACTATATCGGCTTAAGATAGCTCTGTGGTGCGGTACCGTTCCTCTAGTTCACTAAGTCTCGCCTCCAGCTCAGTAACTAAACTACACTTAATACATGTATCATTATCATTAAAGAAGGCAGAGGAGTAACTAAACATCTGGCACACTGAGCAGGACAGAGCAGAGGAAGAGGGAGAAGCCATTGTTAAGTGTTAGTGCTAAAGAAGCTAGCGTGTGTGAAAACTTTGAAAATAGCGAAAAGTCGCTAAAAGAAGGAAGTAGCTCTGAGTGTTTTAGGTAGAACTAGTCTACTCAGTACGCTTACCGTGGCAAGGAAACTGTTCCTTGAAGGGAAAAATCACAAAAACACACACACATCTAGTGGCACTCTTTATTAACCATGGTCTAGGGTCATTAGAAATAACAGGAATACGACACAACATAAATTGGACACCAGTGGAGAGGAAAAAAGCTGAAAGACACTGGATCGGACAAAATGATTCACCCGTATGTAATCCTAAGAGTGAGGAACTCTTCACATCATTTTCCTGGGAACATCCAATGTTTGCTCAGTTTTATAGTCATACTGTACCCTGAAATAATAGAATAGGTACCATCAGTTCAATAATAACTACAGTATAACAATTGTTACCCCCTTGTTCAATTACTTCACATCTTGTTCGTCAGTACTACATACTGGTATATGTTCTGTTACAAAAGATGAGACCATAACTCTCCAGAGTGATTACCCTGTATGCTGGCGGCTGTTATCTAAAGCAAAGTATATATCTGAAAAAAATATTATCTTCTTTTTTTATTGATTTATTCACTTTTCAAATGGACAGAGACAAAATATGGGCAGAATACATCTATTTGTCACTTCCTGCCTTTTGCTTTGAGGAATGAGAACATGAGCACATGAGAAGTGAGAAGAGACATTAAGTGAGAAAGGAAAAAAGAATAAAAGAGTGAATAACAAAACACACACACACACACATTGTAACCCCCCCCCCGCTCCCTTCTGACTGAGACAATAGTTTGAGCTGAATGAGCGGAGACAGTTAAAGGAGCAGACCACTGTTTTTACATCATTTAACCCTTTACACTCTGTCTAACCCTAACCCACTTTTTTTGTTTTTCTTTACAGATAAACAGCTCAGTGTTTCTGTAGCTTCTCATTACTCTTTTGATTCAATCATTGATCCACTGATACCTTTCAATGGACTCATTGATCAGTGATGTCTAACACACAGACCTTTGGTCATAAAAGTTCACTCAAATCAAGAGTTTGGTTGTTTTTAATTATTTCAAATTAAACATTTTGCACTTCACGAGTTCCAAGCATACATGTATTACATGTGGATGGAACATCTGGATCATTATAATAAATAATAAAGTAAATCTTCAGGGGGGACAAATCTGAAGAAAAAACAAACACTAATGAATTTGTGTTTCTGTCAGTTTCAAACATCAGTCTGTTTTAATGTTTCGTGACACCAATAGAAAGAAATCCTTCAGAATGACCCTTTAAATAGGATTAGACCCCCCCCTCACTAAATCAGATGGTACAGTCCACCACCACCACCCCACCCCCTCCTCTTATTGAGCTGAATGAATGAGAGAGAGAGAGAGAGAGAGAGACGTAGAGTCACTGTGGCATGCCAAAAGAGACTCTGCAGCAACACATTCCTCTTCACTAGATTTATTCTGCAAGAACAACACAGAGAGAACCAGTCCAGTTAGCCAGTTAGTCCCAGTTAGAAACAGTCTAAATCCAGTTAGTCCCAATTCAATCCCAGCTAGAATTTGTGGTTGAGTTGCTGGTTGCAGAGATGAAGTTGCTGCTGTTGTTGTTGCTGATGGAACGAGCAGCAGCTCAACAGAGAGGTGAGAAACTTTCTGTTCTCTTTGATTAAATTCTACTGACTTCTACTGCTTTATTTTCACTTCGACTGAGTGTCACTGAGTTCTCCTGTTAGAACAATGAGGACAGAGGTTAGATCTTTGAGGTTGTTGTTTCAGTTTGTTAGGAAGTCAGAAACGTTTCTGTCTCTTTGATTTTGGCTGAAAACAGATTTTGTCTGACATTTGTTTTATGTTTATTTATAATATTACTATACACCAATGTATCATGGCAGTTTTATCAGTAATTTGAAGATCTTGTCAAATGAAATAGAAACAGACAAATGTGTTTAAATATTAATTATTAGTAACAATTGAGTTCTTTTGACTCAATAATTTCAATTTCAATTTTCAATTTTTTAATTATAAAGAGTTCAAATGTTATTTAATCTTCAGACAGTAAATATTTTAACTTCAGCATATTTTTATATTCAGTTGTTTGAAGAAAAACTATTTTCTACTGAAAGCTCCAACAAGCTTCCTGTTTGATAGTTACTCAATTAAAATTTAAAATGATCTGAGTCACAGTTAAAGTTTGAATTGTTGATTTTTGTTATAAACTGGAACTCATAAACAGACAAACTGTGGGAGTTAATGTTGGCTCTGTTAGCTCCTTCTGTGTCACAGTTATTTAACATGAAGCAGAGGACCTTAAATGGTAAAGAAATAATGTTTCCCAAAGTTCTGTATGGCTGTCTCTTTAGTTCTCTTAAATATGTAATGTCTTCATGTAGTTCACACAGTCGTGGTGAATCCTTGAGACATGACTGCAGACGAACACAATGATCCAGGATTTATCTGTTTAGTCTTCAGCAGCCTGAAGGCCCATTAACAAATCCTTGACTGAGTTCACTTTCAAGTGCAGAAATGTTTCACCCAGTGTGGTTATACTGCAGTACAATCTGTGTTTACCTGTAATAGAATCCATTTTATCTGTGGCTCTAACGGCTCTTATATGATAATTATTCATGTGGAATTGGGTCTCAAGGCACAAGTTGTTGATGCTGTTACCTGCTGGTGGACAACCATGACACCTAGTTACTAAGAGCAAAACAGTCTCCTTTTGTCCATCCAGACAAACCCTGGAGTTAAAACTGAAACAGGGGCAGCAGGGTTAGGCTTAGGAACTTGTAAAAGCGTGGGGAGAAATAAATGAAGAAAGAAGCTGATCAGTGATCAATGAATCAGCAGGTGATCACTTTGTGTGTAACAAACTGTGTGTCCTGCTGGGAAAGAACCAGTCTGTCTGTCTGTGTGTGTGTGTGTGTGATAATTACTGTTAACACACTCCGCCCTCTTCCTCTCCACCCCCCCAAAAAACCATCCCCCACAGAGCTGTAGATCTCTCACATCTGTGTGTTTGTGTGTGTTGGGGGAGGGTCAGAGGTCAATCTGAATATCAACAGACTGATTTAACACATTCCAACACACACACACACACACACACACACACACACACACACACACACATTGAATTCAGTGTGTGAACTGCAGCACGTTCAGTCTCTGACGGTTTAATATTGTTGTTGTTTTTTTGTTTTTATATTTTTATCTGCTGATTTCTGACTGTAGATTACTTTTGAGAGCACACAGAACCATCAGTGGCTGTTAATGTACAGCTGGTCCTCACTAAGGAAGTCAAATGAATGGACTATCCTGAAACTGTCTGTCTGTATGTTTCACTCTCTACCCGTCTGTTGGCTGTGAGTAGAAGAAGACGTGTCTGTCTGCCGCTAAGACTGTGAACAGACAAGCTACTGAAACACCTGGGGACAGTTCATGTGGACGTTTTCACTTATTTCACACATTCACACACACAGACACACACACACACACACACACACACACACACACACAGACCTTAGACTGTGTGTATTGTGCATGTGTGTGAGACCACCCAGTTGAAGTTATCACACCTCGGCAGCTGATCACACACAACAGTAATTAACATCTGTGTGTGTTCTTTATCACTGATTGTATCTTTTCACTCAACTGATCAAAGTGTTGACGATGTTTCTTTTGGTTGTACTTTTTATTTATTTTACTTTTCTATCACTTCAATGAATGAGTTAACAATATTAAAACAGACAGAGAGTCAGAGATTGTGACAGCTTCATGAGACAAACACCCTGTTAAAGAACTTTTAAAAAACAACTTTAAACTGTTAGGGTATGGTTGGAAGCTCAGGGTTGGGTTTCTTTAATGATGAGTGTATCAGTGATGAAACAGTTTGACCTTTAACCTCTGAATGCTATAAATAAATCACGATCATATTTAAAATAATATTACTATCTGCAATGTTTCTGTATTTTATTTGAACCGTTAACTGTTCCAAAGCAATATCAGACCTCTGCCCTGTACAGTATCATATGACACAGCCTCAGGAAGTGAACTGTTACCACAAGGTTTTAGACAGTGACTCACCTGAGAGTTTACCTGCAGAAATACCTGGTCTGTCTGAGGCACTGCTGACTGTCTGAGTTTGACACTGAGTTCATTCACTCACCTGTGCCTTGATGCTAACAGTTAGCGCTGTGTTTCAGGATGCTAACAGTTAGCGCTGTGTTTCAGGTCTGTTCCCGGCCATCCTGAACTTGGCCAGTAATGCAGTGATCAGCAGTAACGCCACATGTGGAGATCCAGAACCTGAGGTTTACTGTAAACTGGTCGAACATGTTCCAGGACGACGGATCAAGAACCCACACTGCCCAAAATGTGATGCCAACTCCATCCTGTCCAAAGGTACAAAACCAGGATCACAGAGTTCACACTAACTGCAGGTCCAATTTAAAACTAGAGCCATAGAGGGGTCTGGGTTAGGGTTCTTAAGTTTAGTCATCTCTCTATACTGTCTGACTTCCTGTCTGTGGTCCATTGGTTCCTCCTGAAGATGTAAAAACTGAATTGATCATGTTTCACATCATCACTGAATTACCATTTCTCAGGGTACCGAGTACTACAGGGCAGTACTTCAGTACACAAGCAGTAGCAGTACTAACAGTATTTGTGTATGTTGTTCAGAACGTCATCCAATCACAAACGCCATCGATGGGACGAATCAGTGGTGGCAAAGTCCAAGTATCAAGAATGGACGACAGTTTCACTGGATTACCGTCACACTGGACCTCAAACAGGTAACAACAGTGTGTGTGTGTGTTTGTATATATACTTGAAGGGATGAAGATGAACAGACTGAACACTGCAGGACACAGTTTGTGGTTTGATTCCCACCACAGTGTTTCCATGGCAACCAGTCAACAAATCACAGTGTGAGATGTATAAATGACTTTATACAGAGTTGGTTCAAAGACATTTCTGTTTAAAATAAGTCTGAGCCTTGTAATAACACACAGTACTGGTGTATTCATAGTGCCAGGCAACAACAACAACAACAACAACAACAGTCATGTATTTGCTTATTATAAATCTTTCTGAGGAAAAGTTCACATTCTTAAAGTATTGATATAATATTGACATGTTGGTTTATAAAGAAAAATGGGTTATGGTTAGTTTATATGAATAAACAGTTGTTCATTCTCACGGACAGTAAGTGTGTTTGTGATTCTGTACACATTACATGTATTCCTGTCTGTTATTGTTATTATTAATCTACTCTCTGTGCTCAACCACAGTGTGCAGTGTGCCACAAAATCAACCAATCAGAGGACTTGTTTAGTGTCCAGTTAAATAGTATAACTATGTACTGCATCCCATAAGCATTATGAAACAGAGACTGAGAGCAGATTGTCAGTATTATATTAAAATGTTTTTACAATCTCATTCTGAAACGTCTGCTGGCTTTCATATTCTTATGGAAGTGTTTTGATTGGAGACCAAACAGCCAATCAGAAGGTGTGAAAGGGTTTTTATTGTATGTTGGATAATAGCAAACATGTAAATACATGTAGTGAATTTAGTTTGCTTAAAATAAAGTAGTTTAGGTTGCTTGGGGCAGCTGTGGCGCAGAGGCAGAGCAGGTCGTCCTCTAATCAGAAGGTTGCTGGTTTGATCCCCGGCTCCTGGTGCCACATGATGAAGTATCCTTGAGCAAGATACTGAACCCCCGAATGTGTATAAATGCGTTTCTGTTCGATGGGCTTTGCCATGAGTGAATGTGTGTGAAAGGGTGAATGTGGCACGTAGTGTAAGAGCACTTTGCGGAGTGGAAGGAACAAATATACCTCCATAGATTACACATATAAAAGGAGTTCTCTGAGTAACCAGGTAACAGTGACTGTACTGATTGTTCCTATTTCTCTTCAGATTTTTCAGGTTGCCTACATCATCATCAAGGCAGCTAACTCACCTCGGCCAGGTGAGACCTGTCTGTCTGTCTGTCTGTCTGTCTGTCTGCACTCTAATGTCTTTATACAAATACAACCTTTACAACCTGTCTCTCTGACTGACCTGTCTGTGTCTCTCGGTCAGGTAACTGGATCCTGGAGCGCTCTCTGGATGGTGTGACCTTTGACCCCTGGCAGTTTTACGCCATCAGTGATTCTGAGTGTTTGACTCGTTACAACGTGACACCGAGACTCGGACCTCCGACCTACAAGAGAGACACCGAGGTTATCTGTACGTCATACTACTCCAGACTGAACCCCTTGGAACATGGAGAGGTGATACTTTCTGTCTGCCTGTCTGCCAGTCAGTCAGTCTGTCTGTCTGTTTATCTGCCTGCCTGTTTGCCTGGCTGTCTGCCTGTTTATGTGTGCTATAAAGTTGGATATTTAAATATGGGGCTCTATTGACTGGAGCCAGACTCTAGTGGATGTTAGAGGAACTGCAGTTGTTGGTTCTTCCGCTTAGATTAATTTGCAGCCACAGAAGTTGCTGATTGGAGGGTAGACAAGCTGTCTGTCTGACCTGTCTTTCTCTCTCTACCTGTCTCCCTTTCAGATCCATACGTCTCTGATTAATGGCCGACCTGGAGCTGACGATTTGACCTCTGACCTCCTGAACTTCACGTCAGCTCGTTACATCAGACTGAGGCTTCAACGAATCAGGACACTAAATGCCGACTTGATGACGCTGAGTGCCCGTGACCCCCGAGACATTGACCCCATCGTCACCCGGAGGGTGAGACAGGCTGCAAGAGAGACAGACAGTTGTTAATTATGAATAAACTGTTATTAACAACAGTATGTTTTGTCTCTCAGTATTATTACTCCATCAAAGACATCTCTGTGGGTGGGATGTGTATCTGCTATGGCCATGCCCAGAGCTGCCCACTGGACCCTGTTACCAAGGTAACAACACACACCTGTACACCTGTATACCTGTACAGTACAGTGACAACTGATGGCAATGTTTAACCTGGGTGTGTGTGTGTGTGTGTGTGTGTGTTAACAGAAGCTGCAGTGTGTGTGTGAACACAACACCTGTGGAGAGAGCTGCAACAAGTGTTGCCCTGGTTACCACCAACAGCCATGGCAACCGGGAACCGTCTCTGAGGGAAACACATGTGAAAGTAAGAAACACAGAGTAGACAGAAATATAGAAATACCCTTAAAGACACCTGTTTGTCTCTAACCTATGTCTCTCTCACCTGTCTGTCACTCACCTGTCTGTTTCTCAGAGTGTAACTGTCACAACAAAGCCGTCGACTGTTTCTACAATCAGACTGTCTCTGAACTCTCTTTGAGTTTAAACACTCATGGTGTTCGTCAGGGAGGCGGAGTCTGTATGAACTGCCAACAAAACACCGCCGGCATCAACTGTGAGACCTGCACCGCCGGGAACTACAGACCTGCTGAGGTACTGACTATACTGCAAATACTACTACAGACCTGCAGAGGTACTGACTATACTGCAAATACTACTACAGACCTGCAGAGGTACTGACTATACTGCAAATACTACTACAGACCTGCAGAGGTACTGACTATACTGCAAATACTACTACTGATTACTGACATTTAAAAAAATACAAGTTTGTCAACATTATTGCCAGTAAATGTTATGTATTACTCAATCACAGCTCTTGTTGTTAATGTGTGTGTGTGTGTGTGTGTGTCTGTAGGTGTCTCCATACTCAGACTCACCATGTGTTCAGTGTAACTGTGATCTAAGAGGATCAGAGTCTTCAACCTGTACCAGAGACAGCACACAGCTAGGTGACTACTGTTACTTTTATTGTTATTATTGTTGTTGATGATGCTAGTTCTTACACAGTGTGTGTGTGTGTGTGTCCAGGTGTGTCTGCAGGTCAGTGCAGGTGTAAGGAGGGTTTCACAGGTCGACAGTGTGATCGTTGTGCATTTGGATTCAGAGATTTTCCTCTCTGTACTCAATGTGAGTGCAACCTCTCCGGCAGCATCAACACAGACCCCTGCAGCCCCTGCACCTGCAAGGTAAACACAGTGACGTCATACTGTACCATGGTAATCAGCCTGTGTCAGTCTGAACAGGAACAGAACATTTTTAAAGCTTTCTGACTCTCCCCTGTTCTCTTTTCCTCAGGTGAATGTGATGGGTGCTCACTGTGATCTGTGTAAACCAGGTTTCTACAACCTGCAGGACAATCATCCACTCGGCTGCACAGACTGTTTCTGCTTCGGTGTGTCAGATGTCTGTGAGAGCTCCGCCTGGTCCACAACTCAGGTAACACACAGAAGCACACCTCTACTTAGGTAATATGGTGACGTACATCTGTAAACCTGAACACACCTGTACTCAGGTAACTATGGTGGCCAAAAACACACAAACACATAAAACAAATGCAACAGAAAAACGCAGCAAGAGAAAAATGCTGCAATCACAGAAACGAAGCAGAAGCACAAACTTACAAACCCACAAAACAAATGCCAAAGAAAAATGCTGCAAATTTCAAAAACACACAAAACCCCAAAACAATTGCAAGATATAAACGCTGCAAATTCACTCGACTAACCCTAACCCTAACCCCTTGCCCTTGTCGGCCACTGTAGGTAACACAGCAGTATATTGTATTATTTCATATGATTGTGTTTTTCAGGTGCTTCATAAAGACGCTTGGCTCCGCCCCCCTCAGTCCCTCCACACCCCATCTGTCATCAATGACAATGACCTACCGATCCCCGGGAACGCCTCTTCTGGCCACGCCCATCAACAAGTGCTGTCATGGGAGGCACCTGACAGTTTCCTTGGAAACAAAGTAGGCTACTATTTCCATTGTTGGTCATTATTTCAACCCTCAGTTAACAGGAAACTGACTGTCTGTCTCTCTGTCTGTCTGTCTCTAGCTGGTGTCTTACAGAGGTTTCCTGAACTACTCTGTGGTTTACGATCTCCCACTGGACAATGAAGACCATTCTCTCCCCGGCCACTTTGACATTATCATTGAGGTAAGAAAATGTTTTAGGAATACGTCACTTCTTGTCTTCAGAGTAACCAGCTGTAAAAGTTCTCAGTGGAACTGTTTCTGAAAGCTGCTGCATCACATTTTACTCATCAAACAATAAAAACCTAGTTTCTGATTTTCTTTACTTCCCCAAAGAGTGAATGGTGATAAAAGATAGATAGAAGATAAAAATGTTAAACTGAGGGACCTGGACAGTCAGTGTGTCCGCCTGTGTCCAACTCTTCCTCACAAGTTAGTTAATGACAGACAGTCAGTGAGTGTGTCTGTGTCCAACTCTTCCTTACAGGTTAGTTAATGACAGACAGTCAGTGAGTGTGTCTGTGTCCAACTCTTCCTTACAGGTTAGTTAATGACAGACAGTCAGTGAGTGTGTCTGTGTCCAACTCTTCCTTACAGGTTAGTTAATGACAGACAATCGGTGAGTGTGTCTGTGTCCAACTCTTCCTCACAAGTTAGTTAATGACAGACAATCGGTGAGTGTGTCTGTGTCCAACTCTTCCTCACAAGTTAGTTAATGACAGACAGTCGGTGAGTGTGTCTGTGTCCAACTCTTCCTCACAAGTTAGTTAATGACAGACAGTCAGTGAGTGTGTCTGTGTCCAACTCTTCCTCACAGGTTAGTTAATGATGTTACTGAGTCAATGTGAGCAGATTGTGTCTGTAGATTGAAGAGAATCAGAAGAGTCTCACTGATGGTGGAAAATAGAGGTTTTACTTCCTTAAAACAACCGGTTTTATAATGGAGTTTGGTGTGACAGTGTGGAGCAGAGGGGGTTTGAACCTTAATAATTCCCATAAACTGAGCTGACCTACCTTCTAATAATGAACCTTGTAAACAGCAGAAAGTAACAGGAAGTGAAGATAAACCCTCCTGTTTTCTTCTTCTGTGGTCTCATAGTAAAAGGTAGATTAATGAACACAAACATTAGTTTACAGTAACGTCACATTGGACAGAAGGTTTATGCTCCTAATAGATAAAATCAGTACAGTGTTATTATTTATGATATCATTCTGATAAACTATCAGAAACCTCAAAATTAACCACCAGTCAAATTAGAGACGGCTATCAACCCAAAGGGGGCGGGGCTTGACGCAGGGCTAAAGTACTGGGTTGGACTGCTCTAATCTATATTATATATTTAATTCATTATATAGTAATTAACATTTAACATTAAAAACTACAATCATGGCATCTGTAAGGACTACACCCGGACTGATCTGATTGTCTAATCTACAGGGAAATGGTCGGACTCTTCATCTCTCACCTCCTCTCCTCCTCTTCCTCTCTCCACTGGCTGAGCGCTCGGTTGCCGTGATGATAGCCTCACAGCGGTTCGTGGACGTTCAGACAGGCGTTCACGTTATCCGTGATGACCTGCTGTCGGTCCTAGCCGACGTGACTTCACTGAGGGTCAGAGTTCACCTGAACGCCTCCGCCGACGGGCCGATACGGTGAGAGCAAAGTAATCTGATTACATCCAATCTGTATGCTGGTCCAAAGTCTGGACGTTGGGGTCTGGTATTGGTTGATTCTTCAGGGTCCTGTAGAGGACTGGCAGACCAAAAGGGACCAGAGAGACTGAAGGACTGATGTGGATTCTGTCCTGGTCCTGGATAAGTGGGCCAACTCGTATTCAAATCAAAATCAAATCAATTTTATTTGTATAGCGCCAATTCATAACAGAAGTTATCTCAGGACACTTTTCAAATAGAGCAGGTCTAGACCGAACTCTTTAAGATTAATTACAGAGACCCAACAGTACCACCATGAGCAAGCACTTGGCGACAAGGGCAAGGAAAAACTGCCTGTTAAAAGGCAGAAACCTAGGACAGATCCTTCGGCTCTAGGTGGGTGGTCGTCTGTCTCGACCAGTTGGGGTGAGAGAGAGAGAGAGAGAGAGAGCGCGAGAGCGAGAGACAGACAGACAGGTGCACAGCAACAACAGTATTGGCAATGGCAGTCAAGCAGGACCATGGCAGGAGGCTCCACCAGGATCCATGAGAACCTGCGAGACGAGAAAGCACAAGAACTCCGGGGAAGAAGTGAAGTTAGTAACATGCATTAATGGGACATGAATGAGTGCAGAAAGAGAGAGGAAGAGAGTAGCTCAGTGCACCATGGGAAATCCAGAGAACGTAATGTTCTAGTGGGGTAATAAGGTACTATGAGCTCTTTAAGATATGAAGGGGCCTGACCATGAAGAGCTTTATAGGTGAGGAGAAGGTTTTTAAATTCAATTCTACATTTTACAGGGAGCTAATGCAGAGAAGCTAGTACAGGAGAGATGTGATCTCTTTTTCTAGTTCCTGTCAGTACTCGTGCTGCAGCGTTCTGAATTAATTGGAGCGTTTTAATGGACTTATTGGGGCAACCTGATAATAAAGAGTTGCAGTAATCCAGCCTTGAAGTAACAAATGCATGGATTAGTTTTTCTGCATCTGTCTGTGATAGTATGTGTCTAATTTTTCTAATATTACATAATTGAAAGAAGGCGGTCCTAGAGGTCTGCTTTATGTGGGAGTTAAATGACAAATCCTGATCAAAGATAACTCCAAGATTCCTGACAGTGGTGCTAGAGGCCAAGTTAATGCCATCTAGAGTCACTATATCTTTAGACAATGAGTCTCTAAGGTTTTTGGGGCCAAGATCAAGAATTTCGTTTTTTTCTGAGTTTAACATCAGAAAATTGCAGGTCATCCAGGATTTTATTTCCGTAAGACATGTTTGTAATTTAGATAATTGATTAATTTCATTGGGTTTGATTGATAGATATAACTGCGTATCATCTGCATAACAGTGAAAGTTAATGGAGTGATTCCTAATAATGTTGCCTAAAGGGAGCATATATAAAGTAAATAGTATTGGTCCAAGTACAGAACCTTGTGGAACTCCATGACTAACTTTAGTATTTATGGAGGATTCATCGTTAACATGTACAAACTGAGAACGATCTGATAAGTATGACTTAAACCAGTATGTATTAGGCTTAGGGGTCATGGGTTACTGTCTTTAATTTTTTAAGTTTAATTTGTGTTTATCCTTGTAGCAAGACTCACTAATACGAGGGTTCTCCCAGCACACTGACCAACCACAGGGATTACTGAACAAGACAACTTTATTCATTTGTCTGTCACACACACAATGACACACAATTTAGCCTGCTTCAAAAGTCCATTCAGGTCTGCTCCGGTTGTGTCTTCTCTGTCATGTGTGTCAGGGCCTCCAGGTCCAGCACACTACTCCCCTTAAAAGAGGTGAGAGTGATTACTTCATGAGTACCAGCTGAGATAATCAACTCACCTGGCACTGCTCTCGCAAGCCTTCCCCACACCCACCTCCACAGTCCTCCAATCGACTAATCCCCGACCTCTGACCTCTATCTGTCTGTCTCTCTACCTGTCTGTCATCAGTCTTAGGTCTGTCTCTCTGGATGTTGCTGACTCTGGTTCTGTTTCTGGCGTTCAGGCGGTTGCCGTGGAGATGTGTGAATGTCCATGGGGTTACAGCGGTACTTCCTGTGAGGTCAGCAGATCACTTTTTCTAACAAGTACTGCTAGTTCTGTTAGTTCAAGTACTGTTAGTTCTGTTAGTACTGTTAGTTCAACTACTGTTAGTTCTGTTAGTTCAAGTACTGTTAGTTCTGTTAGTACTGTTAGTTCTGTTAGTTCAAGTACTGTTAGTTCTGTTAGTACTGTTAGTTCTGTTAGTACTGTTAGTTCAAGTACTGTTAGTTCTGTTAGTTCAAGTACTGTTAGTTCAAGTACTGTTAGTTCTGTTAGTACTGTTAGTTCTGTTAGTTCAAGTACTGTTAGTTCTGTTAGTACTGTTAGTTCTGTTAATTCAAGTACTGTTAGTTCTGTTATTTCTGTTATTTCTGTTAGTTCTGTTAGTACTGTTAGTTCTGTTAGTTCAAGTACTGTTAGTTCTGTTATTTCTGTTATTTCTGTTAGTTCAAGTACTGTTAGTTCTGTTAGTACTGTTAGTTCTGTTAGTTCAAGTACTGTTAGTTCTGTTATTTCTGTTATTTCTGTTAGTTCTGTTAGTACTGTTAGTTCTGTTAGTTCAAGTACTGTTAGTTCTGTTAGTACTGTTAGTTCTGTTAATTCAAGTACTGTTAGTTCTGTTATTTCTGTTATTTCTGTTAGTTCTGTTAGTACTGTTAGTTCTGTTAGTTCAAGTACTGTTAGTTCTGTTATTTCTGTTATTTCTGTTAGTTCAAGTACTGTTAGTTCTGTTAGTTCAAGTACTGTTAGTTCTGTTAGTTCAAGTACTGTTAGTTCTGTTAATACAAGTTCTGTTGGTATTGAGAATAACATCAACCTTTGTCTGTTTTGTGCGTACTGTGTGTATTGTGTGTATTCCTGTATGTGTATTTGTGCGTACTGTGTGTATTGTGTGTACTGTGTGTATTGTATACATTCCTGTACGGGTATTTGTGCGTACTGTGTGTACTGTGTGTATTTGTGCATACTGTGTGTATTGTGTGTACTGTGTGTATTGTGTGTATTCCTGTATATGTATTTGTGCGTACTATGTGTACTGTGTGTATTGTGTGTATGTGTGTGTACTATGTGTATTGTGTGTATTGTGTGTATTCCTGTATGTGTATTGTGCGTACTGTGTGTACTGTGTGTATTGTGTGTATTTGTGCGTACTGTGTGTACTGTGTGTATTGTGTGTATTCCTGTATGTGTATTGTGCGTACTGTGTGTACTGTGTGTATTGTGTGTATTTGTGCGTACTGTGTGTACTGTGTGTATTGTGTGTATTCCTGTATGTGTATTGTGCGTACTGTGTGTACTGTGTGTATTGTGTGTATTTGTGCGTACTATGTGTACTGTGTGTATTGTGTGTATTCCTGTATGTGTATTGTGCGTACTGTGTGTACTGTGTGTACTGTGTGTATTGTGTGTATTTGTGCATACTGTGTGTACTGTGTGTATTGTGTGTATTCCTGTATGTGTATTGTGCGTACTGTGGGTACTGTGTGTATTGTGTGTATTCCTGTATGTGTATTGTGCGTACTGTGTGTACTGTGTGTATTGTGTGTATTTGTGCGTACTGTGTGTACTGTGTGTATTGTGTGTATTCCTGTATGTGTATTGTGCGTACTGTGTGTACTGTGTGTATTGTGTGTATTCCTTTATGTGTATTTGTGCGTACTGTGTGTATTGTGTGTATTCCTGTATGTGTATTTGTGCGTACTGTGTGTACTGTGTGTAGGCGTGTCTCCCAGGTTTTTACAGGGTAGGCGGAGTTTTGTTTGGCGGGAACTGTATGCAGTGTGAGTGTAATGACCACACCATCGAGTGCGACATCAACGGAGTTTGTCTGGTGAGTTTGAACAATAAAGCTACAATAAAAAAAACAAACATAGAGGGCAAGTTTATTATTACTTTATTATATTTTTACCATGGTAACTGAGTAAACACCTGTCTCTCTCAGGGTTGTACCCACAACACCACCGGTCCTCACTGTGAACATTGTCTTCCTGGTTTCTATGGCGACGCCACAGAGGGGACACCTGACGACTGTCGGTTGTGTCCGTGTCCTCTGACGGAGCCATCCAACAGGTTGGTGTTTTCATCAGTGATTCAAACTGAACTTTATTAGTATGAACAATAAGACACTGACTTTATTTAAAAACTTTATGCCTGTGTTCAAATATATTTGAAAGGAGAAATCAACTGTGTAGATTTAGATAGATAGATGGATATAGAGATAAATAATATATAGTTAATAATATAGATAATAATAATATAGTTAATACTATATTAATAATAATAATAATAATAATAATATAGTTAATACTATATTAATAATAATAATATAGATATTATTGCTAATGATATAGATAATATAGATAATGTATAGAACTGATATAAATATGTGTGCATGTGTCTCAGTTTCAGTCCCACCTGTGTGCTCGAGGCGTCCGGCCAGGTGTCATGTGACAGGTGTCAGGATGGATACACAGGAACCAAGTGTGAGAGGTTAGGACGATTGACTGAATGATTGATTGACTGATTGACTGAATGATTGCCAGCCTGGTGTGATACCTGTCTGTCTACGTCTCCAGGTGTGCCAGTGGTTTCTATGGTAACCCACAGGTAGTGGGTGGGGTCTGTGTCCGTTGTGAGTGTAACGGTAACGTGGACATCAGCAAGGCAGGGCACTGTGACACTGTCACCGGGGACTGTCTGCGTTGCCTCGGCAACACCGCTGGCAGACACTGTGAGGTCTGTCAGCCTGGTTACTATGGAGATGCCCTGCACGCCAAAGACTGTCAGGGTGAGTCACACACACACACACACACACACACACACACACACACACACACATCATGTGACAGCTAAAACAATGAGGTCAGAGGTCGAATTCAATCTGGATTTGAAAAGATCAACATTCCTGTGTGTGTGTGTGTGTGTGTGTGTGTGTGTCTTAAGTTTAAAACCATCTTACACAAACTCGTTTGTAGTTGGAAACAATGGCAGCTCACACACCATCTCTGAAACTAGAGACTGAGACAATAAACAGGAAACAGTTTACTGAGCTCATAAATCAACTTCTCCATAACAGTGATCTCTCTGTCTGTCTGTCTGTCTGTCTGTCTGTCTGTCTGTCTGTCTGTCTGTCTGTCTCTGTCTGTCTGTCTGTCTGTCTGTCTGTCTGTCTGTCTGTCTCTCTTTCTCAGAGTGTGGCTGTGATGTCAGCGGCGCCCTCTCCAGTGTGTGTGATGTCACAACAGGTCAGTGTTTGTGCAGAGAGAATGTGACGGGACGCACCTGTAATCACTGCCAGGTGAGACACACACGATTGATTGATTGATTGGTTGATTGATTGATTGATTGATTATTGGTTGATTGGTTGGTTTGTTTGTTTCAGTCTGGCTTTTTTGGGCTGCAGAGTGGGCAGGGCTGTCAGGCCTGTGGTTGCAGCCAATCAAGATCTCTCTCTGAGTCATGTGATGCAGGGGGACGGTGCCAATGTGTGGAGGGCGTGGCCGGACATAAGTGTGACAGTTGTAGCCGTGGTTACTATGGTTTCCATGCCAACGGCTGCACAGGTACTTTAACAGACGGTAACGTGTGACCGCTGACTGGTCCTCTCTCTCATGACTCTGATTGGCTGACATTTGTTTCTCATCCCAGCATGCATCTGTGATCACACTGGAGGGAACTGTGACCCTGAGACTGGAGACTGCATCTGCCCCGCCCACACACAGGGCGACACCTGCGACAGGTGTGAGACAGGTTACTGGGGTCACAACCCTGCCACCGGGTGCCAGGTACGCACACACACATACATACAAATATGTACAAATACACACAGATGTGTACGAATACACACAGTAACATCCTTCTACTTCTTCAGCCGTGCAGCTGCACTGCAGCAGGAAGCTCCGCCCCTCAGTGCGATCTTAGCAATGGACAGTGTCGGTGCAGAGAGGGGTTCTCTGGCAGATCATGTGACCAATGTTCCCCTGGTTACCATGGTTTTCCAGGATGCTCAGTGTGTGGCTGCGACATGGCCGGAACAGACGAGAAGTTCTGCAATACAACGCTGGGAGTGTGTGACTGTCTACACACTGGAGAGTGTGTGTGCAAGGTACACAACCTCTGTGTGTAATAATATATGTGTGTGTGTATTTATACATAAATACAATAATAATATATGTGTGTGTGTCCAGGTGGGCGTGTCTGGGCAGCGCTGTGAGGAGTGTGTTTCTGGTTGGTTCGCTCTGTCAGCTGATGGCTGCTCTCAGTGTTTCTGTTCAGGACTCAGTTCAGACTGCGAGGAGAAGGGAGGACTCTACAGAGTACCTGTGAGTACAAATACACACATATACTCTACAGAGTACCTGTGAGTACAAAAACAAACACTCTTCTCTCTCTCTTTCTCTCTCTCTCTCTCTCCATAGATCAGCCTGGCTCGTTATCCCGCCCTCCTCTCATTGGTCAGTCAATCTAACCTGCACGGTATATTGTCTGGAGTTTACCAGCAGGGTGGTGACATGCTGCTCGACACCCGACAGCTCAACACCAGCAGGCTGGCTGGCCCCCTCTACTGGAGACTGCCCCCCCAGTTCGAAGGTCACCAGGTACTGCTTCCCAAACCGTTTACTGACAGCACCTGGCAACACTGCTGCTTTTAGCCCAAACCGTTTTCAGACTCATCTCAGTTTGTGTCTACTATATATGGCTTATTTACATTAGTGTGTACTCTGTTGTGTATACTGTGTATTGTATTGTGTACTTCTCTGTGTACTTCATTGTGTAGCTGCTGTCGTATGGCGGCCTGCTGTCTTACATCATCACCTTTTATGCTGAGGATGGCTTGGGGCTGTCCAATCAGGAGCCTCAGATCCTGATAAGGGGCGGAACCCTGAGGAAGCTGGTGATATACACAGACATGGTTGCCCCTGGCAACGGCATCAGGACACAGCATGACATCAGACTGACAGAGGTACTGCTGCTAGGAATCATGGGAAACATGAGTCGCCGAAACAAAAAACTGTTTATTATAGTGTGTGTGTGTGTGTGTGTGTGTGTGTGTGTTTCAGCACAACTGGAAGTATTTTAACTCCGTGTTGGACAAGTCGGTGAGTCGTGCTGACTTCCTGTCGGTCCTCAGTAACATTGAGTATGTCATCATCAAAGCTTCATACGGGACCAGACTGCAGCAGAGCAGGTACATATACAGTTCTCATATATTGTACAAGTACACCCTATATACAGTCATATACAGTTCTCATAAAGTACACACTATATACAGTTATATAGTCATCATAAAGTACACAGTATATTCAGTTATATACAGTTCTCATAAAGTGTACTAGTACACAGTATATTCAGTTATATACAATAATATACAGTAATAATACATAATGTTCATGTTCAGTGTCATGGCAGTAGCACAGAGAAAAAAGTAAGGGGCTGAAATTCACGCTGTTGTCAACCATGTTGAACAATACTCAGGAAAAGCGGCACAGTTAGAGAGTATTTCCATCTGTGCTGAAGGAAATAAAGACCTGTCCCTAATAAAGACCTGTCCCTAATAGAGACTTGTCCTCAATGAAGGCAACGTGAGTTCGAGTTTTATGGTATATGCAGCACGCATATGTGTACAAGTACACACATACACGAGTATTCATATATATACACACATACTCAGGATCTCTAACATCACCATGGAAACGGCAGTGGATGCGGAGTTAAAGGAGGGGTCAGTGGTCGGAGGGGGCGTGGCCAGATTGATCGAGTCCTGTGTCTGTCCACCTGGATACAGCGGACTGTCCTGTCAGGTAAATAATACCTGTACACATCTGATTGATTAACTGATCTGGATCAATATACACTGATCGTACCATCTGTTTCTCTGACCTGTCTGTCTCTCTGATTTGTCTGTCTGCAGGAGTGTGCAGCAGGTTTTTTCCGACAGTCTTTATCTGAGTTATCACCTCACACTCAGAAGTCGCTGTTTGTGCGTCCGTGTGTTCAATGCCGCTGCAACAACCACAGTGAGAGCTGCGACACAGAGACCGGAGAGTGCCAGGTAACACGCGAACACACACTAGCATGCTAACACATGCTAGCATATGCTAACACACTAACATGCTAACACACGCTAACACTGACAGTAGAATAAAGTTTCTATTTTTTTGTTCAGGGCTGTCAGCATCACACCAGTGGGCCGGGCTGTGAGCTCTGTGCCCCGGGGTATTATGGGAACATCAGCGGCTCCATCAGTGACTGCTCGCTGTGTGCCTGCCCCCTACGGGGCAACAGGTAACACAGTGTGTTACAAATAATCAGTAGTCAATAGGTTTGATTCCATTGATCTGACTTTAACTATGTGTGTGTGTAGTTTCAGTCCCACCTGTGTGTCGGAGGGAGCGTTTGGTGATTTCCGCTGCACCGCCTGTCAGATGGGATACGAGGGGAGATACTGTGAGAGGTCAGAGTCATGACATCATATTGTGATGACAGCCTCAGGTGTATCACCTGACTGTCACTTCAGTTCTTATTTCTAGGATACAACTTTTATTTAGAAAATCTGACCTTAGTGAATGTGACATCACAATGACCATATGCTTTCACCCTGCAGGTGTTCTGTTGGTTACTATGGCAACCCGTCGGTGCCCGGTGGCATGTGTTCACAGTGCAGCTGCAGTGGGTGGGGCTCGCTGCAGCCGCTGTGTGACGCACTGAGCGGACAGTGTGAGTGTAAGGCTGGTGTCAAAGGTCGGTCATGTGATCAGTGTGAAGAGAGGCACATACTGCAGGAAGGAGAGTGTGTGTGTGAGTAACAGCAACGCACAAACACACACTCACACGAGTTCATATGTTGTGTGTTATCAGACTGATGTATGTTTGTTTTTGACTCCAGCGTGTGATGACGAGTGTACCGGCGTTCTGTTAGACGACTTGGAAAAAATATACAACCACTTCCTGTCTGTCAACCTGAGCGGCGTTGCCATGGCACCATACCACCAGCTGGTGCTGCTGCAGAACCAGACCACAGACGCCCAGGTAAACGCTGCGGCACCTGGTGCACCACGCTGCGGCTCGCTGCAGCTCGCTGCCATCTGGTGGTGACTGTGAGACAGTAACACATTACCCACTGTGTGTTTGTACAGGTGCAGTTTTCACAGAACGGCTCTGTCGCTCTGCGTCTGTCCAGAGTGGAAGACAAGCTGGATCATTTGACCTCTGACCTCAGCACGCTGCTGCAACGGGTATCCTTGGTTACACTCATTTCTAAACTCATTCTGACTGATTGAATAATTTCTGATTGTTTTTAGGAAGTTAACCAACTGTATTACATATGAACAGAGGCTATAATTTTGGTATACAACATACTGTAAATAATATATATATATAGTTTAACAGGTATATATATGTATATATTGTTATGTTACATATAACAATATATGGTTTACAGTATGTTATAATATAGAATATATAACATACTTTAAACACAGATTAAAGGTCCAGTGCTTAGGATTCAGTGTCAACCAAATACAACCAACTAAATACTGCTCAGCCTACAGCGTGTAGCCTCAATCTAGAGCCAGTGTTTTGTTGTTTCTGGGCTTCTGTAGAAACATGGTGGACTCCGCCTTTGTCAGGTGATTAAATACTAATGAAAACATGAATATTAAACTCCATTGATGTTACATACTGGACCTTTAATATCAGATTAACACGTTCAAACACTGCAGGAGGTTTTGAGTTAAAACTGAAAAGCAATGGGGGAGCTGACTATAGGAAGGTTCATATTCTTCCTTGCTCCTGATTGGCTAGGTCACACGTCTATCTGAAAACTTGGAGGAAGTGGGCGTGTCCGCTAAAAACAGCTGTTCCCAGGGTTCAGTGCTGCTGGAGAACATCAGCAGACTTCAGGACAGAATCCAGGGTAAAGTTACCACATCACCAGTGACATCATAACAAAATAATTATTAATTAAGTAAAATAACAACTCTGCAATCTGATTGGTCCAGAGCTTCAGAGGGAGGCTGGGCACCTGAACCAGACCACAGAGGAAGAGTTCAGTTCAGCCAATCAGACACGTCTGCTGGGTGAAGTTGAGTCCATGTTGGAAACCATCAGAGTGGTCAACCTAACAGCTGCCAATACTGCAGCCAATCAGGAGCTCCGGTGTGTGTTTGTGTGTTTATATCGTTTGTACAACGCTTGATGTTTTTATAGATTGTGTTTATTGATTAATTATTGATTGGTTTTCTCTCCCTGCAGTCTAGCACAGTCTCTCATTCACTCCCTGCAGACGGACTTCCTGCCTGGCAGGATGGCGGTTGATGAAAGGCTCCGCCCCCTGTCCGTCTCCCTCAACATTGGCATAGAAATGCTGCAACATGCACATACACAGCTGAGTGATGCTGCACAACAAACCACACAAACACACACTCTGCTGGACGCCATTCACTCTCACCTGCACCGCTACCAGGTAAACCCACTCATCTGCAGTCGGGTAAACACACTCACCTGCAGTCGGGTAAACACACTCACCTGCAGTTGGGTAAACACACTCACCTGCACCGCTATCAGGTAAACCCACTCATCTGCAGTCAGTTAAACACACTCACCTGCAGTCGGGTAAACACACTCACCTGCAGTCGGGTAAACACACTCACCTGCACCGCTACCAGGTAAACACACTCACCTGCAGTCAGGTATACACACTGACCTGCACCGCTACCAGGTAAACACACTCACCTGCAGTCAGGTATACACACTGACCTGCAGTCAGGTAAACCCACTCACCTGCAGTCAGGTAAACACACTCACCTGCAGTCAGGTAAATACACTCACCAGAGGGGTATTGCACAAAACCAAGATAAGGGATTAAGCCGGGATATGTTGGTTATCCTGGCTCAATTTAGCCTCAAGTCGGTTGCATGAAAGCAGGTCAAACTTATCCCGGCCAAGTTACTATGGTGATTTATTCTCTGCAGCTAGCCTGCACCAGACCAGGCTAACAGCCAGGCTAAGATTAATCCTAGTGATTCACCTGTATTTCCACCGTCAATCCTGTGAGGAATTAATGTGTTTTACAGCATGTCCATGGTCTTTCTAAGTATGTTGCATCATTTTAGTTATCCTGCATTAAAATATTACATATATTGTCATTTCTCATTTCATTTAAATCTGTTGGCTGTTTGTAATTGCAACAGTCTTTTTATATTGATTCAAGTGGAAGTATTATTACTCAGGACAAGTGTTATATTGCTATGCTAATGAAGACGGCTTGTCAAAATGCATAAATATGTGTTTTATTGCAGTGATTGAGATTACAAAACACAGCTGATGAATTGCAAAGGTGTTTTCAATGAAATCTGTGACAAGGGCAATATAGTATATATATTATGGCATGCCGTTTAGGAAATGAATCTTTGAATAATATAAAATTAATCTTTGAATATATAGAATGAAACTTTGAATATATGGAATGAAACTTGACTGGTCATCTAGACACTGCTGCCATCTTGTAGAAGAGAGAATGAGTCAGTCAGCTCGGAACCTTGTGGCAGAAATACTGAGCAATGAGGACATTATTAACTCATTGGCAAGTGCTTGTACGGGCCAAAATTCTTCCCATAGTACCCGTGCCCAATACCGTTCTCCTGACGAAGAAGTTATTTTTGAAGGTGGCAGGCCGACTACAACAGGCCTCAGGCAAAATCCTGACAGAAAAAGCAAAAAAGTTTTCCAGTTCAAGAAAGTATTGTAATATTTCAACTGATGCCATTTTGTAAAACCAGCTAATTCAGAAGGCTATCACTTTGATGAAAAGGATACTAGGTTTTGAATTTCATTCAGTATTCTCAAATTTTTTATCAGTATATCCAAGCTTCATTCCATATATTCAAAGATTGATTCCATATATTCAAGGTTCATTCCATATATTCAAAGATTGATTTCCTAAACGGCATGCCATTTTATATATATATATATATATATATATATATATATATATATATTATTCACACCTGTTCCCTCTTCATAATGGCTTGCCCTTTTTTGGAGGATGTACTGGATGAGGAAGCCCTAATCCTCAGACGAGCATTTAGTCATGAAAGAGTCTTCTGGGACAGGTCAGACCCATTGGCCGTTGGAGATGACTATCTCATTGAGAGATACAGATTCTCAGGTGATGGACTAAGATATTTATGTAGGCTGAGGGGTCCAAAAATACAGCACCAGACGGCAGGAAGCCATGCTCTCACTGTACCACAGATGGTCTGTGTTATATTGAGATGTTTTGCAAGTGGGAGCTTCCTTTATTCTGTTGGGGATGCAGAGAACCTCAATAAAGGAACCATTTGCCGCACATATCCTGGCTTGGTGGGCCGCCCCCTGTGCCAGTTCTATGGGCATTTTTTTTAACTGCTACAATCATACAGACATTCAACATGTCAGCAGACACCTAATCTATTCACCTCATTTGTTCACTGTTATCTACTTTATAGTCACTTTCCAGCCTGCAAAATGTTCTAGTATTTAATTTTAACTTGCTGCCAGGTCCTTTTATGGTCAGACAAGTTTGTTCTTTATGAAGGATAGAAAGATAAAATAGATAAAAATAGATTAATTGACACACATTGTGGATAATTGTTTGCACATACTCTACATTTCCTGAGCAACATGCACCTCTACTTGCCACATTTAAAGCAAAGTGTACAACAGTTGATTAGTGGACTTAAAGTAACTCCTTTAGTCCTTTAATTGTAGCCTAATTATGACAGTTCCAGTGGAGCACTGTTTATTCATTGAACAGTTTTGGACTACTTAAGCATTAAGCTGGTCCGCTATTGTCTGCCAGGCTTTCTCTCTTTCTTTATTTATGGCATTGGTATTGCCTTTTTTTCTTGTATCTTTCACCTCTTCATAGAACTCCATCAGGAGCTGTTGTTCAGCGGCTGTGAAATGTCTTATCCATGTTCCCATCGGTGATTCTGTGAGCGATCGCGAGGTCTAGTTCAGTATGCCGTGAACGCGCACTTATCCCGACTATCTACACCTGGCTTAACATAGCCGCACCTTTTAATCCTGGCTCGGCAAACGTGCAACCAATTAAGCCAGGATGCGCCGAGCAGGCTAGGTCAAGCCGCGCTTGCTCAATTATCCTGGATTTCTTTATTCTACTTTTGTGCAATACCCCTCTGGTGCAGGCTAGCTGCAGAGAATAAATCACCATAGTAACTTGGCCAGGATAAGTTTGACCTGCTTTCATGCAACCGACATGATGGTAAATTCAGCCAGGATAACCAACATATCCCGGCTTAATCCCTTATCTTGGTTTTGTGCAATACCCCTCTGCAGTCAGGTAAACCCACTCACCTGCAGTCAGGTAAACACGATGAATAAATAAATACACCTAAAATAATTAAATAAAACAATATTAAAACACCTGTCGTATGTTTGGTGTATCTGTCAAACAGAATAAAACATCAATAAATCAAATAAAAATAAAAAGTTACTGAATGTAGAAAATACAGTGATCTATTGATTTATATAATTGATCTATTGATTATTATTACTATTATTATCTCTGTGTCAGTCTGTCCGTCAGAAGCTCAGTGGTGACTGTTTATTTGTGGACGGACTGATGGACGACAGTCAGCTGCTGCTGGACGACGCTGTCGGACTGACGGATGAGTTTACCAACGCCACTGCCGTAAGACTGATCCATACTATTGATTATTGATCTGTCACTGATCCAGAGTATTGATTATTGATCAGTCACTAACCCAGACTATATATTGATCAATGCAGCAGGTGGAGGAGTTCAGTGGTCAGTTGGATCAGTGGCGTCCTCTGCTCAGGAAACAGGTGGATGCTTTGGTTGTTGGACTGAAGATGACGGACGCTCTGGAGAACGTTTACCGTGCAGAAAGCCACGCCCACCTGCTGCAGAGCCACGCCCACTCCCTGCACAGGTACGTGTGTGTGTGTGTGTGTGTGTGTGTGTGTTTTCAGTGAAATAAAGTTTTCACTGAAATAAAGTTTTTTCTCTCTCAGATCTCTGTCGTCGGTGTGCAATGTGACTCAGAACGGCAGCCGATTGGTCCAATTCGATAGTGACATCACAGAACGAGTTGACTCCGCCCAGCAGGTCGCCTCGATCGCACACAGCTCCGCATCCTTCGCTCTCAACATGGTACGTGTGTGTGTGTGAACTGTCACGCAGGTTCATAATACTTAAGCGTCGACATGGCGACCGTGAGGTAAACAACAGAAATAAACCTGAATCATTAGATTAGATTAGATTAGATATTCCTTTATTTGTCCCACAATGGGGAAAGTCCAATGTAACAGCAGCAAAGTGGATAGAGAGAAAACAGTATAAATAAACAGTAACAGTAGGAAAATAATAAAAACACTATGTACAAGAGAAAAAAACAGTAAGAATCCACAACAACAGATAACACAAATAACACAAAGTAGTAGCAGCAGCAGCAGTTGCACATGAGCAATAGATTGCACAGTAATTATTGCACATTATTATTATTGATGCCGAGATTGGGGGGGGGTTACTGGGAGCAGTGCTGGTTGTTAAACAGTCTGACAGCAGCAGGAAGGAAGGACCTACGATATCGCTCCTTCACACATTTGGGGTGAAGGAGTCTGTCACTGAAGGTGCTGCTCAGCGTAGTGATGGTGTCCTGCATGGGGTGGGAGACATTGTCCATCAATGATGATAGCTTTGCTATTATCCTGCTCTCTCCCACCACCTGCACTGAGTTGAGGGGGCAACCCAGGACAGAGCTGGCCTTCTTAATCAGTTTGTTGAGTCTCTTCCTGTTGGCTGCTGAGATGCTGCTGCTCCAGCAGACCCCTCCAAAGAAAATGGCTGCTGCCACAACAGTATCAAAGAAGGACCTCAGAAGCTCTCCCTGCACTCCAAAGGACCTGAGTTTCCGGAGCAGATAGAGTCTGCTCTGGCCTTTCTTATAAAGTGCATGAGTGTTATGAGTCCAATCCAGTTTATTGTTCAGGTGAACACCCAGGTACCTATAAGAGTCCACTCTCTCTATGTCCATACCCCGGTGTCGGGGGGCGTGACTGCGCCTGCGGAAATCCACCACCAGCTCCTTGGTTTTCCCTGTGTTGATTTGGAGGCGGTTCCACTGACACCAGTCCACAAAGTCCTTTATCAGCTCACCTCAAAATCAGAGAAGACACTCAGTGTTGTGTATGTGTGTTTCAGACCGTCCAATCAGAGCAGCTGCTGTCAGAAGAGGGCAGAGCCAAACTGAACATCAGCTCTGCTGTTTTAGAAGAAAGTCAACGAGTCCACAAGATGGCTGAAGGTGTGTTTCCTGTCTGATATCAAAAACATCCTTTGACCTTTGACCTGCAGCTCGTCATCTCACTCTGTCTTCTTCTCTTATCTCCATCAACCAATCAACCAATCAATCTTCTATCCTCCAGACCTGCAGCTGACTGTCTCCATGGTAACCAGCAGACTGGGATTGGTCAGAGAGAGTGTCCATAACTCCAGCCTGCTCTTCCGTCAGCCAATCAGAGAGCTGCAGAACTTCTCTAATGGTGAGAGAGGTGTTTCAGGCTCCGCCTCCTCCAATATCCATCATTAATACATGAACATATATAATATATGTGAATACATAAAGATATATCATATATTAATGTATTGGTGGTTGTCCTCCATCAGGGTCATCCCCGGCGCTGCAGCAGGCCCAGCTTCAGGCTGCAGCGGCACGCTCCGGCCTGCAGGAGGCGCTGCAGTGGCTGCATTCACTCAGCGAGCAGCTGCAGGATTCTTCTTCTGTGGTAGAAAACACCAACGACACAGTGAGGGAGACCAACCAACTGGTGACTCACACACACGATGCAGGTCAGTCCACTGCTTCATAAAGTGAAGACTACAAACTCACTGACAGTGGGGTAACACTTCCTGTTTCCTGTGTGCTCAGCCAATGAGGCGCAGAGTAAGCTGGAGGAGGCGGAGCATCGTACCGATCGGCTTATGGACCGGATAAAACCACTGAGCATGCTGGGAGAAACACTGAGCAGGAATCTGTCTGACATCAGAGAGCTGATCGATCAGGCCAGGAGACAGGCTGCCTCGGTACATAAACACACACAGTAACACACACACTAATGATGGTGCTATGTAACAGTCAGAGGATCATTAAAGTTATTATTCATCAACCCTCCCTAAGCCCCACCCCTTTTTGCTCAGTGCTCCAATAACAGTTGAGCAACTTCATCCTTTCCTGTACATAGATATGCTATATGCTAGGCTAATCTATGTTGGAAAGACAGCCACAGTTTGAAGATGTTCAAAGATAAACAAAAACCAAACTTTTGGGAATTATCGTAGATAACACAACAGCACGTAGGATTCAGATCCCAATCATATTATTCAAAAAAATAATATATATCGGGTGCCCGGTTAGCTCAGTGGGTAGAGCTGGCAACCCATGTACCGAAGTTGAGTCCTTGCTGCAGCGGCCCAGGGTTCGAATCCGACCTGTGGCCCTTTGCTGCGTGTCATCCCCTCTCTCTGTCCCCCTTTCCTGTCTATCTTCAGCTGTTTCTATCATAAAGGCAATAAAAGCCCCAAAAAATACCTTAAAAAAAATTATTATAATATATATGGTTTTTTAAAAAATGCTAAAAGAGCATATTTAAAAGGAAATGAAGTAATTAATAAATACTCTTAATTTATGATAAATTAACGACTGTTATACAGAAGCTAATGGAGATCTTAATAAAGAAACAAACAATATAAATAGTCACATTTCAAGTTAACTTATGTTAGCAAAATGCTAGCCTGAAAGACAAAAATATTGATGATGATATTGACATTGATAATGATATTGATGATGATATTGATAATGGTATTGACAATAGTTTTAATAATATTGATGATGTGATCAGATTAAGGTGGCGGTACAAGCAGACAGGGACTGTGTTCGATCCTACAGACCACAGATTGAGTCCAGTAACTTCAACACTCTGAGTCTGATTCTGAAAACCTCGAGTCCAGATAACCTGCTCTTCTACCTGAGCAGCAACACCACGGTACCACACAGTACCACACAGTACCACACAGTACTACACAGTACCACACAGTACCACACAGTACTACACAGTACCACACAGTACCACACAGTACCAAGCAGTACTACACAGTACCACACAGTACCACACAGTACTACACAGTACCACACAGTACCACACAGTACTATACAGTACCACACAGTACCACAAAGTACTTTACAGTACTACACAGTACCACACAGTACCACACAGTACTATACAGTACCACACAGTACCACAAAGTACTTTACAGTACTACACAGTACCACACAGTACCAAACAGTACTATACAGTACCACACAGTACCACACAGTACTACACAGTACTACACAGATTGATTGATTGATTGATTGATTGATTGGCTGACTAACTTATTGGTTGATTTCTGATTGTGTTCAGGTGGACTTCCTGGCAGTAGAGATGCATGATGGGAAGGTGTCACTGGCATGGGATGTGGGTTCAGGCAGCACCAGGCTGGACTTTCCTGGACTGGACATCGCCAACAACAGATGGACCAGAATCAACGCGACAAGGTAAACAACAACAACAACAACAACAACAACAACACCACCACAAAATAACAACAACACAAACAACATGTCATATGATGATTTCGGCAGGTTCGGGGCCCATGGCTCACTGTCAGTCCATCAGCTGGAGTCGGAGTCCGCTCCGTTGCCCGCCGTAACAGCGACCTCACGGGGACCTTCCAGAGTTTTAGACATTGACAGAAACACGGTGATCCACATCGGAGGACTAGGAGCCCACACTCAGGTAACACACATCAAGTGTACAGGTGTGTGTGTGGAGGTGAAAAACTGAATAAGTGATAACTGTGTGTGTGTGTGTGATCTCAGAGCCCCACAACACTGCGGTCCTCCACCTTCCAAGGCTGCTTGGGCGAAGCATCGCTCAACGAGAGAAACATCGGACTGTGGAACTACAACAGCAGAGAGGGAGAGTGTGGAGGCTGCTTCAGCAGGTACAAACACACCTGTCAGTGGGGGGTATATCTGAGCTCCTGTCAGTGTGTGTGTGTGTGGGGGGGGGGGGCAGACAGTGAACAGAGTTGAGGTGTTAGAAGCAGGAAAAATGGGCAGCATGAGGATCTGAGCCACTTTGACAAGTACCACATTGGGTCAGAACATCTCCAAACCTGCAGCTCTTGTGGGGGGTTCTCGGTCTGCAGAGGTCTATCAAAAGTGGTCCAAGGAAGGAACAGAACCGGAGAGAGAGTCATGGGGGGCCGAGGCTCATTGATGCAGGTGGGGAGTGAAGGCTGGCCCTTGTGGTCCGATCCAACAGATGAGCTACTGTAGCTCAAACTGCTGAAACAGTTAATGCTGGTTCTGATAGAAAGGGGTCAGAACACACAGTGTAGAGCAGTCTGCTGGTCTGGGACTGCAGTACATTATGATCATGGTCGTAATGTTATAGCTGATCGGCGTATATCTATATCTGTGAGGAAACTAATTGAAGTATTCCAGTGTGTTTTTGTTTTGAGTTAAGTCGGCAGATTTCCTAATGCAATTCTGAGTGGATCTAATTTCTCTGCCTGTCTGTCTCCACTGTCTGTCTCTACCTGTCTGTGTCTCAGTCCCCAGGCGGAGGAGACATCGTTCCACTTTGATGGCTCTGGATTCTCATTGGTTCAGAAGTCTCTGCGTGCAACCTCCACCTCCATCGTACTGCTGTTTAAGACTCTGTCTCCGGGCGGATTGCTGCTCTACCTGGCCTCCAACAACACTGTACGACACACACACACACACACACACACACACACACACACACACACACACACACACAGGCTCTTATTGTGGAGCACACACAGAAATTACCTCACTTCCTGTCTCTTGTAGAGGGACTTCCTGTCCATGGAGCTGGTGGAGGGGCGTGTTCGTCTGACCTTTGACCTTGGATCAGGTGCTCTGATCCTGACCTCCAACAGGAAGTACAACACTGGAGTGTGGTACAAGATAACACTGCAGAGGAGCAAACGCAAAGGTACTACAATCAATATATATACTACTACTGCTGCTGCTACTACTGCTACTACTGCTACTGCTGCTTAATACTGCTGTGTTTCCAGGTTACCTGTCCATCATGGCGGCCGACCAATCAACAGAGAAGGAAGTGTTAGAGGCGGAGTCTCCTGGAACAGCCTCTGACTTGAACCGCTCCGACCTAGACCCCATTTATATTGGAGGACTTCCTGCCTCTAGACCAATCAGGTGAGTTTGTGAGTCACAGCTGATGTGTACACGTGTAAATGTTCTTACCTGTCTGACTGTTTGTACCTGTCTGTGTTGTGTCTAGGCGACAGGTGGTGTCCAGGTCGTACGTGGGCTGTATAAAGAACGTGGAAATTGCTCGGTCCAACTTTGACCTGCTGAGAGACGCCTTCGGAGTCCGGAAGGGTTGTGTCCTCGAGGTACTGCACACACACATACACACACAGTCAATAATCAGTAACCATCATTGATCACCTCAGAGTGAGTCATTCATCAATAACCTTCATTAATAACCTTCATTGATCACCTCATCATCTTACCTGTCAGGCGGTGCGAAGCGTGTCGGTGTTAGCCGGAGGCTTCGTTCAGATCGCTCCTCGCTCACTTGGTCAGGAGGTGGAGCTTTTCTTGTCCTTCTCCACCAACAACCAATCAGGAGTTGTTCTGGCCGCTTTCAGTGACGACCCAACACACAGACAGGTAAGACAGACACACACACACACACACTTGGGCTCCAGCTCTTACTGTCACTGTTATTTAACCTCTATCACTGTCTATGTGCAGCACTTCCTGTCTGTCCACCTGCTCTCGGGTGATTTGGAGGCAGAGCTTGGTGAGGTGGGCGGAGCTACTCGGAGGGTGATGGTGGTGAAACCTGTTGGAGGATCCTTCAGTGACGGAATAAAACACTCTGTGATTATCACCATCAACAGGAAGTAGGTGTTACCATGGTAACAGACACCTGTCTCACCTGTTTCACCTGACTGATTAGTATTGATTAGTGTGTCTCTCAGGTCTTTGTCAATGCAGGTGGACGAGGACCACAGGAAGTCTGTCTCTCTCTCGCCAGGCGGATTTTCTCGCTTGTCTCCAGCTTCTTTCTTCATTGCTGGGTTGCCATCAGAGGGGGGGCCTCATCTACCAATCAGATTACAGGATGTGTCCAGGTTGTTCAGAGGCTGCATCCAACACCTGGTGGTGGGCAGAGTGTAAGTCCTGCTCTCTCTCTCTCTCTCTCTCTCTCTCTCTCTCTCACACACACACACACACACACACACACACACTGTTCTGCCTCTCTGATTGGCTAACTGTTTTGATTGGTGGCTCCCTCCAGGATTGTCGACCTATCAGAAGCAGTGAGGTATGAGGGGGTGGAGCTTGACAGCTGCCTATTGGAGGAGAGAGATGGGGGGGCGGTGCTTCCTGATGACCAGGATGTAGAACCAACTAAAGACCCCGCCTACTTACCCGTACCTCCGCCCACACACCTGAGTGCCCTGACACCAGGAGCACTAACGGTAATCAATATGTTTGTTGATCATGACTGATTATCATCATTGGTTCTTGAATATTGGTCTGTATATTTTGGTTATTGTTGATTTAGATTTTGATTCCTTGTCAGTATTATTGATTATTGATCAGTGTTGGTTATTGGTCAGTGTTATTGATTATTGATGTGTCTGTTGCAGTGTGTGCCAGAGGCAGAGCCAACCTTTCTGCTGTCAGCGGCTCACTTTAGTTTGTCCAAACACAGTCACATGACCTTCATCATCAACCCCAGCACTGTCAGGAGGAGGTGGGTCTCCACGACAACAGGGTTATATTCAGACAGGGGCGGGACTGTATTCAGATAGGGGCGGGGCTGTAACCAGTTCTGTTCTAACACTCTGCTGTCTGTCTTCGTCCTCAGTGTATTGGTGAGGTTGTCAGTTCGAAGCCGGGCTCTGGATGGGTTGATCCTCCTCCTCTCTGACTCCAAACAGATGGACTTCATTGTCCTCAGACTAACGGGGGGGAGACTAATGATGTCAGCTGACCTGGGGAAAGGCCCCGCCTCCATTACATCATCTGTCACTGTCAATGACGGAAAGTGGCATATTGTAAGTTCATACGCTCATGACATAACTGTGACATCACGAGTTTTACTGTGACAGAACTATGGGAGGTGGTCAAATGGATGTGATGTCAAACTGTCAGGATGGTTGTTTATTGGTTTAAACTCACTGTATTATCAAAGTCAGAATTGGGTTTATTGCCAGTTTTTACATGTACAAGGAATTTGCCTTGGTGCATAAAAACCACAGAAGATAGAAAGATCTAAACTGTACAAGAAAGATATTTACAATGTGCAGTATAGAAAAACCAACGGTAGTGCATTAATGTAATGTATATATACAGGGTGGGTTTAATTAATGTAATGCATATATACAGGGTGGGTTTAATTAATTCAATTCAATTCAATTCAATTTGTATTGCACCAATTTATAAGAGAAGTTAGCAGCTCTAGACCGAACTCCTTATAACATTATTTAAAAAGACCCAACAGTACCACCATGAGCAAGACATTGGCGACGGGGGCAAGTAAAAACTGCCTTTTAAGAGGCAGAAACCTAGGACAGACCCTTCGGCTCTATGTGGGTGGTCGTCTGCCTCGACCAGCTGGAGAGAGAGAGAGAGAGAGAGAGAGAGAGAGAGAGAGAGAGAGAGGGGTGCACAGCAACAACAACTACACTAATAGTAGTGACTGATGTTGATGAACACGAAGATGATGACGACAACAACGATGGGGGACAACGAGCAGCGACCACAGCAGCAACAGCGACCATAGCAACAATAATAATAAATAAATAAATAAATAAAATAATGTTGCCTAAGGGAAGAATTTATAAAGTGAATAGAATTGGTCCAAGTACAGAACCTTGTGGAACTCTATGACTAACTGCAGTATTTATGGAGGATTCATCGTTAACGTGTACAAACTGAGAACGATCTGATAAATATGACTTAAACCAGCTTAGTGCAGTTCCTTTAATGCCAATTTGATGCTCAAGTCTCTGTACAAGAATATTATGATCACTGGTGGGTAAATAATGTTATAAAGAGTTCGGTCTAGACCTGCTCTATTTGAAAAGTGTCCAGAGATAACTTCTGTTATGAATTGGCGCTATACAAATAAAATTGAATTGAAATTGATTTGAATTGAATTGAATTGGTGTCAAATGCAGCACTAAGATCTAATAATACAAGTACAGAGACAAGTCCATTGTCAGAAGCAATTAAAAGGTCATTAACTTTAACCAGAGCTGTCTCTGTGCTGTGATGAAATCCTGACTGAAAATCCTCAAATAAGCTATTGTTATGCAGAAAGTCACACAACTGTTTGGCGACTAATTTCTCCAGAATCTTAGAGAGAAAGGGGAGGTTAGAAATCGGTCTTTAGTTGCCTAAAACCCCTAGGTCAAGAGTGGGCTTTTTAAGAAGGGGTTTAATTACAGCTACTTTAAAGGACTGTGATACATATCCTGATAATAAAGAAAGATTGATCATATCCAGTGAAGAAGTGCCAATTAAGGGTACGACTTCTTTAGGCAGCCTAGTTGGGATTGGGTCTAACAGACAGGTTCGATGAAGAAATTATTGAAATTAACTGATAAAGATTGGTAGCAGAAAAACAGTCTAAATATATATCTGATTTTACATAAGTTAAAGTTCTTGAACTTGGAGAGACAGTGATACCTGTTGAGGGCATTTGGTGATTAATTTTGTCTCTAATAGTAATCATTTTATTATAAAAGAACCTCATGAAGTCATTGCTACTTAAGTTTATGGGGATATGTGGCTCAATAGAGCTGTGGCTCTCTGTCAGCCTGGCTACAGTGCTGAAGAGGAACCTAGGGTTATTCTTATTTTCTTCTATTAGTGCTGAATAATAGGCTCCTCTAGCATTACAGAGGGCCTTTCTATATGTTTTAAGATTTTCTTGCCAAATTGAGCGATATTCTAATAATTTGGAAGTGTGCCATTTCCTTTCAGATTTCCTAGCTTTTTGCTTTAATTGGCAGGTTTGGTGGTTGTACCACGGTGCTAATCTCCTGTTTTAATAATTTCTTTTTTATAGGGGCGATAGAATCTAATGTTGTTCTCAGTGAGCCTGCAGCACTATCAACAAGATTATCAATTTCGGTGGGACTAAAGTTGTTATAGGACTCTGCTATACTCAGACATGGCATTGAATTAAACACTGATGGAATCTCCTCCTTAAATTTAGCTACAGCACTGTCAGATAGACATCTGCTGTTGGAAGTTTTACCTAAGGGCTTATAATCTAATAGTATGAATTCAAAAGTTATTAAATAATGGTCAGATAGAAAGGGAATTTGTGGGAAGACTATTAAATGTTCAATATCAATGCCATATGATAATTAATGTAATATACAGGTGGGTTTATACAGGGTGGCTTTAAGAGTCAGTGTCAGTGGGGGTTCCAGGCCTTGTTAATGAGGCCAGCTGCAGACGGAAAGAAACTGTTTTTGTGGCGTGAGGTTTTGGTCCTGATGGACCACAGCCTCCTGCCAGAGGGAAGTGTTTCAAAGTGTTTGTGTCCGGGGTGGGAGGGGTCAGCCACAATCTTTCCTGCACACCTCAGGGTCCTTCTCAGTGGATCGAATGATACGCTGCAGTCTGCCCTTGTCCTTGGCAGTGGCAGCAGCATACCAGATGGTGATTGAAGAGCAGAGGAGAAAGAACGTAGCCTTGGGGAGATCCGGTGCTGCTTGTCTGGGAGTCAGAGACATTTTTCCCCAGCTTCACGAGCTGTTTCCTGTCAGACAGGAAGTCTGTGATCCACCTGCAGGCGGAGTCAGGCACAGTGAGCTGGGAGAGCTTGTCCTGTAACAGAGCTGGGATGATGGTGTTAAACGCAGAGCTGAAGACCACAAACAGGATAGTGGCATAGGTTCCTGGGGAGTCCAGATGCTGGAGGGTGAAGTGCAGGGCCATGTTTACTGCATCGTCTACATACCTGTTGGCTCTGTAGGCGAAATGCAGGGGGTCCAGGAGTGGGTCCATTATGGCTTTCAGGTGGGAAAGCACAAGGCACTCAAAAGACTTCATGACCACAGAGGTGAGGGCAACAGGTCTGTAGTCATTGAGTCCTGTGGACCTTGGTTTTTTCACGAGAGAGGCCCAGTGCGGGCCGACGTGATAAGCTCTGCTGACTGTAGTGTAACAGTTTATTAAATGTCCAACCAGAGAGGAGAACACACTCGATCACTGTTTGTATTTGGGGAGTTCGTGGCTGAGGTTTCCTTTGTTAAAGTCACCAGGGACAATAACTAAAGAGTCCCGGTTAGTCCGCTCCACACACAGTATCTAACCCTATCACCTGTAAACTCCCTCAGGTGAGTGCTGAGATGAGCCGGCGGTTGCTGTCTGTGTCGGTGGACGGTTCGAGTCCGGACTCTGTGTCAGTTAAGGGAAATCAGCTGGACGTGGACAACAGACTGTACCTGGGAGGAGTGCCACACACGCACACCGCCAGGAGGATCAATGTAAGGATCACTTACACTTAAAATGTTCTCTAAAATTCCTATAATGGTCTATAAAGGTTTTATATCGTTCTATAAGGTTCTATAAGGTTCTATATGCCGCACACGGTAATGTTCTGATATGGTTCTACAATGTAATAAAGATTCTAGCGTTCTATAATGTTCTATAGTATTCTGCAATGTTCTGACTGTCACCTGAGCATCTGTGCTGAGGATGTAATGACTCAGGTGTGTGTTCTCTCCTTGCTGTCTCTCAGGTGAGCAGCAGTTTTCCAGGTTGCATTCGCGGCGTCAGTCTGAATGCCGCCATGTTGGATTTGTCCAAACCGGTCTCTCTGCATGATGTCACTTCCTGTTTCACTACTGAGCAGACAGGAAGTTACTTTAATGGCAGTGGATACGCCGCCCTCAGTGAGTCACATATAGGGGCAGAAGATATAACTGGTGTAAGCTGATCATGTCTGATCACAGTATTGATCTGCCTGTGTGTGTGTGTGTGTGTGTGTGTGTGTGTGTGTGTGTGTGTGTGTGTCCGCGCGTCTGTGTTCAGTGCCTGAAGGGTATAAGGTCGGCTCTGACGTGTTGGTCTCTCTGGAGTTCCGAACGAGCCAATCAGAGGGCGTATTTCTGGGTATCAGCAGTGCCAAGGTTGACGCCATCGGACTGGAAATGATCAACGGACAGGTGAGCATTAGATATTGATTATATATTGATTACATGAGTCACCTGTGTGTGTGTCATATATAGAGTCTGACCATACATTGATTATATGTTGATTATTTGATGAGTTATCTGCATTGTTCTTCAGGTGGTGTTTAACGTGAATAATGGGGCAGGTCGAGTGTCAGTGCATTCGATTGGTCAGATGTTGTGTGATGGACAGTGGCACCGCCTGCTGGCCAGAAAAACCAAACACACCCTGAGTCTGAGTGTAGACGGGCGGAGTTACAGCACACCCAACCCTTACCCACAATCCACCTCTGCTGAAACCAACAACCCTGTTTACCTAGGAGGCTATCCAGGTGAGCACCAACTCTGAACTCAACAACAAAAACAACAAAATTCTGATGCTAATGACTGATACTAACCTGCATATCTCTCTCTCTCTCTCTACCTGTGTCTCTCTCTCTCCCTGTGTCTCTCTCTCTCTCTCAGTCTCTGTTAAGCAGAACTGCCTGTCTATCAACTCCAGGTTCAGAGGTTGTCTGAGGAACCTACAGCTCGTTAAATCTCACCTGACTGATGCTCTGAACCTGAGCTCTGCCCACTTTCTGTTGGGCGTCACTCCTAACTCATGTCCTGTTGCCTAGCAACACCCAGACAGGCACTGATTGGTTCACAGACAGCTATAGAAAGGAGAATTGTTCATATTATTCTGTAGCTTCAATTATTAAAGATCAAACTCACAAATTCAAAATGTCTCATTCTTTCAATTACACTATTGATTCATTTTTACGTTCTGAGTAAAATACAGTACAGCGGCTCCCCGGCTGAGTCAAAGATGGAATCAGTGGCTGTCAGAGTTGAACTCCTCAGTCGACTGTAGAAGAGGAAACGTGACAAAGCATAAGAGCAACTTTGCAGTGTTTGAGCAGAATAAATTATATTTGTTTCATGAATATTTAGAAACAGTCTGTCTAGCCTAGTCTAGTCAACCTCCTGACACCCCTACTGAGGACCAAGTATCACACCTGGGGCGACAAAGCCTTCTCCTTAGCTGGCCCCTCCCTCTGAAACTCTCTCCCTAAACAAATCCAAGACTGTACTGATCCATCCACCTTCAAATCACTGATCAGTACCCACCTTTTCAGAACTGCTTTTGATGTTTGATTCATTGCGTGTTGTAGATATATATCTGTAGCAAGTCTTGCTACTACCGAGGGTTCCCTCAGCAGACAATCCAACAACAGATGTCAATAAACAAGACAACTTTGTTCCTTTGTCAGCTGCACACACTATTAATACAAAACCAAGCCCGCTTCAAAAGTCCCTGAAGGTCTGCTCCGGTTGTGTCTTCTGTTGTGTGTCAGCCCTCCAGGTCCAGCACACTACTGCATTAAAAGAGCTGAGTGTGATTACTCAATGAGTACCAGCTGAGGTCATCAACTCACCTGGCGCTGCTCTCACAAGCCTTCCCCACACCTCTCTCTCTCCTGCAACTGATTGTAAACCACAACCAACTCCACAATATCAATATTCTTTACTGTGTTGTTTTTATTACCTTTTCCTTTTTAACTTGCGTGAAGTGGCTTTGAGTTCCTAGAAAAGCGCTCTATAAATAAAATGTATTATCATTATTGTCTATCAACTGTTCCCTTACAACTTGTACTCGGGGTATGGTGTTCTTCTATGTACCTCCTTTCCACCTCTGGACGCATGTTGACTGTCAACAGGAAGTCTTGAACGTGGCTCTGAGGTGGATTAATGTGTGACCATCGTTCCTGATCAGCTAATCACAGTGAGGACCTGACCTATAAAACCATGACCTCATAACACATACTGAATCACAATTGACTTGTCAACCAGATCTTTTTAATTTTCCTGCTGACAGACAAAAAGACAGTCGGTCCTTCGTTGATCCTTTTATTGGTGTTCAGTGGGTGAAAACACATTCAGTAAGTTATCATAAAGAAAATAAAACAAGATTTATATTTATGGGTGACACCCGGGGGAGTGGTCAATGTATAATATGACACCCAGGGGAGTAGTCAGACTGTAATATGACACCAGGGGGAGTGGTCCGTCTGTAATATGACACCAGGGGGAGTGGTTAATGTGTAATATGACACCATGGGGAGGGGTCAATGTGTAATATGACATTAGGGGGAGTGGTAGATTTGTAATATGACACCAGGGGGAGTGGTCAGTCAGTTAGTCAGTCTGGGATTACAGACAAACACAGATCAATAAATAAATAAATAAACAAACAGACACAAAAACCAATACATAGATGAGAAAAATAATTCATAATGAGGGTTTCCATGGCGAGATGAGAGAATGGCACATTACTATTGCATTGTGGGTAAATACAGATCTTAAATTTAGCTGCTATATAGTGAATAGTTACAGTGCTAGCAGTCATGCTATTTTAAATTTCAGATGGGAAACCGTTTGCACCAGACTGTCAGAAGACCCTCATCTGGTGTGACAGGTTCGAGTCAGGTGACCTCACCAGGTGCAACAGAGTCAGCAGTTATTATTACAGATCTGTCAGATGTGATGCAAACGTTTGTCTGAAGTTTCATTAAGCTGATTTCTTCCATAGTACACAATCAGGGGCAAATACACCGGAGTCAACCAAGCAGTCGGATGTCTGCTTAAACCTGTCAGGGTGTCTGGTGTTTGGGGGCGGGGCTTGTTTAAATTGAAAGTAAATGCAGCAACAGGTCAAGTTTTGGTGTTAATTTGTGGTGAAAGTTCATCAGCTCTGCTGGTCTAGTTGCTATGGGAACGTGTTGATGGTGTCACAGCAGCGCCCCCTGTCCATCTTTTACCTGTCTGTGGCTCACCTGTCTATACAAATTATCTAAACAGTTGTACCATCATAAAGCTTTCAACTAGACCTAATCATACAATCAAACTAATGCTAACTGCTTTGAAGCTAACTCAGCCATTGGCCCCGCCCCCAAGAGACAGACAGGTGCTGCTGTGTATGTACAAGTGTACATGCATGTGTGTGTGTGTGTGTATGTGTGTGTGTGTAAATCCTCAGTTCCATTAATGTCCACTGTGTGTCGCTGTTGGGTCTGTAGTCTGGACTACAACTTCCATAATGCAGCATGGTCTTCTACAGTCAGTCCTGAAAGAGAGACAATAGCAGCTGTAAGAATAGAGCAGGGAGTGGCACTGATGCCATGCCCAAAATGCCCAAAATGCCCCCACTGATTGTGCAGTTTATCCTCTGTTGGTAGTTTCCTGTCAGTATCGGTTTTAGAGAACCAGTGAATTTTGTTGAAATTCTGAACTGTCATCCACTCATTCTGGTGGCCAGTCTCAATGTACCATACTCCTGATAGACAGAATAGAATATATTGGACTACAGATTGGACTCTACCAGATCATTTTCAATCTATTATTTGATTATTTGAGGACTGGAAACAATCTCAGTAATTACCACATCTCTTCATATGTGAAACTAAATCAAAACCAGGTGCCGTATTACAGAAACTTCTTAACTTGCTGATGCTGTCTGAACTGTTTGGTAACCATGGTAACAAGAGTTAGGACAGGATTTAGGAAGAAATACATGAGAAATTAACAGTTCCTCATCAATATTCCTCTCCTAACTTAAGAAAAGATAAGCGCATCCTAACTTCACAAACTCTTCAATAAACTCTGCTTAGGACAACCATTTGGCTCAGTAGTATTAGCTAACTTGTTAAATTTGTACTGCTGCTGCTATTTTATTACGTTTGCATAACCAATGAAATCTCAACATGTGGAATTGATCACACTGTCTCTCTTTTATCTCTGGAGTCAGTTGTATATTTCCCCAAAAGAACATGTTTGGATTTCTCCACGGATGTTACCTTAAAAATAAGTTTTTCCTTGCCAAGGTCTTGCTCATGGTGGGAACTGTTGGGTCTCTCTAATAATGTTATAAGGAGTACGGTCTAGACCTGCTCTATTTGAAAAGTGAGATAACTTTTGTTATGAACCAGTGCAAGACAGTTAAAGAGTGACAGGAAGGAAAAAGAGGGCAGCAAAGGGCCACAGGTCTGTCTGTTAACTTAAGATGTAAGATAGGACATTTCTGTAATACGGCCTTTCTGAGACAAAGAGTCGCCCTCTGGGGGTGACTTGCAAAAGTCCAACTTTATTTAAAAATTTATACAAGTGACAGAAAAAGAAACTAAATCTATCAAAAAAGTACATTTTGAGATGGCGAACCAATCAGAGAGCTAGAAACTGAAGGTGACCACCAGACAGCAGCACAACACTCTCCCACCTGTTGAGTAAGGGAGAGGCTAGGCTAAGCTAGCCAGGAGATATCCATGCTCATGCTAATTAGCATATTAGCATATCACAACAAGCTTCAAAGCATGGTCCAGAATGTAAGCATAACTGGGGGGTGGCACACTTAAGAGGACAGTGAATATTGTTAGCATGTGAGCATAGCATTAATGGTCAACAGTTTCATGTTAGGTGATGTGTTCAAAGTCCATTGACTCATTAATGATCCCCTTTATTGATTAATTGGTGAGGAATCACCAGAGACCTTCCTGTCCTCTGTGGTATCATCCAATCAGAAGACTATGTTCTCCTGGCCCATCAGAAGCTTCATGAACATGTGAAACATGCAAATACAATGTCATGAATTCTGCCATGCATCGGCCAGCCAATCAGCATCCAGCCTGAGACACCTGTAGGGGTGGAGTCTGAGCCTTCCTGTTACCTGTGATGTCACTAATCATTCACGTGTTCAGGAGAGACCTCTGTTTCTTTATGGACGACAACTCGTGTGACAGACAGCTCAGGATGCTGCCGACGCGCCTCGCTGAGCGCCGCAGCCAAAGCCTTCAAAAGAGACATGAACCTGGTCAGAACCTGGTCCAGGTCCAGGTCAGGATTAACCCAGGACAGACCAGATCTGTCCCAACTTAATCTAGGTCTGTATAGGCCTGTCCCAGGTCCTCTGTGTAGAATTTACAGCTATCTAGTGGTGAGACTGCAGATTGCAACCAATTGACAACAGCTCAGCCCTCCCAGAGTGTAGGAGAAAGTACTGTCAATAGAACAACTGTACACAGTCACCTGTACACATGTCAATAATAATGAAGTCATGTTGTTACCTGGTCATGGTCAATTTCTGAGTCTCCAGAAATCACAATTCTCTTCTCAATTCTGGTTTCTGAAATCCCTCCTTTAACCGTCTGAAGAGAAAGTGAGAAAGTAGAATTTAATCTAATGAAACATTTTTACTGGATTCTGTCTGATTATTGCTTCAGTTCTATTTAATGTCTAATAGCATATTCACACAGAAAGCGAAGTACAATGAGAATATATACAAAGTCAATACAAGGACGCAGACATGAATTCCTGTCAGGCGACGATGTGTAAAATATTGAACTTTGAGGTTGTCATTTTGTCGTATGTCGAGATGTTTGCAGTGTTGTGTGAGGAGGAGGGAGAGACAGAGCTGCTGCTGCTGCCCACAGACAGCTGCTGGACCCTGGGGAGCTCTGCAGGAGAGAGCCAGAGCTTCTGGAGGAATAAACACCTGTAGTCACACTGGATTCTGATCTGATCTGGAGACATATACACTGTTTATTTTTGAATGATATATCAACCCCCACCTGGAGCTGTGTAATGCTACTTCATATTAATTGTTGGAGAAAACTACGAGAGGAAGTTGAAAAATATGTCTGTTACTTGATTCCAGCTGTCGGTTTAGCATAGCCCTGATCAACCAAACTCTATTCACTAAACAAGTGTTTTTAAAGTTGTTTGTTCGTCTTTCAGACTTTTAAAAAATCTCTTCTAATATTCTCATGTTTCTAATGATCTTCACAGTCTGGCAGAGATTTAATAATAATAATAATACATTAAATTATTAGAGGCGCCTCTCTGGGCACTCGAGGACACCGTACAACACAAAAAAAAAACAGCAAGAAATAAGAAACAGATAAGAAAAGACAATGTAGATGGTTAAGTGGGGTAGGCAGTTCTGAATAGGTGAGTTTTTAATCTTGATTTGAAGAGTGTGAGAGAGTCCAGGTTCCTGAGGTCCGGTGGGAGTGAGTTCCAGAGTTGGGGGGCAGAGCGGCTGAAAGCCCTGCTCCCCATGGTGACGAGGCGGGCGGGAGGGACAGAGAGGTGGACAGAGGAGGCAGATCTGAGGGAACGGGAAGGGTTGGCGATGTGGAGGAGTTTGGACAGATAAGGAGGGGAGAGGTTGTGGATGGCCTTGAACGTGAATAGGAGGATTTTGAAGTCAATGCGGAGTTTTCCCGGGAGCCAGTGGAGTTGCTGTAGAACAGGGGTGATGTGGTGGATGGAGGGGGTTCTGGTGATAATTCGAGCTGCAGAGTTCTGAACCAGTTGAAGTTTATGGAGGTATTTGTGAGGTTTACTGAAACATGTCTGATTGACTGTGTAGTGGATTGTGATGTTGTGGCGTTACCATGGTGACAGATGTTACCTTGGTGATGTGTGTGGTGGTGGTGGTGTTGGCGGTCTCTGCAGTGAAGGTCTGGGAGCTCAACAGTAAACCTGTGGGAGGATCAGAGTCCACTCGGCTCTGAAACACACACAACAAAAAGGAGCTCTGTGCAGGAACTTCAGCCGTCCAATCTGAACACCAGCCAAGAATCAGCACAAATTGCATGAGCTGAGCATATAAATATTTATTGAGGGTTCCTTAATTGGCACTTCTTTACTGGATATGATTAATCTTTCTTTATTATCAGGATATGTACCACAGTCCTTTAAAGTAGCTGTAATTAAACCCCTTCTTAAAAAGCCCACTCTTGACCCAGGGGTTTTAGCCAACTATAGACCGATTTCTAACCTCCCCTTCCTCTCTAAGATTCTGGAGAAAGTAGTCGCCAAAGAGTTGTGTGACTTTCTACATAACAATAGTTTATTTGAGGATTTTCAGTCAGGATTTAGAGTTCATCACAGCACAGAGACAGCTCTGGTTAAAGTTAATAATGACCTTCTGATTGCTTCTGACAATGGACTTGTCTCTGTACTTGTATTATTAGATCTTAGTGCTGCATTTGACACCATTGACCATGATATTCTTTTACAGAGACTTGAGCATCAAATTGGCATTAAAGGAACCGCACTAAGCTGGTTTAAGTCATATTTATCAGATTGTTCGCAGTTTGTACATGTTAACGACGAATCTTCAATAAATACTACAGTTAGTCATGGAGTTCCACAAGGTTCTGTACTTGGACCAATACTATTTACTCTATATATGCAGATGATACGCAGTTATATCTATCGATCAAGCCCGATGAAATTAATCAATTATCTAAATTACAAGCATGTCTGCAATTTTCTGATATTAAACTCAGAAAAAAACGAAATTCTTGTTCTTGGCCCCAAAAACCTTAGAGACTCACTGTCTAAAGATATAGTTACTCTAGATGGCATTAAATTGGCCTCTAGCACCACTGTCAGGAATCTTGGAGTTATCTTTGATCAGGATTTGTCATTTAACTCCCACATGAAGCAGACCTCTAGGACTGCCTTCTTTCATTTACGTAATATTACAAAAATTAGACACATACTATCAAAGACAGATGCAGAAAAACTAGTCTATGCATTTGTTAATTCAAGGCTGGATTACTGCAACTCTTCATTATTAGGTTGCCCCAATAAGTCCATTAAAACGCTCCAATTAATTCAGAACGCTGCAGCACAAGTACTGACAGGAACTAGAAAAAGAGATCACATCTCTCCTGTACTAGCTTCTCTGCATTGGCTCCCTGTAAAATGTAGAATAGAATTTAAAATCCTCCTCCTCACCTATAAAGCTCTTCATGGTCAGGCCCCTTCATATCTTAAAGAGCACATAGTACCCTATTACCCCATTAGAACACTACGTTCTCTGAATGCTGGGCTACTTGTGGTTCCTATAGTCTCTAAAAGTAGAACAGGAGCCAGAGCCTTCAGTTACCAAGCTCCTCTCCTGTGGAACCAGCTTCCAGTTGTGGTTCAGGAGGCAGACACCCTCACCACATTCAAGAGTAGGCTTAAGACATTCCTCTTTGATAAAGCTTATAGTTAGGGATGGATCAGGTAAGTCCTGAACCATCCCTTAGTTATGCTGCTATAGGCCTAGACTATCGGGGGATTTCCCATGGTGCACTGAGCTCCTCTCTTCCTCTCTCTTTCTGCACTCATTCATGTTCCATTAATGCATGTTACTAACTTCACTTCTTCCCCGGAGTTCTTGTGCTTTCTCGTCTCACAGGTTCTTATCAATCCTGGTGGAGCCTCCTGCCATGGTCCTGCTAGATTGCCATTGCCAATACTGTTGTTGCTGTGCACCTGTCTGTCTGTCTGTCTGTCTGTCTGTCTCTCTCTCTCTCTCTCTCTCTCTCACCCCAACTGGTCGAGACAGACGACCACCCACCTAGAGCCGGAGGATCTGTCCTAGGTTTCTGCCTTTTAACAGGCAGTTTTTCCTTGCCCTTGTGGCCTAGTGCTTGCTCATGGTGGTACTGTTGGGTCTCTGTAATTAATGTTATATAATATAATATATAATAAGAGTTCGGTCTAGACCTGCTCTATTTGAAAAGTGTCCTGAGATAACTTCTGTTATGAATTGGCGCTATACAAATAAAATTGAATTGAATTCTTATAAAAGATAAATACAGACTGTCCTCACCCCTGGAGCTTCATATGTGAGAGTCTTCCTCATCACTGGGACCTCCTGACAGTAACAGAGAGAACATTTGTTATTATTATTAATGATAATAATAATTTATAACAACTTGTAAAATGTACTTCTTGGTTTTCTAATTACAGCTCAGCTATAAAGTCAGTCAGTTTGTGGCACTGCCCTCATTCCACCAGCAGATGGGGCAGATATCACTGGGGCAGGGACCACTGGGGCAGGTATCACTGAAGCAGGGACCATTGGGGCAGGGACCACTGGGGCAGGTATTACTGGGGCAGGGACCACTGGGGCAGGGATCACTGGGGCAGGGACCACTGGGGCAGGTTTGTGTCTCAAGTTACCTGCAGAGGTTCAGTCTCATAATTATCATCATCGCTGTGGTCGGAGCGCTGCGTCTCATTGGCTGAGCAGGGGTAACTCCTGGTGGTGGGGCAGGTTAAAGAAGGAGGAGGGGAGTTTTCTCCAAACTGCCACCCTCCCTCGTCAGAGTCGCCAGAGTCCTCATTGTCATGGTAACACTGACGCAGACTCACAGCAGGTTGAGAGCCCAGAACAGAACGGGGTCTGGTGCTGGGGCTACTGTTAGCTTTCATGCTAATTAGCTCCTGCTTACTGTGGCTAAGTGAAAAGTTAGCACTAATGCTATCCTGATAAGCATCATCAGCACCTGGGCTCTGAGCTTGTCTAACTGCAGCCTCCATGGCTTCCTCCACAGCAGCCTGTGCTAACACACTGATAGCATCTTCACTAGCATCGCTAGCATCGTCATCACTAGCCTGGCTGCTGCCATCATCATCACTGTCCTCATGTTTTTCTTCTGAACTGTTAGCCTGGTTAGCATTATTAGCATTGTTACTTTCATCATCACTGGAACATTCTTCTGTGACATCATCCGCATGTGTCATACAGGCCCCTGGTGGAGGGGGCGGGGGATTACTAGGGGGTGGGCCAACAAGATTTCCTTTCGCTACCTGAGGCTGGTCTGCCATAGGCTGGTCCTGGTCACATGGCTCCGTCATCAAGAAGACAGTCTCCACCTTCTCTGACGTCTGAAACAGGAAGTTGAGAGAATAAGGACAAATTAATCAGGTAGCTCCGGTATGAGGGGGCGGAGCTACAGCTCAGGGTTCACAGGGTCATTTCAGTCGTCATTTCTCTAAAAACAGTTCAAATACAACTTTATTTATATCATTACTGTAAATCACTTTCATTGTCTAAGCATCAGACTGATAATATATTTATAGTCATAATATACTGTTAATAAACACCTGATGAATGATGGTGGAGCAAAGCATTGTTTAATTCACTTCCCAAATGTCTTGGATGTACTTTGTAAGAAGGGTTAGAAACTTATTTTAAGCCTATAAATTAGGTTAAAAAGACACTTTTGCCCTTATTTTTAGTTGATTTTGCCAATTCCACGTTCACCTAAAATTTTAAAATGATCCCATAATACTCTAGTTTACAGAGTGACAATAAACCGAATGTGGGACACGTTAGTAGTGTGAGGCAGTCATAAATGTTGCTATTTCTATCTAACTAAAGAAATAAACATTCCTGTTTTGTTCCTCAGCTTGTTACATCTCCGAGCTTTGCACTAATTGGTTGTTCACAGTATTCAGGTTACAGGTTAGACCTTTAACATGTGAAGGACTTCCTAACTGCCACACTAAGTAAATACAATAACTCCCAAATTCCCCCGGGCACGGCTATGACGCGCTTCGGTTGCACTGCAGTTGCACTGCAGTTGCCAGAGCTGATGAAGCTCATTCTAGACAATGCTCGCCTCCCACAGAAGCACCACAGCGAGTCCCCTAAATGTCTTTCTGCTCTGCTCCACGGACAATATGCGGCTGGTCTCTTTTTGATGGAAGCTGCAACCCACTCGTGTCAAGCAGCGCAGAGCAGATCACACTGACACAGAAACAGCAAACAGATTTGAGTCAATTTTCAAAATAAAATACTGTGTGCAGACTCCAGATTGAATTTTACGCTACATCACCACTATAAGTATAGTAAGTAAGTAAAGCTTTATTTATATAGCCCTTTTTAAACACAGAGTTACAAAGTGCTTGTGGCCTGGCATGCCGGGTTAAGTGTAAAAGAAAGCTAAAGTTTCACAGTCACTTGTGTTTTTATGTGATAGTCGTCTTCCCCCGGCCTAATCCTGGTAGTAGAAGGAAAGATAAGCTGTGCTTTAGGATCTCTGTTCCCTCCAACATCAGCTCTGACAGGATGGTTTTTTATTGGTCAACGGAGTCATGTGTCATTGTCAAGAAGAAGAACCACTGTTGAATCCACTGATCGAGGTTATTTATATTAACTATTCACTGTAATATTTAATTAATAAATGCTGCTTTTAGAACACACAGACATGTAGACAGTTACACAGACAGACATGTAGGCAGACAGACAGGCACCTTCAGCAGGTTGTGGTCTCCGAAGGTTTTTTGTTCTCTAGCCGACTTCAGCAAAGCGGTCAGTTCAGGAGACATTTCATCAAATGTAGGTTTAGGCTGCACGCACACACACACAAATAAAAATTTGACAGACAGGTTAACAAGAGAGACAACAAAACCTTGAATCGCTGCCACATCTTTAATTTTTTGAGTAAATAAATGAAATTTATTTAGTTTCTGATTAAAAACTGACAGCCAGGTTGCAGCCATGCAGGAGCCGTGGCCAAAGAGGGCGTGGCCAAAAAGTGCGTGGAGCACAGACTTGTTAGGAATCAGTCCATAATTACTTATCTGTGTTTGTTGTTAGCTGCTGAGCTGCAGTGAGTAAATGCAGTTTAAAACATATTTTACAGTTCAGATTAGACAGCTTGTGATGTCCGCACATGTGCAGTAGAGATTGTTAACTGTGAGGGAAGTGCATGATCTGTAAACAGGAAGGATGGCACAAAAGAAAACATACAGGAAGGGACAGCAGCAACAAAACTATAAAATAAAGGTGCAGTTAATGTGTGTATCCATGTGGACTAAAGGAGCCACTATAGGACTTTCAGACCTTTTTGTAATGTTCAGATAATCAGCAGTCAAACTCAGACAAAGACAATCTGACTATGAGATGCAATCTGCAGGTTTGAGCTAAACAGGCTCCTGTAGGGAGGTGAACTTTGCATTCTGGGATTTGGAAGAGTGATATCAACATTTGCTAACAGCTCCTTTTAGCTGGGGAATGGAGTTCTGATCTGGCCTTTTCCTTCAATCTCACCTTACTTTTATTGGTTTACTTTCGTTTATGTCTGTATGAAAAGAATCCAAATGAAGGTGAAAACAAGTTAACCAACTAGTTCAAATAAATAATCTTAAAACTATTTTTATTAATAACTGTAACACTAATCCTTCAATAATCTGCAATTTAATGTGGTGGAGGGGTCTAAGTGTCCCAGGGCAAATTGGTCCCGGGAACCAGGTCTGACTAATAGAGATTCTCAGACAGGCTCTATATGAAGCTGCAAAACTGGGCTGGGCACGGCTTGAAAGAACTTCATGGAGTCGCTTCCCTGTAGACCCACAACCTGCCCCATGGCAAGGTAGCCAAAGTTTGACCCCTGGCATTACAGACTGGTTTTAGAGATGTGGATAACCTCCTCTCTGGTGGGGAAGGAACCGGAGATAAAGTGGGAGGTGGAGCAGTACCAACGTGATATAGTAGGCTCATCTCTACACATAGCACTGGGTCTGGAACCACACCTTTTCTGGAGTTGCCCAGGTTAAGAGGCAACAGGCAGGTGTGTTGGAGTTGTCCCTGGAGAATGAGAGGGTTGGCTGTAATTGAGTGAGCGTTGCTGATGGGAAGGCTCTACTGTTTTGTTCAGAACAGCGAAAGTGGTAACTTGATTCGGGCTGCTGTCCTGGTCTTTGATTGGCTGAGACAAACACCACGTTGGAGCAGAATGTAGTTCATAAGTGTACTTGGTACCAGAACACTTTAGACCAAAGATCTATGATCGACTTCATGGTCACATCTTCAGACCTGCTGCCATGTGTCTTGGACACTCAAATAAAGAGTACTGCTGGTAAACTCAAATGTGTAGTGAGAGTGAACTTCGAACATCTGGTGGAGGCCCCTGTCCTTGAGGTCTTCAACTCCCACATCCAGAAAAATGTCTCATGCATCATGAGTGAGGTTGAGGAGATGTAATCCAAGTGGGCAATGTTCAAAGCCTCCATCGTGGAAAAGGCTGCCACGAGCTGTGGTCAGAAAGTCGTCCTAAGAACTTGCTGTGGACTCCAGTGGGGAAGGAGCCTGTCAAGCTGAAAAAGGAGGTCTTTAGGGCTTGGCAGGTTCTGTGGGTGGCGAAGGAAAAACCTAGGTGTGGGAGGAGTTCAGGGAGGCTATGGAGGATGGCGTTTGGCCTCGACGAAGTACTGGAAAACAGTTAGATAATTCAGGAAGGGAAAGCAGCACTTGGCTCAGGCAGAGTTCAGTCGAGGAGGAGAACTGCTGACCCGGATTGTTGGTGGAAAGCACTTTGAGGAGCTCCTGAACCAGATCAAGACGTCTTCTGTGGAGGAGGCAGATTTAAAGCTCTGTAGGGCTATGTTCTACATGTAGTTGTTATCAGAGAAACAAGCTGAGCTAACGTTAGCAGCAGCTCGGCTCACAGCCCCTCTGGGAAGTCCTTCGTCTGCCCAACAGCGTGGGAGGAGCAGTGATTTTTAAGGTGGAACTGCTTCATTCAGTGTTTTTAAGGTGGAACTGCTTTATTCAGTGTGTTTAGTGGTTTTAATCAGCGGGTCTGTTTGTGTTGGAGAGGAGGAGACCTCTGTGGATCATTGGGCTCCCGGTAGAAACCTCCTGAACCATGAACACTGAAGGAATCCTAACCGGGAGAAGCTGACTGCAATGACGCCAATGGTGGTGAAGACAACAACTCCCATGATCCAACACTGCTTCACCACCTCATCACACTTCCTCTTTTATTATTGTTTGGTGAAAATTACAGACTGTACGTTAAATGATTTAGAAAACTCTGAAAGCCTCAAACAAGGAGAAAAGCATCAAAAAGCCAAAGTAACCAATCAAAACAAGGGTAGACCAACAGGAAGTGAAGAGCAGGAAAACATAAATAAGCCCCCCTCTCATCCCAGCAGCCAATCACCAGTGATGAAAACTGGGTGAATCCAACAAACAGGAAAACAAAAGCACATAAAGAAAATCTGATGTCGCTCCCGTTGCACCATTTTGATCTGAGGAGGAAAAGAAACAAAATGGTGTCTGGGAGGTGGAGGGAGAGTTTAAACTGAACACTGTAGCTCTCACTGATCAATATCTGATCAAACACTGCCAGGATTAAAGTACTGAAAGTATTCAGGTGATGTCACACCTGATCGATCAGCTTCCTGCAGTTTTCTGAGCTCAGGTGTTCAGTTTGAACCAGCTCAGACGAGCCATAGTTCATCCACACTTCCTGTTTCACTGGCAGGTCACTGCGTTTGCTCCACATGCTTGTTTCCATGCTGACCACCAACCAGTCAATCAGCGTACCACTTTGGCCATGGAGGGTGATGTCCTTCCTGTCAGGTGACCTGGCGAGGGCACGGGGTTGAGCTCAGCCAGAGGGGATTTAGGAGGAAGCAGTGGGGTCAAAGGTGAGATCACAGAGGCTCCGCCCCCACGAAGGTCCAGACGTCTTACTCCACTTCCTCTGGTCACATCAGTGATGATGTCACAGACGCCAGGTGGAGGCTCTGACGGCGAGGTTGGCGTCTTCACCTCAAGAATCGTAATTAACGGTCCTGGTGTGATGACATCATCAGCGGTGGCCAGTGGGATGATTCTGACCTGCCTTCCTGTCTCAGCACTCCCTGTTCCCATGGCAATGTTGGAACTGTCATCCCTGGTTGTCATCGTGACGACCCGGCCGGACGCGGTGTCGTAGCTTCGCCCCACAGTGTAGCTCTTCTCTCTGATTGGCTGAGGGGGAGCTTGGTTTTTTATGACCCCACCCTCCTGGAGTGCACAGGTGAGCAACATCAAACACACAAAGACTGACTGATTAACCAATCACAGATCTATAACACCTGTATGGTTGTTTGATTGACAGCTCAGTTGACCTACCGCTGCCGAGCTGCTGTCCAGTGGGAGGGCCTGAGAGACGGAGAGTGAGAGACAGACAGACAGAGAGACAGACAGAGTGACAGACAGACAGAGTAAGAGACAGACAGAACAAGAGACAGACAGAAGGAGAGACAGAGTGACATACAGGCAGAGAGAGACAGAGGGGTGTGTTTCATTTATCCACCAGGAGATGGCAGTGTTTCCTCACCTCGTCTGGTTCCAGCGGTTCAATCATCGGGGAGTCGTCCACTCGGCGTAGAGGTGAGGAGGCAAGACGTTTCTCCCACTCTGTCATCCCTCCTCCTCCTCCTCCCCCCTCTAAGAATGAGCGCCTGAGAGCGCTGATGGTGCTCTGTGGTTTCTGCTCCTCTTCTGGACTCGCCAACGTCTCCTGAAGACAAAGACCAACACTGAGTATCTATCAGAACACCATTACTTGAAGAATACTGAGACCGGTCTTACCTGAGTCTTCAAGTCTTCATCCTGATCAGACTGACATACACAATCAGAGACAGACAGACAGAGGGACAGGTTCATGTAAGATATAAATAAAGGTTATTATTACTATTTATACAGTACAACTATGAGGGCGCTTTCAGACAGACTTTTATTACTCTATTACAGGTAACTGTCTGAAAGAATTGTGACATCAGCAGTACCTCAGTGGCCGTCAGGTCTCCGTCCACAGCTGTGTCAGTCAGCTCCGTCTAATCACAAACAAACCTTTGGTCAAACAGGAAGTCAACATCTTAAACAGGAACAAGCAGTTAGACAGGTGAGACGGGTGAGACAGGTGTTTGTTACCTTGGTGTCCTGTTTCTGAGGAGTCAGAGGACTCTGCTGAGAAATCTCTCTGGTCTCTTCCCTCTCCTCCTCTTCCTCCTCCTGCTGCACTTCCTCTTTATCCACCTCCAGCCTCTCCTGCACCTCCTCCTCCAACACCAGCACCTCCTCCACTAGGACACATGAGACGAGAGACGGATACATGGAGACAGTTTCACAGTCCCCTGGTCTGACGTTTCTCCTTTGATTGTTTGTTTTCTGTACCTTGCTCCTCCCCCCTCTCCTCCGTCCTCCTCTCAGGTGTTACAGTGGTAATGAGGTCACTGACGGCGATGGCTTTAGATGCTCCGTACAGTCCCGTACCCATATCTACACACACACACACACACACACATACACACACACACAAGCGTTACCATGGCAACCATCGGCCAGCTGAAGCAACCACTGTGATGCTGTCAGCCAAGCTGTCCTAGTGTTGATCAGCAGCAAAGCATCACGGCTGCTCATTGCCAAGGCAATGGCATGTTCAGCCAATCAGGCATGCAAGGTGGCCAGGGCCAGCCAATCAATCAGCCAATCAGCTATGACCTGTTATTATACACATACATGACCTGTTGATCACACCGCTTATTCACAATGATACAAGCTAAGAATGCTAACAAAACTAACATTGCTAACAATATAAATAGTGAGTGTAACAATGCTAATTATGCTAATAATGCTAACATTAAAGAGTCAGACCTCCCTCCTGTTGAGCAGAAAAACAACAGAAGTCTACAAGAAGGGGGCGGGGCTAAACCAGGATATAAGTGGTGACGCCCTGCCCTGCATGGCGAGGGGCAGGGCTTAGAGTTTTTCTTCTTTTCATAACGCATCACACCTATCACACACAGGTACATTCTGTCTGCTGATGTTATCAATGACAGGATGGAGGTCTGACCACGAGAAACCAAAGAGCTGATCGGACGGGAATGAATAGCTAATCCCAGATGTGTCTGAATGAGTCCCTCTAGCCAATCAGGACGCAGCATTCAGTGATGGCGCAGCATTCAGAGCTGTGGCCAATCACAGCGCAGTAGTACTGCAGTACTACAGCATCACTGAGCTATACCTGTGTGTGTACTACCGTTGGCTTTGGGGGACGCGGTGATGGCTGGAGAGCCAATCAGAGAGGACGGGGCCCTGGAAGCTGAGGACCAATCAGAGACTCAGGTTACCAACAAATAAAAGACACAACTGACCAATCACACAGTGGGACTCCTGGACCTGAACCCTCCCACTGCTACCACTGAGACAGTACTACTGGGACCATTACTTCTACTACTACTACTACAAACAGGACCACAACTATCTCAGGGACCAATACTAGTATGATTACTACCTCCGTCCAGGCTGCGGCTCAACAAGTTCCTCTTGCTTATGCATCGTGGGAAATGCGGTGCAGGTCTGGATATTTGAGCGCTGGCTCTACGACTCTGGATCTGAGTCCGACCACTGTACCGGAACTTTGAACCCAGAGACAGGAACTTCTTCGGGGTCTCCTCTGGAGACATCAGCCTGAGATGAATTGGTACAGGGAGACAGATGGATGGGAGGGGGCAGACAGGTGGGGTAAGACAGTAGCAGTTGTCAGAGCATGTCCTGATCAATTAACCTTATTTTGTATAACACCTTTCCTACAGGTCATTCCCTTAAACACATCACGCTAACGTAATGACCTTGAACACACTCCAGTTCACTGACCTGAAGAAGGAGTGATGCTCCACACAGACCTTCCACAATCTTTTAGCTGCTCGGTGGTTCAGCAGCTTGAAACCAATAGTAGACTCAAACTGGTCAAACTGGAGACAGAGAGAGAGACTCAAACTGGTCAGACTAGAACAGTGATATTGACAGCTCGGTTTCATTTTGTCAGTGTATTGTTTCATTATCTTCAGCACAAAATGTGTAACTTTCCTTCCCAACAGAAAATTTCTGCTAACAGACACTTGAAGGGTTCAATTCAATTCAATTCAATTCAATTTTATTTGTATAGCGCCAATTCATAACAGAAGTTATCTCAGGACACTTTTCAAATAGAGCAGGTCTAGACCGAACTCTTTAACATTAATTACAGAGACCCAACAGTACCACCATGAGCAAGCACTTGGCGACAAGGGCAAGGAAAAACTGCCTGTTAAAAGGCAGAAACCTAGGACAGATCCTCCGGCTCTAGGTGGGTGGTCGTCTGTCTCGACCAGTTGGGGTGAGAGAGAGAGAGAGAGAGAGAGAGAGAGAGAGAGAGAGCGACAGACAGACAGACAGGTGCACAGCAACAACAGTATTGGCAATGGCAGTCAAGCAGGACCATGGCAGGAGGCTCCACCAGGATCCATGAGAACCTGCGAGACGAGAAAGCACAAGAACTCCGGGGAAGAAGTGGAGTTAGTAACATGCATTAAAGGGACATGAATGAGTGCAGAAAGAGAGAGGAAGAGAGTAGCTCAGTGCACCATGGGAAATCCCCCGATAGTCTAGGCCTATAGCAGCATAACTAAGGGATGGTTCAGGACTCACCTGATCCAGCCCTAACTATAAGCTTTATCAAAGAGGAATGTCTTAAGCCTACTCTTGAATGTGGTGAGGGTGTCTGCCTCCCGAACCACAACTGGAAGCTGGTTCCACAGGAGAGGAGCTTGGTAACTGAAGGCTCTGGCTCCTGTTCTACTTTTAGAGACTATAGGAACCACAAGTAGCCCAGCATTCAGAGAACGTAGTGTTCTAGTGGGGTAATAGGGTACTATGAGCTCTTTAAGATATGAAGGGGCCTGACCATGAAGAGCTTTATAGGTGAGGAGGAGTATTTTAAATTCAATTCTACATTTTATAGGGAGCCAATGCAGAGTAGCTAGTACAGGAGAGATGTGATCTCTTTTTCTAGTTCCTGTCAGTACTCGTGCTGCAGCGTTCTGAATTAATTGGAGCGTTTTAATGGACTTATTGGGGCAACCTGATAATAAAGAGTTGCAGTAATCCAGCCTTGAAGTAACAAATGCATGGATTAGTTTTTCTGCATCTGTCTGTGATAGGATGTGTCTAATTTTTCTAATATTACGTAAATGAAAGAAGGCAGTCCTAGAGGTCTGCTTTATGTGGGAGTTAAATGACAAATCCTGATCAAAGATAACTCCAAGATTCCTGACAGTGGTGCTAGAGGCCAAGTTAATGCCATCTAGAGTGACTATATCTTTAGACAATGAGTCTCTAAGGTTTTTGGGGCCAAGAACAAGAATTTCGTTTTTTTCTGAGTTTAACATCAGAAAATTGCAGGTCATCCAGGATTTTATGTCCTTAAGACATGTTTGTAATTTAGATAATTGATTAATTTCATTGGGTTTGATTGATAGATATAACTGCGTATCATCTGCATAACAGTGAAAGTTAATGGAGTGATTCCTAATAATGTTGCCTAAAGGGAGCATATATAAAGTAAATAGTATTGGTCCAAGTACAGAACCTTGTGGAACTCCATGACTAACTTTAGTATTTATGGAGGATTCATCGTTAACATGTACAAACTGAGAACGATCTGATAAGTATGACTTAAACCAGGTTAGGGCAGTTCCTTTAATGCCAATTTGATGCTCAAGTCTCTGTAAAAGAATATCATGGTCAATGGTGTCAAATGCAGCACTAAGATCTAATAATACAAGTACAGAGACAAGTCCATTGTCAGAAGCAGTCAGAAGGTTATTATTAACTTTAACCAGAGCTGTCTCTGTGCTATGATGAACTCTAAATCCTGACTGAAAATCCTCAAATAAACTATTGTTATGTAGAAAGTCACACAACTCTTTGGCGACTACTTTCTCCAGAATCTTAGAGAGGAAGGGGAGGTTAGAAATCGGTCTATAGTTAGCTAAAACCCCTGGGTCAAGAATGGACTTTTTAAGAAGGGGTTTAATTACAGCTACTTTAAAGGACTGTGGTACATATCCTGATAATAAAGAAAGATTAATCATATCCAGTAAAGAAGTGCCAATTAAGGGAACAACTTCTTTAAGCAGCCTAGTTGGGATCGGGTCTAACAGACAGGTTGATGGCTTCGATGAAGAAATGATTGAAGTTAACTGATGAAGATCGATAGCAGAAAAACAGTCTAAATATACATCTAAGTTTACATTGACAGAAGTCCCTGAACTTGGAGAGCCACTGATAACCGTTGATGGCAGTTGGTGATTAATTTTTTCTCTAATAGTAATAATTTACTCCTGAATTCTGAGCAGAGACAGACTGAACTTGGTGGGTGTGCTCAGTCCCATTCTGTCTGGTGGTGTGTTGGCATCTCATGTCATGGCCATGGCTGTATCTTTGCCTTTACTTGTGTTTTCTTGTGTTTCCCCCTCCCTTGTGTCTCCTGTGTGGTGTAGGTGTGGTTTTGCCTCCTGGCCTGAAGCTCTGCTCCAAACACCATTCTGAAATCAACTCATCAACTCTCCCAGTCTGCTCACCTACCTTCAATCAACTCATCTACCTCGCAGTATATCTACCCCAGTGCTCCATCTGCTCTCTGCCAGATCATTCTGTCTTCTGTCATAAGTATTCCATCTTCAATGGGAGTTACACCTCACCTAACTGCCAACAAGCCATCTTCATTAAGCCATCTCTCAACCCTCTGATGATCGCCATCAACAGCCTTTTTGGAAAACCAACTTAAACATCACCAATCTCTAAATCTGTCTTGCATTTGGGTCCACACCTCCACTGTAACATCTCACCTCTCCAGGTCGGATCTTGATGTAGAAGTTGTTCCTTTTATACGAGATCTTCAGGATCTTCGGCCACGAGAATCTGTTGATCCTAAGTCTATCTCTGTAGACCAGCAGACCACTACTGCACACACCCAGCATGATGGCCACGCCCTCCGAGTCCTAGATAGACAGACAGATAGACAGACAGACAGGTCAGACAGGCAGGCAGGCAGACAGACAGACAGACAGACAGACAGACAGACGGACAGACGGACAGACTCATGAATGATGAAAAAAGTTGTTTGTGTTTTTATTAATTTTATTTAATTTAAGGCATGAGCACTGTAATTGAATTTTGACAAAATGAAAACCACCAGTTCATTAAAATGTTTAAACTTATAATAATTAGGGATGCACAGATACCAATACATTGGGTACATCTTCTGAAGATAGAATCAGAAGCATCATGTCTTTAAAGTCATCATACTTGTACTTGGTCTGAAAAAAGGGGTAATGATGTATACATAATAAGAATAACGAAGAACGAATAAGAATAATTATAAATACATTGTCACATTTTGTTTATACTGATACTGATCAGCCCTAAAACAGTAAGCAATGCCAGTAACACTGATTATCTGGGTATCAGGGCTCCTGTCGAGGGGGGGGGGTATATCAGAAAGACAGTGAAATGTTCACGGTCCTCAGAGTTGATGTGTTAGAAGCAGGAAAAATGGGCAGCGTGAGGATCTGAGCCACTTTGACAAGAACCACATTGTGATGGACGACTGGGTCAGAGCATCTCCAAACCTGCAGCTCTTGTGGGGTGTTCCGGGTCTGCAGAGGTCAGTACCTATCAAAAGTGGTCCAAGGAAGGAACAGAACCAGAGACAGGGTTATGGGGGGGCCAAGGCTCATTGATGCACGTGGGGAGTGAAGGACATGTCATTTAATTCCCACATAAAGCAAACCTCCAGGACTGCCTTCTTTCATTTACGTAATCTTACAAAAATTAGACACATCCTGTCACAGACGGATGCAGAAAAACTAATCCATACATTTGTTACTTCTAGGATGGATTACTGCAATTCCTTATTATCAGGTTGCCCCAATAAGTCCATTAAGACGCTCCAATTAATTCAGAACGCTGCAGCATGAGTACTGACAGGAACCAGGAAAAGAGATCACATCTCTCCTGTAATAGCGTCTCTGCACTGGCTCCCTGTAAAATTTAGAATATAATTTTAAATCCTCCTCCTCACCTACAAAGCTCTTCATGGTCGGGCCCCTTCATATCTTAAAGAGCTAATAGTACTCTATTACCCCACTAGAACACTGCGTTCTCTGAATGCAGGGCTATATGTGGTTCCTATAGTCTCTAAAAGTAGAACAGGAGCCAGAGCCTTCAGTTACAAAGCTCCTACCCTGTGGAAGCAGCTTCCAGTTGTGGTTCTGGAGGCAGACCCCTCCCTCTCCACATTTAAGAGTAGGCTTAAGGCGCCCGGTTAGCTCAGTGGGTAGAGCTGGCGACCCATGTACAGAGGCTGAGTCCTTGCTGCAACGCCCAGGGTTCGAATCTGACCTGCGGCCCTTTGCTGCGTGTCATCCACTCTCTCTGCCTCCCTTTCCTGTCTGTCTTCAGCTGTCACTATAATAAAGGCAATAAAAGCCCCCCCCAAAAAAAAAATACTTTAAAGAGTAGGCTGTAGATGTTCCTCTTTGATAAAGCTTATAGTTAGGGCTGGCTCAGGTGAGTCCTGAACCATCCCTTAGTTATGCTGCTATAGGTCTAGACTATCGGGGGATTTCCCATTATGCACTGAGCTCCTCTTTTCCCCTCTTATCATGGATCCTGGTGGAGCCTCCTGCCATGGTCCTGCTAGATTGCCATTGCCAATACTGTTGTTGCTGTACACCTGTCTGTCTGTCTGTCTGTCTGTCTGTCTGTCTGTCTCTCTCTCTCTCTCACCCCAACTGGTCGAGACAGATGACCACCCACCTAGAGCCGAAGGATCTGTCCTAGGTTTCTGCCTTTTAACAGGCAGTTTTTCCTTGCCCTTGTTGTCAAGTGCTTGCTCATGGTGGTACTGTTGGCTCTCTGTAAATAATGTTATAAAGAGTTCAGTCTAGACCTGAACTCTTCAATCATTTCTTCATCGAAGCCATCAACCTGTCTGTTAGACCCAATCCCAACTAGGCTGCTTAAAGAAGTTGTTCCCTTAATTGGCACTTCTTTACTGGATATGATTAATCTTTCTTTATTATCAGGATATGTACCACAGTCCTTTAAAGTAGCTGTAATTAAACCCCTTCTTAAGAAGCCCACTCTTGACCCAGGGGTTTTAGCCAACTATAGACCAATCTCTAACCTCCCCTTTCTCTCTAAGATTCTGGAGAAAGTAGTCGCCAAAGAGTTGTGTGACTTTCTACATAACAATAGTTTATTTGAGGATTTTCAGTCAGGATTTAGAGTTCATCACAGCACAGAGACAGCTCTGGTTAAAGTTAATAATGACCTTCTGATTGGACAATGGACTTGTCTCTGTACTTGTATTATTAGATCTTAGTGTTGCATTTGACACCATTGACCATAATATTCTTTTACAGAGACTTGAGCATCAAATTGGCATTAAAGGAACCGCACTGAGCTGGTTTAAGTCATATTTATCAGATCGCTTGCAGTTTGTACATGTTAACGATGAATCTTCAATAAATACTACAGTTAGTCATGGAGTTCCACAAGGTTCTGTACTTGGACCAATACTATTTACTTTATATATGCTCCCTTTAGGCAACATTATTAGGAATCACTCCATTAACTTTCACTGTTATGCAGATGATACGCAGTTATATCTATCAATCAAGCCCAATGAAATTAATCAATTATCTAAATTACAAACATGTCTTAAGGACATAAAATCCTGGATGAGCTGCAATTTTCTGATGTTAAACTCAGAAAAAAACGAAATTCTTGTTCTTGGCCCTAGAAACCTTAGAGACTCACTGTCTAAAGATATAGTTACTCTAGACAGCATTAACTTGGCCTCTAGCACCACTGTCAGGAATCTTGGAGTTATCTTTGATCAGGATTTGTCATTTAACTCCCACATAAAGCAGACCTCTAGGACTGCCTTCTTTCATTTATGTACACTACCGTTCAAAAGTTTGGGGTCACTTAGAAATGTCCTTATTTTTGAAAGAAAAGCATTGTTTTTTTCAATGAAGATAACATTAAATTAATCAGAAATACAGTCTAGACATTGTTAATGTGGTAAATGACTATTCTAGCTGGAAACGGCTGATTTTTAATGGAATATCTACATAGGTGTACAGAGGCCCATTTCCAGCAACCATCACTCCTGTGTTCTAATGGTACATTGTGTTAGCTAATTGTGTTAAAAGGCTAATTGATGATTACAAAACCCTTCTGCAATTATGTTAGCACAGCTGAAAACTGTTGTGCTGATTAGAGAAGTTATAAAACTGGCCTTCCTTTGAGCTTGTTGAGTATCTGGAGCATCAGCATTTGTGGGTTCGATTATACTCTCAAAATGGCCCGAAAAAGAGAACTTTCTTCTGAAACTCGACAGTCTATTCTTGTTCTGAGAAATGAAGGCTATTCCATGCGAGAAATTGCCAAGACACTGAAGATTTCCTACAACGGTGTGTACTACTCCCTTCAGAGAACAGCACAAACGGGCTCTAACCAGAATAGAAAGAGAAGTGGGAGGCCCCGGTGCACAACTAAGCAAGAGGACAAGTACATTAGAGTCTCTAGTTTGAGAAATAGACGCCTCACATGTCCTCAACTGGCAGCTTCATTAAATGTAACCCGCAAAACGCCAGTCTCAACGTCCACAGTGAAGAGGCGACTCCGGGATGCTGGCCTTCTAGGCAGAGTGGCAAAGAAAAAGCCATATCTGAGACTGGCCAATAAAAGGAAAAGATTAAGATGGGCAAAAGAACACAGACATTGGACAGAGGAAGATTGGAAAAAAGTGTTATGGACAGACAAATCTAAGTTTGAGGTGTTTGGATCACACAGAAGAACATTTGTGAGACGCAGAACAAGTGAACAGATGCTGGAGGAGTGCCTGACGCCATCTGTCAAGCATGGTGGAGGTAATGTGATGGTCTGGGGCTGCTTTGGTGCTGGTAAAGTGGGAGATTTGTACAAGGTAAAAGGGATTTTGAATAAGGAAGGCTATCACTCCATTTTGCAACACCATGCCTTACCCTGTGGACAGCGCTTGATTGGAGCCAATTTCCTCCTACAACAGGACAATGACCCAAAGCACACCTCCAAACTATGCAAGAGCTATTTAGGGAAGAAGCAGTCAGCTGGTATTCTGTCTGTAATGGAGTGGCCAGCGCAGTCACCAGATCTCAAACCTATTGAGCTGTTGTGGGAGCAGCTTGACCGTATGGTACGTAAGAAGTGCCCATCAAGCCAATCCAACTTGTGGGAGGTGCTTCAGGAAGCGTGGGAAATTTCTTCAGATTACCTCAACAAATTGACAGACAGAATGCCAAAGGTCTGCAAGGCTGTAATTGCTGCAAATGGAGGATTCTTTGACGAAAGCAAAGTTTGAAGGACAAAATTATTATTTCAAATAAAAATCATTATTTCTAACCTCGTCAATGTCTTGACTATATTTTCTATTCATTTTGCAACTCATTTGATGACTAAAAGTGTGAGTTTTCATGGAAAACATGAAATTGTCTGGGTGACCCCAAACTTTTGAACGGTGGTGTAATATTAGAAAAATTAGACACATACTATCACAGACAGATGCAGAAAAACTAATCCATGCATTTGTTACTTCAAGGCTGGATTACTGCAACTCTTTATTATCAGGTTGCCCCAATAAGTCCATTAAAATGCTCCAATTAATTCAGAACGCTGCAGCACGAGTACTGACAGGAACTAGAAAAAGAGATCACATCTCTCCTGTACTAGCTTCTCTGCATTGGCTCCCTGTAAAATGTAGAATAGAATTTAAAATCCTCCTCCTCACCTATAAAGCTCTTCATGGTCAGGCCCCTTCATATCTTAAAGAGCTCATAGTACCCTATTACCCCTCTAGAACACTACGTTCTCTGAATGCTGGGCTACTTGTGGTTCCTATAGTCTCTAAAAGTAGAACAGGAGCCAGAGCCTTCAGTTACCAAACTCCTCTTCTGTGGAACCAGCTTCCAGTTGTGGTTCGGGAGGCAGACACCCTCGCCACATTTAAGAGTAGGCTTAAGACATTCCTCTTTGATAAAGCTTATAGTTAGGGCTGGATCAGGTGAGTCCTGAACCATCCCTTAGTTATGCTGCTATAGGCCTAGACTATCGGGGGATTTCCCATGGTGCACTGAGCTCCTCCCTTCCTCTCTCTTTCTGCACTCATTCATGTCCCATTAATGCATGTTACTAACTCCACTTCTTCCCCGGAGTTCTTGTGCTTTCTCGTCTCGCAGGTTCTTGTCGATCCTGGTGGAGCCTCCTGCCATGGTCCTGCTAGATTGCCATTGCCAATACTGTTGTTGCTGTGCACCTGTCTGTCTGTCTCTCGCTCTCTCTCTCTCTGCCTCTCTCTCTCTCTCTCACCCCAACTGGTCGAGACAGACGACCACCCACCTAGAGCCGGAGGATCTGTCCTAGGTTTCTGCCTTTTAACAGGCAGTTTTTCCTTGCCCTTGTCGCCAAGTGCTTGCTCATGGTGGTACTGTTGGGTCTCTGTAAATAATGTTTTAAAGAGTTCGATCTAGACCTGCTCTATTTGAAACGTGTCCTGAGATAACTTCTGTTATGAATTGGCGCTATACAAATAAAATTGAATTGAATTGAATTGAAAATCAGAGTACAGTCCAGGAGCGCCGTACACTTTAACAGACAGAACTGGCTGCAGTGTTTTCCAGTTTGGGTGAGAAAGACTAAGAACAAGGCTTTCAAATTAATTATAATTTAGTTTCGGTTTAGGGTCCATTAAAACGCTCAAATCATATATGGCTGCTACTCCACCTCCTCGGCCAGTGCCTCGAGGAATGTGAGTATTAATATGACTGGGGGGGGTGGATTCATTTAGGCTAACATACTCCTCGTGGGACAACCAGGTCTCAGTAAGACAAAATAAATCAATATCATAATCTGATATTAATTCATTCACTAAAACAGCTTTAGAGGACAGAGACCTGATATTTAACAGTCCACATTTCATTGTTTTATTTGTGCTACTGAGGAATTGTTTTTAATTTTTATTAGGTTGTTATGTTAAACTCCTCTTGTTTGTATTTCTTTAAAAAATGTAGGTGGTCGGGGGACAATTGCTACTGTTGTTGCTGTGCACCTCTGTCTGTCTGTCTGTCTGTCTGTCTGTCTCTCTCACACCCACCTAGAGCCGGGGTCTGTCCTAGGTTTCTGCCTCTGAAAAGGCAGTTTTTCCTTGCTGACGTCGCCAAGGTCTTGCTCATGGTGGGAACTGTTGGGTCTCTGTAAATAATGTTATAAGGAGTTCGGTCTAGACCTGCTCTATTTGAAAAGTGTCCTGAGATAACTTCTGTTATGAAGTGGCGCTCTACAAATTAAATTGAATTGAATTGAATTTAATTTAATGGAATTTAATTGAAGGCTGGCCCGTGTGGTCCGATCCAACAGATGAGCTACTGTAGCTCAAACTGCTGAAACAGTTAATGCTGGTTCTGATAGAAAGGGGTCAGAACACAGTGCAGAGCAGTCTGTTGGTCTGGGACAAGTCAGGGAGTCCAGTGCTCATAATGTCAGTGCTGATCGATGCAAATGTTTTATATAATCTGGGATATTTACACTGGTATGGCAGGAAAACAGGATCAGTTTATCCGAGTCTTTAAAGTGTGTTACACCTGCACTCTTGCTAATGTCCAGCAGGGGGCAACTCCACTCTAATAGTATTAGTCTTAGGGAGATTTATGAGCTCAGTAAACAGTTTCCTGATGAGTGTATGGTCTCAGTCTCTTGTTTGAGTCTTCTTCCATACAGCATGATGTTCGTTTAGTAACTGACGGTCCCCTTTAGAGTAAAATAGACCATAAAGCAGGGTATGCTTTAGGGCGGGGCTACCTTGTGATTGACAGCTCATTCTCAGTGAGTCCATCCAGCTCAATGCACCAAACTCAGATCAAACTGTCAAACAGTGCTGATCAGATATGGATCCAGATTCTGTTGTTGACTATTTCTCTCCTCAAATCTGTTCACAAACACATTTTATTGTTTATCTGGAATACCAGACCCTGTGTGAGCAGGCGAACCGCCATTGTTTCCAAACCAAGAGCAGCCAATGAGAGCAGCTCAACTCGCAGTACGTCACCGCTGATGGCTGCAAAAGAATAACATGGAGACGAACATAAAGCCCAACTGGAGGCTTCAAAATAGCCCACAAACTATAGGTAATTACATTTCTAAATTGAAACTCATATGGTGGTGGCAGGGTGGTGTGGGCTGTACTGTCTGTAGAGTCTGATGGCCTGGGGGTAGAAACGGTTAGTACACTCCTGTAACGCCGGCCTGAGGGCAGGAGTGTGGAATGTGTTGCAGAGGTGGGAGTAAGTCACACATGTGCAAGTCTCAGGTAAGTCTCAAGTCTTAACCTTCAAGTCTCAAGCAAGTCCCAAGTCATTTCTCAAGCAAGTCCCAAGTCATTTTTGTGAGAGTAAAGTCAAGTCAAATCATAGAAATATAATAAGCTGGATGACAACCGTCTTAAAGTGCTGGACTTTAATTTACAACAAATATTTCAACATATAACAAAAAACATTGCATCAAAGAATGAACTTGAACAAGTAAACCTTAAATGTAACCTAGTGTTTGTGTTATGATTAAGCATGTGTGCATGTGCGTGTGTGTGTGCATGCATGTGAGAGTGGATAGTGGAGTGTGTGTGCATGTGTGTCAGAGAGAGAGATATAGAAACAATGTAATTAGGCCTAGTATTTGTGAATGTGTGTGTGTGTGTATGTATGAGGAGTGCGTGTGTGTGTGTGTGTGTGTGTGTGTGTGTGTGTGTGCGTGTGTGTGCATGTGAGTGTATAGGAGTGTGTGTGCATGTGTGTCAGAGAGAGAAGGGGTGAAAAGCCATTTACAAAACATTGCATTTGCAAAACATCAAATGTGACAGAACTTTGTCAGTCAGTTGTGAGCGATGGGGTTGCATTATTATCCCGCCATGGCTGAATACGCGCTCAACAGGTGCCCTTGATACAGGAACTGCCAAAACCCTTACCGCCACCTTGAACAAAGAGGGGAGGGTGTGCCTGTTCATGGCCCAAACCTGAAGGGCATTCTGTCCATCTCAAACATCCAGGTAGTGGTTCAGCCGAATATGGGGGCTAGAACCTGAATCTTACTTCTGCTTCTTGTGGTATGCTGAGAACAGTCCAGACTGATGCTCTGTCTCTTCTGTTCTGGTTTGGTCCTCCTCCTAACAGGGGGTTGGGGTGGTCTTGCAAGCCTCTTTGAGAATCAAATCTGGTGAGTAAAGGCAAAAAGAGTCATCAGGAAAGACAAAGTTGAATACTGAGTACCAGTAACAACCATGTAATGACAATCTGTATTAGTATGAACCAACACCACCACCCAAACCCTACTTATGACATGGTTGACTTTACATTTGATTGATAAAACTGTTACATACCTTTTATCATCATTGGCACAGCCTGCTTGGTGTTTTCAGGGACAAAAACATCATGGGTCAACCACATGCTGCCAAATGAAGGATCCAGTAGAGCAGCCTTTAGGTATAGAGGGTCAGAGAAGGGCACTGACTGCCTGCCAGATGATTCTTCTGCCATCTGCACATTCACAATGATCCCTCCGAACCGTCTTTGGAGTGATGTTTGTAGGCTACAGATCAGACCCCCCATGTAGCACATGTTCCCTTTTTCATTTTCCAGGTGGTGATTAAGAGAAAGGACACAGGGTACCACAGCACTTATGGTCACTTTTTTTTTTCCTGCGTGAGATCTGTGGCTTCCGCAAAAGGCTGAAGGATGTACACAAGTTCTTGAATCTGATTCCACTCTCTTGCTATGAATACCGTGTCCTTGTGTCCCGAATTATCAAGAAGTGTAGAAAGCTTTAGGTGATCACAGCTGAGCATTGCTTTTAGTTGCCTAAAAGTGGAATTCCAGCACGTCGCAACACACGCAGGGTTAACCAAACTCCCTCTCAAAAATGTCCTTGAGTGAGCAGCTTGTATGGAGAATGTGGCTCAACGTGGAGGCTTTCGCAATGGCCGCATTAACAATTCTGGTCTCTTTCAGGCCATCTCTTACAACCAATTGAAGAGTATGTGCAAAACACTGCATTCGTGTCTGAGACTTTGCTGTGAAAAATTGGTCAACCCTCTCTTGCTCCTCTGGTGATAAGTCATTCCATATATCAGAATCATCAAGGTCATCGTCATCCTCTTCGTCCTCTTGACCTGGGAAGCACGTACTGAAGGCCTTTTTCATGTTCGTGGCGTTATCTCAAATAATGTGGTCCAACTTCTTCTTCATGTTGTACTCTTTAAAGTATTTTATATATATATTTGGCTTTTATTTGACAGGAAAGGGGGGCAGAGAGAGAGGGTATGACACGCAGCAAAGGGCCACAGGTCGGATTCAAACCTTGGGCTGCTGCAGCAAGTACTGAGCCACGGTACATGGGTCACCAGCTCTACCAGCTGAGCTAACCGGGCGCCCCTTCATGTTGTTCTCTTCACATATCTGTTCAAACTCCTCGCAAATTCTTTCTCCAGTATGAGCACCTCTGAAGCGGTTGCATGCAAGTAAGGCTGATTTCAAGACAAGTGAGTCATCGGCAGGATTCAGCCAATGTGCTGTCACTCCCAGAAACCCCCTCATCTTCCGGTCTGACCATATGTCTACAGTCATCAACACACTATCTGCATTTGCTAGGTCTGATTTTAGCTTCATCTGTCTCTCAGCCACTACCTCATCCAGCTTTGTGGTTATTGTTCTTCAATCACTGTTATGCAGATGATACGCAGTTATATCTATCTATCAAGCCCGATGAAATTAATCAATTATCTAAATTACAAACATGTCTTAAGGACATAAAATCCTGGATGAGCTGCAATTTTCTGATGTTAAACTCAGAAAAAAACAAAATTCTTGTTCTTGGCCCTAGAAACCTTAGAGACTCACTGTCTAAAGATATAGTTACTCTAGACAGCATTAACTTGGCCTCTAGCACCACTGTCAGGAATCTTGGAGTTATCTTTGTCAGGATTTGTCTTTTAACTCCCACATGAAGCAGACCTCTAGGACTGCCTTCTTTAATTTACGTTATATTACAAAAATTAGATACATACTATCACAGACAGATGCAGAAAAACTAATCCATGCATTTGTTACTTCAAGGCTGGATTACTGCAACTCTTTATTATCAGGTTGCCCCAATAAGTCCATTAAAACGCTCCAATTAATTCAGAACGCTGCAGCACGAGTACTGACAAGAACTAGAAAAAGAGATCACATCACATACTTGTGGTTCCTATAGTCTCTAAAAGTAGAACAGGAGCCAGAGCCTTCAGTTACCAAGCTCCTCTCCTGTGGAACCAGCTTCCAGTTGTGGTTCGGGAGGCAGACACCCTCTCCACATTCAATAGTAGGCTTAAGACGTTCCTATTTGATAAAGCTTATAGTTAGGGATGGATCAGGTGAGTCCTGAACCATCCCTTAGTTATGCTGCTATAGGCCTAGACTATCGGGGGATTTCCCATGGTGCAATGAGCTCCTCCCTTCCTCTCATTCATGTCCCATTAATGCATGTTACTAACTTCACTTCTTCCCCGGAGTTCTTGTGCTTTCTCGTCTCGCAGGTTCTTATCGATCCTGGTGGAGCCTCCTGCCATGGTCCCGCTAGATTGCCATTGCCAATACTGTTGTTGCTGTGCACCTGTCTGTCTGTCTGTCTGTCTCGCTCCCTCTCTTTCACCCAAACTGGTCGAGACAGACGACCACCCACCTAGAGCCGGAGGATCTGTCCTAGGTTTCTGCCTTTTAACAGGCAGTTTTTCCTTGCCCTTGTCGCCAAGTGCTTGCTCATGGTGGTACTGTTGGGTCTCTGTAAATAATGTTTTAAAGAGTTCGATCTAGACCTACTCTATTTGAAAAGTGTCCTGAGATAACTTCTGTTATGAATTGGCGCTTTACAAATAAAATTGAATTGAATTGAATTGAATTGAATTGAATTAAATTGAATTGAATTGAACTCACAGGGGAGTACCTGCTGTCCACTATGGATAAAAACTGCTGAAAGCTTCCATGTTCAACAATGAATAAACGCAGGTTGCAATCAACGATGAGTTCCGAGAGGATCGAACTTGTGATGGCTCTCTGCTGTGGGTGGTTGTAACTGTAAAGAACAGTTCTTGCAGTGATGAACTGTGAGATCTGTGGTTGACTGAGGTCAGATGTTTCTTTTGTACGGGTGTACTTTTCAAATCTAGACAGAGGGGAGAGAAAGACAAAAAAAAGGACTTAGCTCATGTTTTCATTGCATAGTATTCCATTAAATACATAGGTAACATTGCAATTAAAATATCTTTTTAATTAATTAAATTAAATTAAATTAAAGATGTTAACATTTGAAAATGTTGTCCATGCTTCTCTACTAAGCTGTCATCTCTAATTTCTCATTAGATATACAGCCCCTCACTGTTATGTGGACATCTACAGTATGTGGTAAAGTAAAACCATAGACTATAAATGAGTGCATGAATAATGTCACTGTCTGTCAAACATGAAACTAGAGTTGCAGTGAGCATCCTAGGACCCCTAGGAAGGGTAGGCTATGTTGATTCACTGTACATTGTACTAGGGCTGCAACTAACGATTATTTTAGTTGTTGACTAAACTACCAATTATTTTATGTGTGCATGTGCATAAGGTGTGAGTGGACGAGCAAGAGTGAGCGAGCAGGCGGGAGCACGGATGCAGGATGTATTTATATAAAAGAAAACGAAAATCTATTTGGGTTTGATTTGCTTGTAGGTTGGTAGGCTAATATAAAGACACACGTACATTCATGATCATATTTGACTGATGAAACTATCGGGAGGTCTCCGACGATATGTTACAAATCACTACGACTAAGACAAATAACTTTCCGTTGCAAATAAAAGCTCTGTGAGTTATCAGTTCAACTCGTGAACTTACCTATCTGTACATATCTGGAGTACATGGCACAACAGCACCAACAAGCAACACAAGCACCCTGTGTTTGAGGCACTCATGCATCGCTGTAGTGCTGCCATGATATTTACAGTATGTGATCATACAGTGGGGTTTTTTTCCCGCCGCGCAGGATCTTTACGCGGGACTAATCTTTGCAACCCTACATTGTACACTCAATTAGTGCATGTCCTCTTCAATATTTAATGCTCTTTGCCATAACATAAACTATACTAAAACTTTGAAACCATCTTTCATTTACTACCGTACTGTTAGCTGTGGGAAAGCGAGGGAGGAGAATGTGTGCTTTTACCAAAGAGAGAGACCCCTTGCTAGCACTATGCCACTACATTGACTTGAATGATAGGTAACATTGTTTAGCACGATAGTCTCACAATTTAAAACTAAAACGTAAACATGAATTAAAACTTGATGTGGTCTGTAATGCAAACAGTAATCTCTTGACACTTTTGACTTATGGAGATTGGCACGTTAGCTAACGTCAGGTTAAAAAGAATGCTATAGCTAGCTATATTACTTACTTTTCCTTCTGAAATGCCGAATGAAATTCGACGTGGTGCTGGAGGTGTCCGAAATTTTGGCACTGCAGACCTTGCACACGGCTTTTCTTCTTTTGTTTTTGTTGGTAAAGTCTCTGAACCCAAATTTTATGATTTTGGGAACCGCTGCTGCTGCAGCAGCGCCTTCCAGTTCCATCTTCCAAGTGCGCCGCTGCTGTCAGTGATAGGTGCGTCACTGTACGTTAGATTACAGGTTGCAATATTTTTGATAATTCACATATTAATAAAGACAGCAATGACTTGTCGAGTCATTTCATGCAAGTCTAAGTCAAGTCTCAAGTCATGAATAGCAAGTCAAAGTCTAGTCAAGTCTTTTATCACTGTTAATCAAGCAAGTCACAAGTCTTCAATCTGGCGACTTAAGTCTGACTTGAGTCCAGTCATTCGACCCGAGTCCCCCATCTCTGCTGTGTTGTTGGTGTGTATTGTCCTTTATGATGTTGTGGGCCCTCCTGATGACCCTGGTTGTGTAGATGTCCTGTAGTGATGGGAAGGCTGCTCCAGAGATGAATTGTGCAGTTTTTATTACACGCTGGAGAGGCTTCCTGTCCTTTTAATGTCTGTCGTGACTATCTTTTCAAAACACAAGGGTGGTAGAAAAAGGTGCACAAGCAACAGCGATAACCACAGCCTTGAGAGGATTGTGAAGCCATTCAAGAATTTGGGGGAGATTCACAAGGAGTGGACTAAGGCTGGAGTGAGCCACCACGCACAGACGTATCCAGGACATGGGCTACAACTGTCGCATTTCTTGTGTCAAGCCACTCCTGAACCAGAGACAACATCAGAAGTATCTTACCTGGCAATTACCTTTTTTAGTTTACCTAAGGAGAAAAAGGACTGGACTATTGCTCAGTGGTCCAAAGGTTCGTTTCAGATTAAAGTCAATTTTGCATTTCATTTGGAAATCAAGGTCCCAGAGTCTAGAGGAAGAGTGGAGAGGCACAGAATCCAAGTTGCTTGAAGCCCAGTGTGAAGTTTCCACAGTCAGTGATTGGGGTGCCATGTCATCTGCTGGTGTTGGTCCACTGCGTTTTATCAAGTCCAAAGTCAACGCAGCCATCTACCAGGAATTTAATGCTTCCTTCTGCTGACAAGCTTTATGGAGAGGCTAATTTCATTTAATAGCAGGACTTGGCACCTACCCACACTGCCAAAAGTACCAATACCTGGTTTAATGACCATGGAATTACTGTGCTTGATTGGTCAGCAAACTCGCCTGACCTGAACCCCATAGAGAATCTATGGGGTATTATCAAGAGGAAGATGAGACACCAGACCCAACAATGCAGATGAGCTGAAGGCTGCTATCAGAGCAAACTGGGCTCCATAACACCTCAGCAGTGCGACAGGCTGATCGCCTCCATGCCACGCCGCATTGATGCAGTTATTCATGCAAAAGGAGGCCCAACCAAGTATTGAGTGCATATATATATGAACATACTTTTGAGTAGGCCAACATTTCTGTGTTAAAAATCCTTTTTTATTGGTCTTATGTAATATTCTAATTTTCTGAGTTCTGAATTTTGGGTTTTCATTAGCTATAAGCCATAATCATTAAAATTAAAAGAAATACAGGCTTGAAATATTTCACTCTGTGTGTAATGAATCTATATATGAGTTTCACTTTTTCAATTGAATTATTTAAATGAACCTTTTCACAATAATTTAATTTATTGAGATGCACCTGTAATGACGTTCTGACTCCTCCCAGTTGACAGGAGGAACCATGGAGAGGTGAACATAATGGTTTCTGAGCTCAAAAAGAAGAATAAATAAATGAAACACTGAATAGCGACATCCACAACAATGACATGTGGATGTTAAACTCACACATAAAAACATACAGGACACAGTCTTACCTCTGACTTAGCTGAAGGCAAGCAATCAAAGCGGCTTCCTACCATCTACTCCATTCAGACAGACAGACAGGTAAACAGACAGACAGACAGACAAAACAAAAAGAAAAGGACAGCTGGTCTAAAATGTCAAGTTTAGCACTCACAGATATAATACTAACAGTGTTATTGGATACACTGACTGTAGTCTAATGACAGCAGTACTGAGCTCCAACCAGGATGGATATACACTCTGAACGTCAACCAGATCTAACATCTTGTGTCTGTAACTTCACTTCACTTCACTGTCTTTGTCTGTTCTCCCACCAGTTTTATTTGTCTGCCCCACCCTGATTAGTTTCACCTGTGTGTAGTTATCCTCCTCTCGTCAGTGTATGTAGTCTGTGTTTTTTTTTGTTTCATTGTTACTTTGTCTTTGCATGTTTTCCAGTGTTTTTGGACTTTCTGTTTGTGATATAGATTCTGGATTTATTGTCTTTTGAACTTGTTGGCCTTCTTGGTTTTGACTTTTAATCTGCATTATCCGTAAACTCCCTCCCTTTGTTTAAATAAACCATTGAGGTGATCCCGTCTGCCTGCTGCTGTCCAATCCCTCCTGTTCCTTGTTACTCTGTATGATTTGTGACACATAAGGACCAGGACTTGCGGCATTGCGAGTATGTAGGCTTCAGCCTTTCTGCCAGAAAATGCTTCCCGCAAAAAGTGGAATTTACTGATGTCTACAAACGACCGTTACCCAGAGTATGAAGCCAAAGCTAACATTACTACAAAGCTTGTGGAATATTATTAAGGACAATATTGTCATATTATGGTTTTAACTAGTTAATGTTAGCTTGCTTGCTGTCACAGACAAATTGCTAGCTAGCTAATGTAACAATATCGTTAGCTATACACCATACCCTATCATTTATTGTTGGCTAAAGGTTGACTAAGAATAGCTGGGGAAGCTAACTTTAGTCAACTAACATATCCACTCAGATGCTAGCGATAATGTCAGCAAGCAAGTTAGCTAAGCTTAGTGAGCCTACAACCCAGTGAATAACGTTATCCAGCGCTGGCTTCCCCGCCATGCCAGCCGACAACGTAAACAAACGTCATGTCACTGTTCTGGCCAATGACTATGATGGCGCGAGTGTTAAAGTTAGCTTAGCACCACTAGCTACTGCACAACTGTCTCTGTCTGATAACAGTTAGGCTCCGCCCACAAAATACATCATTACTGTTTACAAACCCAAAAGAGGTCTATGGCAGGGGTGCAGGGATGGAGTAAGTATTTTAATGTTGTTACACCAACTGCCCCTTTCTCCTTAAAGTTGTAGAGGCTGATGATCCTCATCAAATCAGATAAAGTAATTATTGTAGGTGATTTTAATATTCATGTGGATGTTGACAATGACAGCCTTAGTAATGCATTTATATCATTAATAGACTCAATTGGCTTCTGTCAGAGTGTAAATAAACCAACTCATTGTTTTAATCACACTCTTGACCTTGTTTTATCCTATGGCATTGATATTGAACATTTAATAGTCTTCCCACATAATCCTTTCCTATCTGACCATTATTTAGTAACTTTTGAATTCATACTATTAGATTATAAGCCATTAGGCAAAACTTCCTACAGCAGATGTCTATCTGACAGTGCTGTAGCTAAATTTAAGGAGGAGATTCCTTCAGTGTTTAATTCAATGCCATGTCTGAATTTAACAGAGTCCTATAACAACTTTAGTCCCTCTGAAATTGATAATCTTGTCGATAGTGCTACAGGCTCACTACGATCAACATTAGACTCTATCACTCCTATAAAAAGGAAATTATTAAAACATAGGAGACTAGCACCGTGGTATAACCACCAAACCCGCCAGTTAAAACAAATAGCTAGGAAATCTGAAAGGAAATGGCGCTCTTCCAAATTATCAGAATATCGCTCAAATTGGCAAGATGATCTTAAGATTTATAGAAAGGCCCTCCGTAATGCCAGAGGAGCCTATTACTCAGCACTAATAGAAGAAAATAAGAACAACCCTAGGTTCCTCTTCAGCACTGTAGCCAGGCTGACAGAGAGTCACAGCTCTATCGAGCCACATATCCCCATAAACTTAAGTAGCAATGACTTCATGAGCTTCTTCTATAATAAAATTATTACTATTAGAGAAAAAATTAATCACCAACTGCCATCAACGGTTATCAGTGGCTCTCCAAGTTCAGGGACTTCTGTCAATGTAAACTTAGATGTATATTTAGACTGTTTTTCTGCTATCGATCTTCATCAGTTAACTTCAATCATTTCTTCATCGAAGCCATCAACCTGTCTGTTAGACCCGATCCCAACTAGGCTGCTTAAAGAAGTTGTTCCCTTAATTGGCACTTCTTTACTGGATATGATTAATCTTTCTTTATTATCAGGATATGTACCACAGTCCTTTAAAGTAGCTGTTATTAAACCCCCTTCTTAAAAAGTCCACTCTTGACCCAGGGGTTTTAGCCAACTATAGACCGATTTCTAACCTCCCGTTCCTCTCTAAGATTCTGGAGAAAGTAGTCGCCAAAGAGTTGTGTGACTTTCTACATAACAATAGTTTATTTGAGGATTTTCAGTCAGGATTTAGAGTTCATCATAGCACAGAGACAGCTCTGGTTAAAGTTAATAATGACCTTCTGACTGCTTCTGACAATGGACTTGTCTCTGTACTTGTATTATTAGATCTTAGTGCTGCATTTGACACCATTGACCATGATATTCTTTTACAGAGACTTGAGCATCAAATTGGCATTAAAGGAACTGCCCTAACCTGGTTTAAGTCATACTTATCAGATCGTTCTCAGTTTGTACATGTTAACGATGAATCCTCCATAAATACTAAAGTTAGTCATGGAGTTCCACAAGGTTCTGTACTTGGACCAATACTATTTACTTTATATATGCTCCCTTTAGGCAACATTATTAGGAATCACTCCATTAACTTTCACTGTTATGCAGATGATACGCAGTTATATCTATCAATCAAACCCAATGAAATTAATCAATTATCTAAATTACAAACATGTCTTAAGGACATAAAATCCTGGATGACCTGCAATTTTCTGATGTTAAACTCAGAAAAAAACGAAATTCTTGTTCTTGGCCCCAAAAACCTTAGAGACTCATTGTCTAAAGATATAGTCACTCTAGATGGCATTAACTTGGCCTCTAGCACCACTGTCAGGAATCTTGGAGTTATCTTTGATCAGGATTTGTCATTTAACTCCCACATAAAGCAGACCTCTAGGACTGCCTTCTTTCATTTACGTAATATTAGAAAAATTAGACACATACTATCACAGACAGATGCAGAAAAACTAATCCATGCATTTGTTACTTCAAGGCTAGATTACTGCAACTCTTTATTATCAGGTTGCCCCAATAAGTCCATTAAAACACTCCAATTAATTCAGAACGCTGCAGCACGAGTACTGACAGGAACTAGAAAAAGAGATCACATCTCTCCTGTACTAGCTACTCTGCATTGGCTCCCTATAAAATGTAGAATTGAATTTAAAATCCTCCTCCTCACCTATAAAGCTCTTCATGGTCAGGCCCCTTCATATCTTAAAGAGCTCATAGTACCCTATTACCCCACTAGAACACTACGTTCTCTGAATGCTGGGCTACTTGTGGTTCCTATAGTCTCTAAAAAGTAGAACAGGAGCCAGAGCCTTCAGTTACCAAGCTCCTCTCCTGTGGAACCAGCTTCCAGTTGTGGTTCGGGAGGCAGACACCCTCACCACATTCAAGAGTAGGCTTAAGACATTCCTCTTTGATAAAGCTTATAGTTAGGGCTGGATCAGGTGAGTCCTGAACCATCCCTTAGTTATGCTGCTATAGGCCTAGACTATCGGGGGATTTCCCATGGTGCACTGAGCTACTCTCTTCCTCTCTCTTTCTGCACTCATTCATGTCCCTTTAATGCATGTTACTAACTCCACTTCTTCCCCGGAGTTCTTGTGCTTTCTCGTCTCGCAGGTTCTCATGGATCCTGGTGGAGCCTCCTGCCATGGTCCTGCTTGACTGCCATTGCCAATACTGTTGTTGCTGTGCACCTGTCTGTCTGTCTGTCGCTCTCTCTCTCTCTCTCTCTCTCTCTCTCTCACCCCAACTGGTCGAGACAGACGACCACCCACCTAGAGCCGGAGGATCTGTCCTAGGTTTCTGCCTTTTAACAGGCAGTTTTTCGGTTCGAGTTCGGTCTAGACCTGCTCTATTTGAAAAGTGTCCTGAGATAACTTCTGTTATGAATTGGCGCTATACAAATAAAATTGAATTGAATTGAATTGAATTGAATTGAATTGAATTGAAAATCAAACCAGGTCTCATCAATGATGCAGACATCCCTGAAGTCCCTCTCCATTATGCATTAAGCATGTAGTGCGTCTACTTTATTGTGGAGAGGCCTTATATTTGACAGGAAGATGTAGGGAAGAGGTCTGAAGGATCATCTTGTCAGCCTGTTGCAGCCTGTACCCCTTGTCCTCTACCTCTGTCACTCAATCAAATATCCAACAGGAGGACAGCAGCTGGTTGAAGAAGACCAGAGTGGTAGCAGTTGTCGTCCCGTCTGTAGGTAAGTACAGTGCTGCAGAGGACTACCGGTCATAGTAAAAACTGTCACCAATAATCCATTTAATCTAAAATATGATCCAGATTCAGATTCAGAGGTAGACCACTTTAAACAACAGAAACCAGAAAGCCCAATAATAGACAGGAGAGAACCTGATGGGACACACAGACTGTCATCACTAACACGCTCAGTTCAGACTTGCATACTCTTCTGTTCACCAGGTGTACTCAGAACCCGGTCTGCACCATATTACCCCATTATTCCCACTGTCTGTGTACCTGGCCAGTAACTAATGTGTCTCTAATGGCTCCTTTTGTTTTTCCTCCAATCAGCAACCTCTGATGCCAACAGACTGAACTAACTCATTAAGAAGGCAGAGTCTGTTGTTGGCTTGAAGCTTGTCACCCTGAAGAAGGTGGTGGAGGAGAGGATGCAGGCAAAACTGCTGGCAATCATGGCCAATCCCTCCCACCCCCTCCACACAAGACTGGACAAGCTAAAGAGCAGCTTCAGCAACAGACTCATTCAACCACGCTGCTCTAAGGAACGATATAGAAAATTGTTCCTCCCCACTGTTATAAGACTGTATAACTCATCTGCCTCTGTCAGATCCACAATCACAGAACTGGACTAAATCTACCTGTGAAACATATACTTCATCATATACTATCATATGTGATATGTGTTAATATAAACCATGTTGATATTATCAACATATCATGTTTATACAATATATTCTTATGATATTAATAATATTATATTGTTATTATTATTATTATTATTATTATTATTATTATTATATAACAATATGTAAGATATTATCTATTGTATGTATATCTTCTTGTATAGTCCAGTATCTATTATACATATGCTATATATCATATCATATCTTGTCTATATATATATATGTGTACATATTATATATATATTGTGTATATATATTACAGTATGTATGTATGCACACCTTGCACAGGCTGAATATATGACACATGTTTACATTATATCAATATTAATGTATAATATCTATGTGTATACATGTATATCTGTTCAGTGATCATATTATATATACATATTATTATTATATTATTATTAATATCATGATTATATACTGTTATTATTATATACTGTTATTAACAATAACACTACCATCATGTCATCAGTACTATTACCACCATCTTGCAACTACAAACTAAAAACTTTGCACCTTACCTACCTATTTATCTTTTTTTTTATCTTTTCTAAGTATTTTATTCTATTGTTGTATTTTATTCTATTGTATTTGATTGTATTTTATTGTACCTAGCTGCTATGACAACCCAATTTCCCTTTGGGGATTAATAAAGCCTATCTATCTATCTATCTATCTATCTATCTATCTATCTATCTATCTATCTATCTCTGTGGCTGCAAATGAATCCAACGCTGAAGTACCAAAACCCTGCAGTTCCTTTAACGTCCACTAGTGGCTCCAACATTGAGTCAGTCTCCATAAGGCTTCGTGTTAAAATGTAGAAATAAACACAACTCCCAACTTTAAATTCAAGTTTTGCATAATTAAGGGCGTGGCGGTGGTTGCGTGACAGATGGGTGCCATCACAGGCGGCTGTTTTCAGTAACCAGGCTTCATTCAGCCTCAACACTCCACACTCCACCTTCGTGGACATTTTTGGATTAGCCAGGAGCCAGTGGTTGCCAAGATTGCGACATCCAGAGCCCACCACAATAAGTACGTTAAGTCCCCTTCAAACTAACTGCTTTTATTTTACTAATCAAACACTGGGTGACTTATGGGTTTGTTTTTAGAGTATTGGAGGCTTTCTAAATCCTTCCAATATGTCACTGTGTTATGTGATTGATCTGCGATCAGCGTGATCGGAGGGATCCTGTCAGACCTGCTGCTGATTCATTTCTGACTGACAGGAAGTAGAGCTTCACTCTGTGTGTGACTTTGACTGAATCAATGGATAAGAACCATGATGGAAAAATCTTTACCTTCACCCTGAACACACACACACACACACACACACACACACACACACACACACACACACACAGATGATTGATTGTGGACAGGAAGTGGGTCATGTATTAGTGATTGATGAGTAGCAGAGTGAACATCAGCAGCACTGATATGCTCACTGTAGTTTTATAAATATGTTATAATGTATATAATATTTATGTTTAAAATAACTTAAAACATTGTCAAAAACAGAGTTACAAGCTATTTGAGGGTAAATTGAAGTAAATGGATTCTATGGTTCTATGGTTGTTGGTTCGATCCCCAGCTCCTCTTGCTGCATGTCAAAGTATCCTTGAGCAAGATACTGAACCCCAAATTGCTCCGGATGCTGTGTCAGTGGTTGTGAATGTGAATGAATGAGTGGGTGGAAGACTAGAAAGGAAACTATTTACCATTTGCCATATTGTCCAGAGGAGGAGAAGCACTGTTCGACTGTGGGGATAATACATATTTTAAAGGTTTACTGCAGTGAGACACAATACTTACAATGCTGGCAGAGAGACCGTTTTGGACCCCAGCAGCAGTCTGGATTGAGTGATAATATTATGGTAACGTCTTCAACTCAGCGTTGAAGAATTTGTCTACGGGTGATGGGATCAGTCTCTGTCAGGGAATGCAGCGGGCTCAGGTTTAAAGCTAGAGTGAATATACCTGTATCATATTAACCCTTTAGGCGGCAGGTTTTATTTTTAAAAATACTAGATTTTGACACCTACATTTCAGAAGGCTCTGGCCTGAAAGTGGTTTGAGATAGAGACAAAGTGTAAATGAGACAAATATTGAGAATGACCTAAAGTTTATCTAGGGAGTACATTTTCCCATCTAATTTTATGACGTCATATGGTGGCGGCCATATTGGATTATGTAATTTCCATGAAATACCTGATATTTTGAAAGAGAGTTGAATTTATTTCACCAGATTCACCCCCCTCCATCCATTTGTTATGTTGTCCACATATCAAATGAACTCGGAAAAAGTAAATTATAAGCCAACAGTCATAAACTAGAACTATTACTACACCACAAAACTCATGTAAATGATTTTTTAAAATCATTTTATCATTATAATATGATAATAATAATAACAGTAGGCGTCTTTTAGCTGCAGAGGCCTAATCTGTGCCCATCTATCCAGATAAAAGTTTGTAGTATTTGTAGAGTGTGGAACCTCTCATTGCAAGGCACAGTACAGAGACAATATGAACAATATTGAGATCCCACAACATAGCCTAAACAAATGGACAGGCACACTGCTGCGTCGCATGGCTGCACCACTGCCGCGCGCGGACGCACCGTGACCGGCACGGTAGAAACAGTGAACACTAACGCTGGTCCCAGCGCTATTCCCACCCCCGCTATGTCTACCACATCCATTAGCTCCCCTACTGATACTACAAGTTCGTGTATCATTTCCACTCCCACCTATGTTGGGCAAAGGGTCGTGTGTTTGTGCTTGTGTGTTTTCCTCTCTTTGCCCGGCAGCGCCATTGCAAAGACGCACCGTGACTAGCACGCTCACTAATCGACCGACCACCATCTCCCAAAGGTAGATTTTCCCCTTCAGAATCAGAATCAGCGAATAGGAGACCCATCACTTCCCTAAGCGTCAACTTTTTGCTTGCCATTTCGTTTATTATATTATATTATTATAGTCACAGCTCTATTGAGCCACATATCCCCATAAACTTAAGTAGCAATGACTTCATGAGCTTCTTCAATAATAAAATTATTACTATTAGAGAGAAAATTAATCACCAACTGCCATCAACAGTTATCAGTGGCTCTCCAAGTTAAGGGACTTCTGTCAATGTAAACTTAGATATATATTTAGACTGTTTTTCTGCTATCGATCTTCATCAGTTAACTTCAATAATTTCTTCATCGAAGCCATCAACCTGTCTGTTAGACCCGATCCCAACTAGGCTGCTTAAAGAAGTTGTTCCCTTAATTGGCACTTCTTTACTGGATATGATTAATCTTTCTTTATTATCAGGATATGTACCACAGTCCTTTAAAGTAGCTGTAATTAAACCCCTTCTTAAAAAGCCCACTCTTGACCCAGGGGTTTTAGCCAACTATAGACCTATTTCTAACCTCCCCTTCCTCTCTAAGATTCTGGAGAAAGTAGTCGCCAAAGAGTTGTGTGACTTTCTACATAACAATAGTTTATTTGAGGATTTTCAGTCAGGATTTAGAGTTCATCACAGCACAGAGACAGCTCTGGTTAAAGTTAATAATGACCTTCTGATTGCTTCTGACAATGGAATTGTCTCTGTACTTGTATTATTAGATCTTAGTGCTGCATTTGACACCATTGACCATAATATTCTTTTACAGAGACTTGAGCATCAAATTGGCATTAAAGGAACCGCACTGAGCTGGTTTAAGTCATATTTATCAGATCGCTCGCAGTTGGTACATGTTAACGATGAATCTTCAATAAATACTACAGTTAGTCATGGAGTTCCACAAGGTTCTGTACTTGGACCAATACTATTTACTTTATATATGCTCCCTTTAGGCAACATTATTAGGAATCACTCCATTAACTTTCACTGTTATGCAGATGATACGCAGTTATATCTATCAATCAAGCCTGATGAAATTAATCAATTATCTAAATTACAAACATGTCTTAAGGACATAAAATCCTGGATGAGCTGCAATTTTCTGATGTTAAACTCAGAAAAAAACAAAATTCTTGTTCTTGGCCCCAGAAACCTTAGAGACTCACTGTCTAAAGATTTAGTTACTCTAGATGGCATTACCTTGGCCTCTAGCACCACTGTCAGGAATCTTGGAGTTATCTTTGATCAGGATTTGTCATTTAACTCCCACATAAAGCAGACCTCTAGGACTGCCTTCTTTCATTTACGTAATATTAGAAAAATTAGACACATACTATCACAGACAGATGCAGAAAAACTAATCTATGCATTTCTTACTTCAAGGCTGGATTACTGCAACTCTTTATTATCAGGCTGCCCCAATAAGTCCATTAAAACGCTCCAATTAATTCAGAACGCTGCAGCACAAGTACTGACAGGAACTAGAAAAAGAGATCACATCTCTCCTGTACTAGCTTCTCTGCATTGGCTCCCTGTAAAATGTAGAATAGAATTTAAAATCCTCCTCCTCACCTATAAAGCTCTTCATGGTCAGGCCCCTTCATATCTTAAAGAGCTCATAGTACCCTATTACCCCACTAGAACACTACGTTCTCTGAATGCTGGGCTACTTGTGGTTCCTATAGTCTCTAAAAGTAGAACAGGAGCCAGAGCCTTCAGTTACCAAGCTCCTCTCCTGTGGAATCAGCTTCCAGTTGTGGTTCGGGAGGCAGACACCCTCACCACATTCAAGAGTAGGCTTAAGACATTCCTCTTTGATAAAGCTTATAGTTAGGGCTGGATCAGGTGAGTCCTGAACCATCCCTTAGTTATGCTGCTATAGGCCTAGACTATCGGGGGATTTCCCATGGTGCACTGAGCTCCTCCCTTCCTCTCTCTTTCTGCTCTCATTCATGTTCCATTAATGCATGTTACTAACTTCACTTCTTCCCCGGAGTTCTTGTGCTTTCTCGTCTTGCAGGTTCTTGTCGATCCTGGTGGAGCCTCCTGCCATGGTCCTGCTAGATTGCCATTGCCAATACTGTTGTTGCTGTGCACCTGTCTGTCTGTCTGTCTGTCTGTCTGTCTGTCTGTCTCTCGCTCTCTCTCTCTGTCTCTCAGGCAGTTTTTCCTTGCCCTTGTCGCCAAGTGCTTGCTCATGGTGGTACTGTTGGGTCTCTGTAATTAATGTTTTAAAGAGTTCGGTCTAGACTTGCTCAATTTGAAAAGTGTCCTGAGATAACTTCTGTTATGAATTGGCGCTATACAAATAAAATTGAATTGAATTGAATTGAATTGAATTAATTTCGTCTCAATAACTCCTAAATCCAGCAATACCGCTTCAGCATAAATAGCACCGTGGCACACTATTTCCGGTTTCTCACCCAACAGTTTGGATGGGACTTCCTCGAACATTTTACATTATTTCAGTATTTCTGAGCTAAGGTCTAAGTACGGGATGTCTGCCAACTAGTGGAGGGGAGTATGAACGAGATATAACATTTGGAGTAAATGGTAAATGGACCTGTACCTGTAGAGCCCTTCTACTCCTCCGACCACTCAAAGCACTTTTACACTACGTGCCACATTCACCCTTTCACACACATTCACTCAGTGATGGCAAAGTCCAGGGAGCAATTTGGGGTTCAGTATCTTGCTCAAGGATACTTCGACATGTGACACCAGGAACCGGGGATCAAACCCACAACCTTCCGATTAAGGAACGATCCGCTCTGCCTCTGAGCCACAGCCGCCCAAAACACAGCTGTTTGATTCAGTACCGCGTCGTGTCGCAATTTTGCAACTTTGGCACTTAAAGGGTTAAACTATAAGACCTATAATGCTAGCTTCGAGAATGCAGCTAAATAATGCTTCAAAGGTAGAATATATTTTGCCGATGTAAAAACTAGCATGGCTATTTTCAAAGGTTTCTTAACCTCTGACCTCAAGATATCTGAATGAAAATGGGTTCTACGGGAACCCACAAGTATCCCCTTTACAGACATTTGCACCCTTGCTAATCCCATGCAGTTTTTTGTTTGCAGTATGAAAGTGTTTCTGCATGCTGGGGTCCATATACAGTATTGAACTGTATTAATTTTGTATGACTGCAAAGATGAAACTGTTGTGGAGTCAATGAGTCCAACTGTTTTTGTGCTTTCTCGTCTTGCAGGTTCTCATGGATTCTGGTTGTGCCTGCTGCCAATATTATTATTATTGTTGTTGTTGTTGTTATTGTTATTCATCATTCTCCATCACCATAATCGGCAGCAATTTATTTCTACTAGTATAGTTGTTGCTGTCTCTGTCCTTCTGTCAGTACCCCTCTACCCCCCCCAGAAACCAGATACTCAACATCTATAACAGGCCTGACATCACAAATAATAAATATGAAACAACTGACCAATGATGTTTCCTCCAGCAGCTGTCATTTTGAATCCCATCCAATGACATGAATCCACTGTGGTCTGTATGAAATGTCCAAACGGTCCAAAACGTTTGAACACAACAAACTCGACGTGTTCCACCTCCATCCTCATCATTATAATGGTTGCTTTCAGCTACCTGCTCAGAAGTAGCTGCTGCTCCTTGCTAACAGTTTCACCTGTTGGCTAGTAGAGCTGACAGCAGGACTCAGACAAGGAGGGTTGAGTTATTGAGTGAGCAGAAGATTTCTCCTCTGCTCTCTGGACTTTGTTTTACATTTTGATGTTATGGGAAACAATTCGATACACAGAAAAGCAGCAGAGAGGCAGTAAGCTTTTAAAACTCCCGGTGTGGTACTATTTGCACCCAATCGAACACAGACTGGTCTGAGTCTGACAAACAAACTTATAACTGAATAACAAAATTAATGTTCAGTCAAGCAGTTTGGGCCAAAGGTGGGCCCCTTTGCAACTGAGAACTGTGGACCTGAAATTATTTTTAAAAAAAACTACCGACAATGGATCCCATAGTGAATATATTTGTCAACTAACTGTGGGACTACTGGTACCAGTTCCTAACAGTAACAGTAGGTTAACGGTTATCTCTGTGTTACCTTTGCGTGATGAAGGTCGACTCCGTACATGGAAAGTTTCTTTACGTTGTCCAGGAAGTGCATTTCTGCCTCAGCTGGTGTCATTCCTCTAAAGACACAATCACACAGCGTCTGAGCAGCTGCTGCTTTCTGTTTGATTGACTGCATATTGAAATCTGTTTCATATGTTCACCTGTAGGATTTATGAAGCTCCATGATCTTCTCCTCCATTTCTTTTGTTTGATTTGGAGCAAAACACAGTTCACTGATGTAATCTGATCCGCACTCATCTGAGAAAGACAGACAGGTGGTCAGAGACAGACAGGTCATATGAAGCAGACAGACAAGAAAATAACAGTCAAAGTTGACTTACTAGCATTTCATCCAAGCTTTTAACTGTATCTCAGTTATCACAGTTCAGTATGGGGTGATTTGATGAGACCTGATCAGCATTTATACTGTAATCACATTACATTAAATCAAACAATGCTGTCGTTACTTGCAAGTTCTTTTATTATCTGAAACATGGGCTGCAAATGAATGTTTGAAATCCTGACCGTTTTCTTTCAAGAAAGCAACACCATCTAGTAAAGTAAATTTATTACTTTACTTTATAGAGGTAATGAGTAATGTGTGATATATTACTTTTACGAGTAATGTGTGATGCATTACTTTATTAAGGTAACGAGTAACGACCCCAACATGTAATAGGGTATAGTAGGGTATAATAGAGTATAACTAGGTATAATAGGGATTAATGGGGTATAGTAGAGTGTAGTATGGTATAATAGAGCATAATAGGGTATACAAGGGTATAATAGGGTTTTAGGCCAGTAGAGTACAGTACCAGGATCGTAGTCTCCGAGCTCTGATTGGACAGTGTAGGAACCTAGGCCTGTGTGAGTCGCAAATGAACATGGAAGACGACCGGAAACTATATCCTGTCTGAGCTGGAGACACAGGAAGTACCTGCAGGCAGACAGGAAGAGGGCACCTGTCTCAGGTGTGCAAACAGGTAAGTGTTAAGCTTTGAATGACAGGTGAGGGAGAGTACCTGGTGATGTCCTCAGAGAGCTGGGCGGGGTCAGGAGGGTAAAACTTGACGTTAAAAGAGAAATTCCATGGAACACCTAAGAGACAGAGAGGAGGGAATCATTTTAGTCAGACATTTAACCTTAATTAACCAGTTAACCAGTGACCTGAACTAACCAGATAAACAGTTTACCAGTTAACAGATAAGTTCACTAACAACAACATTTAACACATTTCCCCTGGGGATCAATAAAGTATTTCTGATTCTGATTCTGAACTAACCAGTTAACCTGAACTATCCAACCAGTAAACCAGTAAACTGAGGTAACCTGTTAACCGGTTAGTGTATTTTCTGCTGGTCTTAAATCTGCTGACAAATCAAGATCAACATATGATGGCCAGCCCCCTCTCTACTGACCTCTGACCTGCTTCTTCATCTCCTTTGCCGGATCCAACCAGTTCTACAAGACAACAGGGTAGAAGTCAGAGACAGACAGACAGACAGACAGACAGACGGACAGACAGACAGACAGGTACCTTGTTGTTGTCAGCGTCTCTGAAGGACAGAGCGAAGTAGTCTCTCTCAAGCAGGTTGATGTGTTCACAGACCTTCTCAAACAGCTGAAGACCACGAGCTCGTTTCTGAGAGAGTGAACAGTTCATGTTCCACTTTAATTCCAGCTATTGATTTTGCTTTATATCTATCTATCTATCTATCTATCTATCTATCTATCTCATCTGTGTCCAGCAGTTTAACCTGTCTTTGCCTGTCTCACCTGTGTCCAGCAGTCTCACCTGTCTCTCCTGTCTTTGTCTGTCTCACCTGTCTCACCTGTCTTTGTCTGTCTCACCTGTCATTGTCTGTCTCATCTGTGTCCATCAGTCTCACCTCCACAGTGCAGGTGAACAGTGAGCCATCCAGCAGGGTCACTTTGGTCTGCATCGTCCTGAAGCTCAGTGGGTTTCTGGCCGGAGAGCGAGCGATCCAACTGCTCGACGACAGGTGACTTGTCGAGTCCTCGGCCAATGAGCTCTGAGCTTGGCTCTGGGTCGGCCCGCCCTCCGCTCCCTTAGGACACAGAGAGTGATGTGACAAGTCAGATTCCTAATTAATAATCTCTTTATTGATTGTTTCATTGTGGGTGTTTTTTACCTGTTTAGGTGTAGAGTGGGAGGCGGCTTCAGGGAAAGACTCTCCTTCTTTGGGCTGGGCCTCCTGTGGCTCACCTGCCTCTGTCGTCATGGTGATTCACCTGAAAGACAATGATGACACAGTTACCATGGAGATCTGTACTCCTGTAACTGTACCTCCGCTATTTGTACCTACACCTAAACTTAAACTTTGGTTTGTTAACTTTAGCTCATTAACTTTAGTCCTTTAAAGCTTCTGTATGTAACCTTAATCTAACTGTAGTTAGTAACAGCGCCACTAGTGGCCGTTCAGTGAACTGCAGTCACTGTCCAGTCATAACATAACATACTACAACATGATACTACATGATACAACATAATACTACACTACTGGGCAGCTGTGGTGCAGAGGCAGAGTGGGTCGCCCCCTAATCGGAAGATTGTTCGTTCGATCCCCGGCTCCTGGTGCCACGTGTCAAAATATCCTTGAGCAAGCTACAGAACTCCGAATTGCTCCCGATGCCGTGCATCGGTGTGTGAATGTGTATGTATGCGTTAGTTTCTGTTCGATGGGCTTTGAGTGTGAAAGGGTGAATGTGGCATGTAGTGTAAAAGCGCTTTGAGTGGTTGGAAGACTAGAAAGGCACTATACAAGTACAGGTCCATTTTACCATCCTTTTTTTTTTTACATAATATTACTACAATATGATACAACATAATACTACATAATACTACTACAACATAATATTACATAATACTACTACAACATAATACTACATAATTACATAATACTACTACAATATGATATAACATAATACTACATAATACTACTACAACAACATAATACTACATAATACTACTACAACATAATACTACATAATATTACTACAACATAATACTACTACAACATAATACTACATAATACTACTACAACATAATACTACTAAAACATAATACTACATAATATTACGAAGCAGCAGCAGATCTGATTTCAGAGTCATATTTGAATGCAGCATCAGGCACTGTCTGATGATGTCATCAATCTGAACCCTGTGGTTAACATCTGTTGACCCATCCAGCTGTCAGGTGAAGGGTTGCCATGGTAACACAAAGGGTGGGGGGGGCAGAGAGAAAGGGATTTGGGTCGAGAGATCTAATGTAATCTGGTTCAGACAGACAAGGACGATGATGACGATGATGATGATGATGATGATGATGAGGGTAAGAGGAGGATGTGAACCCAGTTATTATCAATAATGATATTAGTAATAATTGATTGGGTTGGTGTTGTTTGCTGTGCTGTGCTGCTGTAACAGCGATCAATAAAGTCTGATCACATCTGATCACGTGATCTGCTCCTGTTAGTCACAGATGATCAATCAATCAGTGAACTGTGCTCGGATATCACAGGACACTGTAAAATATTAAATACTATTATATAATTGTTGTAAACCACAAATAAACTTCGCAAACCCAGTGACAATACCACCAACTCATTCACAACTGATAAATGCAACTCCTATCTTTCATTTTTTCAGACCAAAATTGACACCATTTACAACAACCTGTCCTCATCTCCTGCCCCTACTGTCTGCACTCCCACTCCATCATTTGCTCCTCCCCCCTACACCTCTCAGCCCCTGTCTCAGTTCTCCCCTGTGTCGCCAGGGGAGCTGTCCAGAATCTTGACAGGGATGAAAACATCTACATGTGTCCTGGACCCCATCCCATCCCACCTCATCAAGGACTGTTTACTGTTTCTCCACACTCATCACAGAAATCATCAACTCCTCTCTCAGTTTTGGCTCAATCCCCCATTCACTCAAACTGGCTGCTGTCACCCCCATCCTCAAAAAACCTGGACTCAATCCCGAAATCATTTCAAACTTTCAGCCCATCTCCAATCTCCTCTTTCTGTCCAAGATACTGGAATGCACTGTCGCCAAACAACTCAAAACCCACCTCTGCTCAAATGACCTGTTCGAACCATTTCAATCCGGCTTCCGTTCACAGCACAGCACTGAAACAGCCCTTCTCAAAGTCACTAACGATACCCTCTTCTCCACAGACTCTGGTCACCTCAGCATCCTCGTCCTCCTGGACCTCACTGCAGCTTTTGACACCATCAATCACACCATTCTTCTTTCCCTCCTCGATTCTTCCCTCAGCATCACCGGCACCGCCCTCTCCTGGCTCCAATCTTATCTCACCGACAGAAAACAGTTCATCCACATCAACAACTGCACCTCCTACACCGCTCCGCTGTCCCAAGGCGTCCCCCAGGGCTCGGTGCTTAGTCCTCTCCTCTTCATACTCTACCTGCTTCCCCTTGACAACATCATTCGCCACCGTGGTCTCAACTTTCACTGGTATGCTGATGACGTCCAGCTTTCCATCTCCACCAAATCCATCACCTCCGCCCACTCACTCCACTCTCTCCAACTGCCTCACTGACATTAAATCCTGGATGCACACCAACTTCCTTAAAGTTAACTGCAACAAAAAAAACATGATCATCATCGGCCCTAAAACCATTGCTAAAACCATTCACAGTTCCTCCCTCACTGTCGACACCTCCACCCTGTCTCCATCCACTCACAGTCGCAACCTCTGGGTCATCTTTGACAATAACCTCTCCTTTGAACACCACATAAACCAAATCACCAGAACGGCCTTTCTTCACCTCAAAAACATAGCCCGACTCCGCCCATCGCTCTCCTTCTCTGCTGCAGAAACCCTCATCCACATCCTGTACTGCACACCATCCAAAACCTTAAATAAACTACATCCAGAACTCTGCTGCTCGTCTGCTCACCCACACCCGCACCCGTGACCACATTACCCCTGTCCTCCAGAACCTCCACTGGCTCCCGGTCCCACAACATATTAAGTTCAAAATCCTCCTCCTCACACACAAAGCACTCCATAACCAGGCCCCTTCCTACCTCACTGACCTGCTACAGGTGAGCTTTTAAAGTTTAGCTTAGTCTGATGTGTATTTAGTGTTTTACTATTTGATGTTGTTTTGCTGCTTTTATGGTTTTTATGTAAAGTGTCTTTGAGTATTTAGAAAAGCGCTTCTAAATAAAATGTATTATTATTATTATTATTATTAATATTATCATTATTATATAATATAATATAATAAAAAATAAAGTATAATATAGATTATACATAATGTCTACAATATAAATTATATATAAAGTATAATATACATTATATAGAAAGTATATAATATAGATTTAGACATTATGTGATATAGATAATATATAAAGTATAATATACATTATATGTAATGTCTATAATATAGACTTAGACATTATGTGATATAGATTATATATAAAGTATAATATACATTATATATAATGTCTATAATATAGATTTTATATAATGTCTATAATATAGATTATATATAATGTCTATAATATAGATTATATATGTGTATAATCTATATATATACTTATGTTATATACATTATATGAATATATATTATACTTAATATCAGATCTATAAAGTATAATGTGTGTATTTAAATATATAATGTCTAAGTACATATTACTTTTATCTTATTTTGATGTTTATTTTGAGAGGGACAAAGCAAGTTATTAGACATATATATTAGCTCTAATATCTATGAATATTATACTTTTGAAAGTTAGCTATTCGACGTATATTAGTTAGTTATTATCTCTGTCAGCTGGAGGTTAATTAGTGAGAGATAAAACACATACATGTTTTATTATTATTATTATTATTATTGGAGATAAATTAGTAATATTTCTGTCAGCTGGAGGTTAATTAGTGAGAGATAAAACACATACATGTTATTATTATTATTATTATTATTGGAGATATATTAGTAATATTTCTGTCAGCTGGAGGTTAATTAGTGAGAGATAAAACACATATATTATTATTATTATTATTATTATTATTATTATTATTATTATTATTGGAGATATATTAGTAATATCTCTGTCAGCTGGAGGTTAATTAGTGAGAGATAAAACACATATATATTATTATTATTATTATTGGAGATATATTAGTAATATTTCTGTCAGCTGGAGGTTAATTAGTGAGAGATAAAACACATATATGTTATTATTATTGTTATTATTATTATTATTATTATTATTATTGGAGATATATTAGTAATATCTCTGTCAGCTGGAGGTTAATTAGTGAGAGATAAAACACATATATTATTATTATTATTATTATTATTATTATTGGAGATATATTAGTAATATCTCTGTCAGCTGGAGGTTAATTAGTGAGAGATAAAACACATATATTATTATTATTATTATTATTATTATTATTATTATTGGAGATATATTAGTAATATCTCTGTCAGCTGGAGGTTAATTAGTGAGAGATAAAACACATATATTATTATTATTATTATTATTATTGGAGATATATTAGTAATATCTCTGTCAGCTGGAGGTTAATTAGTGAGAGATAAAACACATATATGTTATTATTATTGTTATTATTATCATAATGGGAGTTTTATTAGTAATATATCTGTCAGCAAGAGATTTTTCGGTATTTTTTTTGGTCGGCAGTGTTTGAGTCGTCCTGCAGCAGGAAACACCCCGCTGCAACACACACACACACACACACACACACACACACACACACACACACAGTAAGCTGCAGTGTGATGAAGCAGAATAATGCTCTCTCTCTCTCTCTCTCTCTCTCTCTCTCTCTCTCTCTTTCTCTCTCCCTGATGATCGATAATAAACTGATAATCACTTCTATCAGTGATCAATAACCTCCTCCTCTCCTGCACATTAAAGCATCGGATCACATCTTTACCTGTCCTCGTGCAGGACGCTCGCCCTCTTCCTCCCGGTAACGGACGCTTTTTCTCTGACTACGTAACCGCTCTCTACGTCACACCGCTGTGACGCCATGACGCACGGTGCGGAGACAGCTGTTTTTACTAAACTGCACGCTGATTTTCTGTTACTCATATTATAACATAATACAACATAATATTAATACAACATAATACTACATAATATTAATACAACATAATACTACATAATATTTATACAACATAATATTACTACAACATAATACTACATAATATTTATACAACATAATACTACTACAACATAATACTACATAATATTTATACAACATAATATTACTACAACATAATACTACATAATATTTATACAACATAATACTACTACAACATAATACTACATAATATTTATACAACATAATACTACTACAACATAATACTACTACAACATAATACTACATAATATTTATACAACATAATATTACTACAACATAATACTACATAATATTTATACAACATAATACTACTACAACATAATACTACATAATATTTATACAACATAATACTACTACAACATAATACTACATAATATTTATACAACATAATACTACTACAACATAATACTACATAATATTTATACAACATAATACTACTACAACATAATACAACCTAATACTACATAATATTACTACAACATAATACTACATAATATTAATACAACATAATACTACATAATATTTATACAACATAATACTACTACAACATAATACAACCTAATACTACATAATATTACTATAACATAATACCACATAATACTACTACCTCATAATACTACTAAAACATAATACTACATAATACTAATACACATACAGACATACGAATATATGCATATATGTGTATGTGTGTATATGTACTGTGTGTGAGTGTATGTGTGTGTGTGTGTGTGTGTGTGTGTGTGAGAGAGAGAGAGAGACTCACCAGTAGATTGATGATCAGCAGTGATTGATCGATCCAGACAGAAAAAGAGGATGAAGCATCATGTTAATATCATTTTTAATATAAGTATTTTTATACAGTATATATACAGTGTAATGTACACATATACAGTGTATGTACAGTGTAATGTATATATACATTATATATACAATGTAATGTACACATATACGTTGTATATACAGTGTAATGTACACATATACTTTGTATATACAGTGTAATGTACACATATACATTATATATACAATGTAATGTACACATACACGTTGTATATACAGTGTAATGTACACATATGCAGTGTAATGTACACATATACATTATATATAGTGTAATGTACACATATACAGTGTATATACAGTGTAATGTATATATATACATTATACATACAATGTAATGTACACATATACCGTGTATATACAGTGTAATGTGTATATATACACATTATATATAGTGTAATGTACATATATACATTATATATACAGTGTAATGTACACATATACAGTGTATATACAGTGTAATGTACACATATACAGTATATATACAGTGTAATATACACATATACAGTGTAATATACACATATACAGAGAATATACACGGTGTAATGTACACATATACAGTGTATATACAGTGTAATGTACACATATACAGTGTTATACACACAAATACAGTGTATATACATAGTGTAATGTACACATATACAGTGTAATATACACATATACAGAGTATATACATAGTGTAATGTACACATATACAGTGTAATATACACATATACAGAGTATATACATAGTGTAATGTACACATATACAGTGTAATATACACATATACAGAGTATATACACAGTGTAATGTACACATATACAGTGTAATATACACATATACAGAGTATATACACAGTGTAATGTACACAAATACAGTGTAATATACACATATACAGAGTATATACATAGTGTAATGTACACATATACAGTGTAATATACACATATACAGAGTATATACACAGTGTAATGTACACATATACAGTGTATATATACATTAATTCCTGATCGTGAAACTGTTAACTGTTCTAAATGAATGAAAACCAACTGAATATCTGATCAGTCTATCTGACAGCACTGAGTGTCGTCCTCTGAACACCACAGCTTCTACACTGATACTCACATCCCATTGGCTGTTCAACTCACTGATACTCACATCCCATTGGCTGTTCAACTCACTGATACTCACATCCCATTGGCTGTTCTACTCACTGATACTCACATCCCATTGGCTGTTCTACTCACTACTTCAGGCTGCAGTCATCAGTACACATCCTATCATTGGTCCAAATCTGGACAATCACATGTCTCATAGCTACTAGTCTGGAAGTAGAGCTAGTCATGTTAGCTCTCTCTCTTGTAGGAACATTAGCTCTCTGGTTCATAGCGAACTGTTACTACAACCTAATATTACTACAACATAATACTATTACAACATAATATTACATAATATTACTACAATATAATACTACTGTTAGCCCTCTCTCTTGTAGCGTAACGTTAGCTCTCTGAGCGGAGGGAATTAGAAATATCTCTAGAGCAGTTATGGCTTGTAAACAAACTTTAGGTTTTGAATTAAAACACATGAAAATATAA